GACCCATTTAAAGTATATTTGTAATAGTAGTAACCTCTAACTCATAGATTAGGTTTGGAAGAAGCCAGAATTTTTTAATTACCCTGAAGATCTTTGAAATTGGTGTTAGCAATGGTGACTGCAGCTAACCTGATTTATGGTGGGTCAAATAGTGAATGTGAATGAAGCAATACCTATGTCCTGTACGACTTATAACTGGTTCTGTACATTAGATAGTTCCTTACCAGTTCCATGGGTTTAGAGTAGGGATTACTCCATCCTAGTGTATAGTGATTCTCTTAGGTATCTGTTGTGGCTTTGTAGTCCCTCCCTGTTCTCCTTGTAGTGTAGGCAAGTCTAGTCCTCTAAAAGTCAGCCAGAGGATAACTGTAGTTTTATCTAGTCCCTTCCAGTCTGACTCCTAGCATACAGGCTGTTAAGTGGTGTGGAAATTCACCCCATAAACCTATAAGAGCAAGAAATCCACGGAGTTCCTTCTCAATTATCTATTTTAACTCTCCAAATTAAACAAAATTCATCTGAAAAGTAATGTATCTCAGCCTTCTATGGACAAATGAAAAACAAACATACAAAACACTCCAGACATGAATGACTGCTATACTTGTTTATCACCATCACATGGCGAAAGAATATCCAAGTACATAGTGTTGGTGTTGGGAACAGGTAAAAAGCAATGCCATTTTGACTTCAGATCCCATTATACCAGTAGGGTGAAACAAAGATCAGGTTCTCAAACCTAAAGGCTTCTAGGAACCTTCCAATTACTGAACCACCTCCTCCTAAAACCAGAGAAATAATCTTTATGCATTTGTAGCTCTCTAGAAACATCATGGCTGTTCTAACAACCAAAAGAAAAATTAATCTGACTGGTTGGACTGAAAAGCTTGTTTGTTAATTGGCAATGATGGAACACTTTAGGAAAGCCCCAAATCTTTGAAGTCTGATTGGTGAAAATTTGTACCTGTAGCTTGGCAACAAATGCTTGTGATTTTTGTGCATAAATACTTGCTTCAAATGACATTCCGGTCATAGTTCAGCTCATCAATCTGTTCTGTGTCTGGATCACTCACCAGACCCCACCTCTCTTTTGTGCTGCCCTGTATTAAATCTTGCTTTGGCAAAACCTAGTGTTTCTACCTGGGTGGATTTGGAGCCCTGGATCACAATATTGAATCATGTGAGTGATAAATGCTTTCCTCTCTGTCGTCAAGTAAATGATTCTTTACAGGATAAATTGCCCATGCCAGCAATGCTTCTTTGCAGTTCCATGATGTTACTACTTGTGGTACATGTTTTAGTTATAGGAACACAGGGATTTAGGTTAGTTCTTGAATTTTTTGACTAATCTGAAGATCTTTGGATCTTTGAATAGTTTTTTTCCCACTGCCACTTTTATACAAAGATCAGAAGTGGAAACAATTCCTAGGATCAAGTGGGACTGTCTATACTTGGGCATCACCCAAGGCAGATATGGTCCTGGGAAAGAATATGAACTCCCCATTCACATGACAGATACAACTAGACAAGATTTGAAAAACAAAAGGATACCACTTCAGAGTTTCCCATCTGCCTAGTGGTATTGGGTTAGATCACAGTTCCTGGTACCTAACAGATGTGGCCAAACACTCAGCCACCTCTTATCCACATACTTGGATGGGACCTTTCAGTTTCCCCCTTACAGGGTTCTCAGAAAGATTTGTGGGAACATCTTCCTTTCTTTTTTCATTTCTCTCTCTCTCTCTCTCTCTCTCTCTCTCTCTCTCTCTGTCTCTCTCTCTCTCTCTTCCTTCTTCCCCCTCTGTCTCTCTCTATTCTTTTTTTAAAATCAAAGGTTATTAGGTTTTCTTCCCCCATGGAAAGTAATAAGCCACACAAGGCCTAGTATTTCCTGAACCTTCCCTTCCTATTAGTTAGCCAATTACATCAGATTATGAAGCTGAGGTCACACCAATGGGATAGGATGCAGTCAGCACGTTCATCCTGGCCCAGTGGGATGCTAGTTAGGTTGGAGTTTTGTGCACCTTTCCTACAGAAAGAATTCTCTCTAAGACCCTTTTGCTTTGCTGCTTTGTCTTTTGTGTGACACAGTTTATTTGTCTCTAACAGGAAAGAAATAGGAAGATACCCTGTTTACAGGTACAGCTGACCACACCTGTTTGGGCATGGTCACAGGTATGTAGCAGGGAGATAAGTGAAGTGGAGCCAGAAGGCTCTCTCTCACTCTCTCTTTCTAGACTGAGTTAGCTTGGGGAAGCATTTTGGTTCAGACCTATTCGGGGTGTCAACCTGGTCACTGGTTCCTTTTGTGAGTATATCCTCTAATAAATTACCAGTTATTAACCAAACTCCGATTCCATTTGTATTCATCAATAACTGTTGTCAGGAGTGGAAGTTTCACCTCCACACCCTGGCCTTTTCCACATCAGAGCCATCTGCGGGTTCCCGTGGTCTATATCCCTTGTCCCTTGTTGGCATTGCCGAGAGCTTTTCCACAGGTCTCCCAACCCGAGGTTTCCTAGAGGAAACAGGGACACCAAAAGCTGCACAGCCTCTGAAAGCTTGTTCTTTAATTTTCATTAATTTAAAAAAGTATTATTAGAGTGTGTGAAGTATGAGTATAGGTGTATGTGAGCCAGGGTGAACAGATGAAGGTCAGAGGACAATTCTGGGTAGTCAGTTCTGTTTTATGGTGGGTTCTGGGGCTCAAACAGGTCATCATCAGGCCTGCATAGCAAGTGCTCTTATCTACTAAGACATCATGCTATACCTGTCCTGTTCTTCATCCATTATTTCCTTATGCCTGATATTGAAAAATTCTTTAACTATTGATAGTCCAAGCACTCCCCAGTGACTCCTGAGTCTACCTAAGTGGGATTGACTGTTTCTTGTATTTCCTTGGATTACATAGCCACCAAATCAAGGTAGAACTAGTAGATACCTTAAATAAGTCTCTCCACCTTCCCACTTAAACTGATGATCTAACATAATCTCACATGCTAAGGTTCCAGGGGGCTTTCATGTAATGCTAAAGTCTTTCCTAATTCAAGCAGTTCAGATGCAGTTTTCTGTATGAGACAACCAAGACACTTATCTACACACCAATACAGATTTTAAAGGTTATCTTCTATCAGACTTGAAGGCTATCTTCTATTTCTACTTTACTGTTTCCTTACTGTTAAATTCTTCCCACGAATTCCAACTTCTCTGATCTTGGTGTGGTTTCTTCCAAACAGGTCTATTTAGTTGTCTTCTTTCCCTTGCACCCTGCCGTCTGTAACAGCAAGCCACACCTGTATTTCATCCACTCTCTTTTCAACAATCTCCTGCTATATAAGAGTACTGGTAATCAGAAGAACAGGATCCTATTTCTCCTTGTAATACTACCATGGTATGGACAACTTCATTATGCTCAGGCAGTGGAGCCTGTTGTCTTTCACCACTCACACAAAAGGGCAAACTGACATAAGCTGCTTACTATCTTGTCCCACAGTCCCACTTTTGGGAATTGTTTTTTGTTCTTGAGGCCATTGGCATTTTTAGTACTACAGCGTTACTATTGTAGCCAACTCCAGTAAGGTGTGCCACCTCACCCCATGCGGAGAAAGATTGTCCTAATTTGTTTTAACTGTCAACTTTACAAACTCAACACTATGAGACATGTGATCTTCAATTAAGGACTTGCCTAAATCAAACGGGCCCTTGGAAAATGTCTTAATTGGTGTAGGAGGGCCTAGGTTACATTAAGTGGGCAGATGGTCCTTAGTTATATAAGCTAGTTTAGCATGATCCTAGAATCAAGGCAGACAGAGAATCATTCCTCTATGGTTTCTGCCTAAATAAATGCTGTGATTTGGAAGTGTAAGATAAAATAAATTCTGTCCGCCCTTAAGAAACTTTTGATTTCTTAGCTTGGATACATGGGGGAGGGACTAGGCCCTGCTGCAAATGACTTGACACACTTTGACGATCCCTCATAGAAGGCCTCATCCTCCCTGGGAAGTGGATGAGGGATGGGATCGGGGTTTGGGATAATAGGAGGGAGAGGGACCTGGGATTGACATGTAAAGTAAGATTGTTTCTGATTTAAAAATAAAATTTATTTACAAAAATGAATAATAGCAAATAACTCCCCCCATAAAAAAACGAAGCTTATCATGGTCCGTGCTTTATCACAGCAACAGAAATAAAGCTCAGTCCCTCTGGACTTTTTCTAAAAGATACTCCACTTCCCTATGGCTCAGCCTTGGCAGCATGTTTTGTCATCCTTACCAGACAGCATGAACTACCACAAAGCAAAGAAAGCACACCATCTCCTACCATATGGGGAAGGTCCATGTCAGGACTGCCCAAGATGATACTCTATCCTCACAAGGATCAGCTTTGGGAGTACATTTAAATCCCATACAGAGTTCACGCAGCTAGCATCTTCCCAAAGAGATCTGTGGTTTTGTCTGTCCCTGTATGGCTGCCCTGCTTGTGGTGTGTGACTTTCTGTGGAAATGTAAACAAATGTCTAGAATCAGATCAAGAGAACTATTCCATCAAGCCTAGCTTGGTAAATAATGAATTACTCAAGGTTACTTAGAGGAGTATGCATGAGTTAGAGGCAGCTATAACACCAAAACCCCTATCCCAGCATGGAGGTAACAAACTAAGCTGCATCCTTTGGGCTTCCTTCCAAATTTATTGGCAGTCCCATAGATTACATACAATCTTTCTCTTGCTTTAGCAGGAATTTTTTTTACTATTCATAACCTGGGGGATGGCCCTTGAGCATTGTGAGTCCTGAAGTTTTAACAAGTTTTCCTGTTTCATTAGCTTCTTCTTCCAATGTCATTTAGGACATCCTTGTTTACTCTAGGAGAGAATATTTCAATTCAGCATATACCTATACAAAAATTCCCAGAATATACTCATTACATGGACTAGTATTAAGCTAATAGACTTTCTTATGTTCATGTCAGTTACTATACTATTAGCCAGTGAACTCAGGCAAGTGATTGAAGTGTGCCACATTTTTTTTTATTGGTAAACTGGGAAAAACAGAACACTTCAATGCTTGTTCAGAGAACTACATAGTTACAAATAAGGCATTCCTGCTTGTCTATGAGATGCACTACATAGCCTTTTACCAATTATTATCAAGGCATTATAGTACTTTGTTATGAAAAAAGCGGTCTCTGTATAAAAAGGAACACTTCTCACAAAAAGACACCCAATCTTGTATGAAGCTAGTTACAGAACTCAAAAATACATAGGAAAAAATGGCAAAATTGTAAGAATGTTAATCCATAGTCACAGTGGAAGACTACTATGACTCTACCACAAATTACTTTAAAAGAAAATAATTTGTACATACCATTAAAATAGAATGTATTAATGTGCACACACACTATGTCAATCTATAAGAATACATATTATGCTCGGGGCTGGAGAGATGGCTCAGAGGTTAAGAGCACTGACTGCTCTTCCAGAGGTCCTGAGTTCAATTCCCGCCAACCACATAGTGGGTCACAACCACCTTGAATGAGATCTAGTGCCCTCTGCTGGCATGCAGGCAGAAGACTGTATATATAATAAATAAAATCTTTAAAAAAAAGAATAAATATCACTCTCAAAGAACTATGGATTTTTTCGATGAATAGGTTTATCAGTTTGATACTGCTTTAAGCTGAAGTTAGCATCGCCTCAAAAACAACCAGCAAATCATCTTGGCTTTAACCAGTAAGGTGTTACTTTTAATCAAAGCATGAATTTAAAAAAAGGTATCTAGAACTAATGTACTCAGAAATTTTTTGAAGAAATTAATTCACTGTTACTGTTCCACTGTTTATGTCATCCTAATCAAAATAAAACAAAACAAAACAATTCTCACTCCTAATCTTGCCACTTGCCAGGAAAGTGTGAGAGGAACAGAAAATAAATGAGAAGTCAGGCTTTCCCCTCAGCCTCCAAATTTCATGGTGTAAGTCTTTAGGCTTCAAGAAATCCTGGCATACTTTTTTGTTTTAATGATTGATTTATTTTTATGTGCATTGGTGGTTTGTGTGCATGTATGTCTATATGAGGGTGTAGGATCTCCTGGAACTGGAGTTACAGACAGTTATGAGCTGCTATGTTGGTGATGGGAATTAAATTCGGGTCCTCTGAGCAGGTAAGAGCAGCCAATGATGCTCTTACCTGCTGAGCCATCTGTCCAGCCACCCTTGGCATATTATTTTAATACACATTCAGATGAAAAAATATTGGTTTTGTTGTTGCACCGATGTGTGTGGATGTCAGAGGAACACTCATGGGAGTCTGTTGTCTGCTTTCACTGTCTGGGTCCTGGGGATTGAACTCATGTGAGGCTTGGTGACAAATACCATCACTCACTGAGCCATCTTGTTGGCCCTAAGCAGGACAAAATGGACATTAGGTACTTTCAGGACAGAGAGAAGAAAAGGATCAATATTAAAAAGTCCTATACTCTGACAAAAATACCAGGTCAGCTAGTTCCAGCTTGCATCAAATTCACAATGCACCCTTTGAGTCTCCTGAGTGCTAGGATTACTGGTCTGTGCCACCACACCCAGCCCTTCAGAACATAAGCTATAAATACATTGGGTTGGAATTTAGGAAAAGTGAAGGGCTGTGGGTATTTCTTTTTGGGGGGTGGTGGTGAAGGGGTGGGATTAGACATATTGACATACATGTTTATAAAACAAGGATTGAAAATTAATAATTTGGTAACTGACCCTAGAGATACTATCTACTATTAGAGGTAACTCCACACTCATCCATTCCATGTCCAGTATAAATTTTATTACACAGTTACTCACTGGAAAGATGATGCTGAAGCATCCTGGCATGTATTTCTTCACTTTCCTAAGGTGTCCCTCAAATTTATGTGCTTAAGAGGAATCATTGCCAATTTTTTCCTACATCACAGGAATCCTGAGGGCTTACCAATGCCTGATACTCAAGGGGGCATATCAAAAAGCATTCTCATACCTCTGTAAGAAAGGAAAACAGTTAACGATTTCCCATTATCACAGCATTATCTGTGATGAGCAATGTGAACACTTTGTTGTACAGATTCCTGACTTTCTTTTGTTACTCAGTTGTGTGATTTCCAACAAGAAAGACTAAAAGGACTGATATCACTGAAGACCATTACCACATGACCACTACTCTACTCACCAGGTTTTTTCCAACACATCATCTTTGTGGCATATTACAATAAGTGAACTAAAAAACATTATCACACAGATGTCTCTGCAGAGAGATTTAACAATTTACTGAATGTCATTTCATACTGATTAAAAGGATGAAGATCTATTGAAGACTTCATTAATTTCATGGCAAGTTTCTCAGATGGTTCTCAGAGAGCTGTCTCCTGACCCTCAGATATTCTGTAGTTTTCTCCATGTTGTATCAAGCCTGGTCTATGGTTGATGTGTACACTAGAGAAGAAGTGAAACTATACCTTTTGAAGACAAGGTCATAAATGATACTTAATTCTTTAGATTGGCTTTTCTTGGAACACTTTGGGGAAGGGTTATTCTTTGCCTTATTATAAAGAAATATAATCATGTAGAGAGGCCTATATGGTAAGTCATTGAAGGTCTCCTGACAATAACAAACAGTAAATTCCCAGGCATGTGATGAGCCACCCTAGAAGTGACTTCTTCGATAACAACTTTACAAGATGCAGCTCTGCTTGCTGTAAGATCATGAGAAGACCTGAGGAAGAACTACACAGCTAAGGTGCCCTCATACCCTGACCTATAAAATGTGAGGTATTTGTTTAAAGCCACAAAGTTTGGGATGAGTATTTATTATACCACAATAGATAATTTGTATACCTGATGTAAATACTCTCAAGTTCTCTTAGGATCGACAAAGCTTTCTCTCAGTAATTTCTCACCACCATTCATATCCACCTGTTATGTACTCTTTTGTGCACAGAGAGGTAGGAGTTACTGGTGAAAGATTTCCCACAATCCTTACATCCATAGGGTTTTTGCCCAGTATGAGTCATTAAGTGCTTCTTCACAGCTGAGAGATTATTAAAAGCTTTTCCACAGTAACTGCATTCATACGGTTTTTCTCCAGTATGTATTCTCTTGTGCACAGTTAGAGAGAAGCTACTGCTGAAGCACTTCCCACACTCATTGCACTCATAGGGCTTCTCTCCAGTGTGAGTTCTTAAGTGTTGGGTTAGATAGGAGCTCTTCCTGAATGTTTTCCCACAATCCTGGCATTCAAAGGGTTTTTCTCCAGTATGAATGCTATTATGTCCAGTGAGAGAAGACCTGGTACTGAAGGCCTTTCCACACTGAGTACATTCATGGTGATTCTCACCCCCCATGTGAATTCTCTTGTGGCTTTTGAGGTTACAACTGGTACGGAAGACATGAAAACACTGGTTACATTCATAGGGCTTTTCCCCAGTGTGAATTCTTACGTGAAGTCTAAGGGATGAGGGGTCACTAAATGCTTTCCCACAGTGATTGCACTCAAATGGTTTCTCCCCATTATGGATTCTTCTGTGAACAGTAAGATAAGATTTACTGCGGAAAGATTTTCCACACTGACTACAGTCATAGGGCTTTTCTCCAGTATGAATTCGCTTGTGCTGAGTAAGGTTCGATTTCGTGCTGAAGACTTTAAAACATTGATTGCATTCATTGACTTTCATTCCTTGTTGATCTCTTTCCTGTTAATTATAACATAAATTGTAAGTATAATTTATAATGTTAATAATATATCATAATGAAAATAAGAGTCCCTTACCCAGAGAATCTATGACATAAAACAATTTGGTTCTTTTCACTACTTATATATGACTTCTGCTTACTTAGAGCTTCTTCAAATGCACAGCCATTTGGCTACAAATCCTTATATCCAAAACCATTTTCTGATAAATTTAGGGCCACTTATGTTTCAAACTCCTAACACCTGTTTCAAACTTAATGAAATGGGAACTTGTGGGAACTCTCAGTGAAGAAATATGTTTGAAGTTGGCTTAATTTTTTTCTAGCAAAATATCACACCTCCACAGTATCTCCTCAGACATTGCACTTCCTCAAGTTTAAATGATACTGTTCATATTGACTCTCTGGGTTTTCTACCTCTTCTAACATGGAAAAAAACAGGAATCATTACCTCCACTTTTACTGTTTTTCCACTACTAAGCTTTTCAGAAGTTAGCCATTTGGTTTTAAGTACAGTCTGCAAATCTGAAACAAATTAAAAAGAAATATAAATCAACAGATGAAAAAGAAAAATGGTGAGGTGCATACAGAATTCAAAGAAGACTCTGAGAAATCAGAATACTTGGTAAAGACTGGAAAGAAGGGGAAGTGGGTTCTGAAGTTTTAGTTGTTAAAGAAAATAGACATATACTGAGATTCATAAGAAATAGACAAAATAAATTATCAGGAATGGGAATTGTTACCCAAAATTTACATTAAAAAATTTTAATTGTGTTTATGTATGCTTGTATATACTGATGTGTGTGGTAAACAGAGGGGTTGGATCCCCAGGAGGTGGAATTACAGGCAGGTGTGAGTGTTCCTATGTGGTTGCTGGGTCTCTGTAAGAACAGTATGGGTTCCAAACCTTGGAGCCATCTCTCCAGCCTGTGTGACTTAAAATTTAAAACACAAACAACTGTTTCTTTGTTTTTATTTCACAGGCCAACGTGTGAGATGACAAAGGCAGAGTTGAGAGAAAACTAAAAATAGTGGTAGCTCATACCCAACATTCACATATACCTTTGTCAGAGGAAAAGAATACTTTTCACTCTTGCTCCCCAGGCCATAATGACTTCTCAGAAGAGCCCTGATAAACTTGTGCTCACCTGTAGAAATGCCTGTATGACTTCCTGTGTCCTCTGTTATAGCCTTTTCTTCCTGCTCCAACTGGGATATCAGACTTGGTTTGTCAAGGCAATACCCTATTTATGGAGAAAATACATGTAATGTTAGTGAAATTATTTCATGGGCTATGTAAATCTGTAGATGGAAGTTTCTGTCCCACCTGGTTCCACAATCCCTTAGTCCCAAATAAACACACAAAGGCTTATATTAATTATAACCTGTTGGGCTGATGGCTCAGGCTTCTTATTGGCTAGGTCTCTCTGAATTATTAACCCATTTCCATTAAACAATGTATTACAACAAGGCTATGGCTTACCTATAATGCTCCATCATGTTACTCCAAGTTCCTTCTCCCAGCCTTCTCCTATTCTGGTAGCCCCACCTATTCTTCCTGCCTGGCTACATCCTGCCTGCCCATGGACCAAAACAGCTTTATTCATCAACCAATAAGATAAACATATATTCACAGCATACATAAGGACATCCCCCATCACAAATCCATAAACCTGAAGCCAAACTTTAAACAATGAAAAAATGTGACTTTAGTATCTCTACCTCAATTTGCAATAAATGCATTATTAATAACCCCAGATACATGCCTAAGTTCAGATGTTCATTTAAAAGGCCATATTTAAGTTTGAATTATGGAGAACATAAAGTCAGGGGGAGAGCTAGAAAATAATTTCTCAAGGAAGACATTAGACAGAAAGTTCTACATCTGTTTTCAACATTGTGCTTTGAAATATCTATTCACATTTAAGGAGATAAAAGTGCATAAGACAGAAAATTGACAATGAAAATGGTGAGACGGTGAACTCAAAACTCCCTGGTCCCCAAACCAAAAGAGTAAGTAAACTTAACAGAAATGAATTGCCTTTCTGGAACTACAAACTTCAAAAAAAATTGAATCTTTTAGTAGAATATTTAGATATGGAAATAAAATTCAAATAACACACTTCCAACTAAAATTTGTGTAAGAGGGCTTCAAGGCCATTTTTAAATGACTCACATCCATGTTTTCTCTGTTCTGGTTATATACCTGAAGAAGGCAGCAAGTATTGTTTGTCCTACAGGGGATAGAACAGAGCTTTGTCTGTTTTCTTGTATCCTCCAGGGATTTCCTGAAAGACTGGTTTAAATGGTTTTATTTGTTTAACTCCAAATTAAGAGACACATGTGATAAATACATTTAAAGGCCAGTGTATAAGAAAAGAACAGTAGACCCAAACAAGCACTAAGGAAGTAAAGCCCAGGAGGAAAAGTAGACTAAAAGATGTTTGCTTAGAAGGGTATTGCCAAGGTAATGTTCTACAGAACAAGATTGTTACAGACACCACCAAGGCAGTAGCATACCCTCGGGAAAGACCTTACTAGGCTCACATTCTTGGATGATCTTTGGCTTTGCATGAAGCAGAAGGTCAAGGCTGTATTAGAAACCATCTCCCTAAGTTTTAGTATTATATGCCTGTACCCCATGCTGAAAGTTAAACTGAGTACTGTTAAGAATCTCTCAAGTAGTTCTGTTTTTGAAGGATGAAGGAATCAGAAAGGACAGCTAAGGCTTGGCACCCTGTGGCAAGTTTGGAGTCCCTGATAGAGGCTTGGAGAGGCCACTGGTGAAGGTGAAACCTCTGTTGCAGTGGAAGGCCCAAGATAAAAGGGGTCACAGAGAGAAGTTGAAAGCCCAGGATGCTATTAGTTGAAGTTACAGCTCAGTTGCAATGGAGACCAGAGCATGATGTGCTAGATGGCAGTATAATAGCATGACTAAAGATATCAGAAACTGTGGAGTACAGCTGGCCTAATCCTAGGAGATTAGCTCTGTGTGCTGTACAGGGTAGAGCTCCAGTCCCTTTGGAGAAGCCCAGAGGATGGTGAGTGATCAGAGGATATCCAGCATTTTATACTGTTGAACTTTGGTTTTGCTTTGTTTTGATTATAACTATACCCTGGTTTTGCCCACATGAAGTTAAGAAAGTGTGTAAGTTTTTACTTTACAGGAGGTCACAGTTGAGAGACACTCAACTTTCAAAGTGACTTTGGAGTTTTCGAGAGACTATGGATATTTTAGAGATATTTTGAATATTTCTAGAGAAACTATGAACTTAGAGATTTTGGATATTTTAAAGAAACTGGACTTAGAAAGTGTTTGAACTTTTAAAGACTGTGGGACTTAAAGTTGGAAGTTTTTATATCATGATATTAATATTAAAACGAGATCTTGGGGATGAACAAGAAAGTAACGCTAGAGTTGTGATGTGCTTGTGTGTCAAGTTGGCAAGGAGTCACTTATACTTGTGAGTTCGATGTCAGCAGGACACCAGCTAGAGTCACTTTGGAAGGAGGAATCTCAATTGAGAAAATGCCCTTACCAGATTGGCCTGTGGCACATATTCTTGATTGATGATTGATATGGGAGGGCCTAGTTCACTGAGGGTGGGGCCACCCCTGGGCTGGTGTTCAGGGTCCTATAAGGCTGAGTAAACCATGAGGACCTTAGTAAACAGCATTCCTCCATAGCTTCTGTTCCTGTTCCTGCCTCCAGGTTTCTGCCCTGAGTTCCTGCCCTGGCTTCCCTTAGTGTTGGGCTTATAACCTATAAGGTGAAACAACTCTTTCCTCCTGAACTTGCTTTTTGTCACAGTTTTATCAGAGCAATAAAAACCCCAACTAAGACAAAGGACAACAATTAAAAAAATAAAAAGATACATAACAGAAGAATTAATAGGAAACTGTAATTTGAAAAGTTCTCTGGTATCCACAATACCTAGTAAACTATAACAAAAATAACAACCCAATGGACAAAGGACTTGAATGGACATTATTTTTTCAGCTAAATAGTTAACAAGTACAAGAAAAGATGCTCAATATCATTATTCATTAGGAAAATGCAAATCAAAACAGTGGGTACCTTTTCACACCTATTAGAATGTCTACGATCAAAAGAAAATGTTGTAGATGCATTAGTGTGACTACATAATGTGGCATATGGCATGGAAGACTTGGGAGTTCATAACAAAACAAAACAAAACAACCCCAGAAGTATCACAAGAAATAAAAGGAAATGATTAAACCAATGTATATTCATAATAGTATTATTCAAAATAACCAAAAAATAAAAATATACCCAAATGTTTATGAACCAATTGATAAGCAAAATTTAGCATGTCCATAATAGTAGTTATTCATTGCAATGAATGAAATCCTAGTACATGTTATACCATGGCTAAACCTTTAAAATACAGTATTTGAAAGCAGATTAATGGTAACCAGGGGCAGTAGATGAGGTTTGAGAGTCAACTTAGCAAATCCTGTATGTTTTCTCTCATAAATGGTTCCTAGCCTCAAGTTTTTTTGTTTTGTATCTTTAAACCAAAGTACACATGAAAGCTAGGAAACCATAAATGTGCAATTGGGGGTGGGTGCCTTCAGGGCAGGGTGGAGGGGAAAATAGTAAAATACAAGTAAAAGTAAAATAGAAAATGCAATACAGGGACAGAAAAGTTCAAGATTGGAGTTGGGGAGGGAATGGGGAAATGAGGTGTTAGTAGGAGGCTTAACTAAATGAAGGATAAACAAAAAAGCCCTTTAGAGTGGGGAGGTGGTGGTGCATGCCTTTAATCCCAGCACTCAGGAGGCAGAGGCAGGTGAATATCTGAGTTCAAGGCCAGCCTAGTATGCCAGAGTGAGTTCCAGTATGGTCAGGGCTATATAGAGAAACCCTGTCTCAAAACAAAACAAAACAAAACAAAACAAAACAAAAGGCAAAAAACCCGTAGACACCCCTCCCCCCACAAAGCTACATAGAAACCTACAATCTTCCAACCCTAGGAGGAAGAATTAAAAAAAAAAAAAAACTACTATTAGGAGGAATAATTGAACACAGATGACATGAAAGGCCATGGGGGATACATTTGGGGTTAAAAGTTTAATAAGTGGAGATACAGTGACTGGGGAGAAGAGATGGTGGGTGGGTGGGGGGTGGATTAGTTAAAACTAGGGTCTATGAAGAAGCCTTGTCGTGGTTTGAATGAGAGTGACCCCAAAGACTCATATACTTGAATGTTTAATTCTCAGCTGGTGGATTGTTTAGCAAGGATTGAGAGGTGTGGCCTTGTTGAAGGAGCTCTTTCACTAGGGGTGAGCCAGGCCCCATCTCTCACCCTCTGCCTCCATTTTGCAGATGATGTAAGCTCTCAGATACTACTCCAGGGCCATGACTGCCTGCCTGCCTGTCTACCTGCCACTGTGCTATCCAGCATGATGGCTATGGACCAACCCTCTGAAACTGTAAGCAAATTTCCAATTAAATGTTTTCTTTTATAAGTGGCCTTGGCCACAGTGCCTCTTCATAGTGATAGAACAGTAACTAAGACAAGCCTTTTGGAAATCCACTGGTTTGCAAGCTGATACATAAAAAAAGTAGAGTTTGACAGCTGAGTATACCAGGAAGTTGCCAAAATGCAAGCTTCCAGAGATGTAGGTGCCCTCTGTGCCCCAGGGTTACTGCTTCCTAGAAAATCTGATTCATCTTCAGGATTTGCTTTATGCAGCTTTGCTCCCCCCATCCAAGGTAAAACAGTGCAGCCCTTGGATACTCTTTGCAGCCTCTACTTTGCCAAAGAAGGATGTTACAAATACCATCTGCTGTCACAGACATTTCATGCTCTATTTTAAAACACAGAGTGAGGATGTCTGACATTCTGCAGTTGTGACCTTCAGCCATAATGCCTTTGATATTTTAACATCAACTTTCTTAGTGTGGGAAGGGAAGGGACACAGTTAAGGGGGTGAGGGGATGGAGGGTGGGGTTAAAATATCTTGATGTTTCAAAAGGTTAAGTAAAAAAAATTTAAAAGCTTGATTTTAATTAAATCCTAAACTTCATGTTGTTTTAAAGAGCATAAACAGAAAAAAATAGAGTTTGAATAAAAGTATCTTGCATAGGTGGAAATCTTCGTGCCAGACATGGAATACCTTGCTGTAAGTTATTGGTCAGGAGGCCTCAGAAGCTATTGCCACTGTTTAGTTGCCCACCATTGTTGGGAGCCATACAGCTTGGCATGAACCTTTAGGCCAAACTTGGCAAGCCACACAGTTACAGAATTGTCTTTTGATTATAAATGGCTTCTAGAACCATGAGCACCCAGAAGGAACAACATGACTCAGACGTCAATACTTTGTTCCAATCACAGGTCCACTTACCTAGGCAACCGTCCCTTGCCCTACCACTTACCTAGGTAACCCTCCCTCTCCCCGCCACCCATGAACTTTTTACCCTGCCAATATCCTCCTTCTATAGTTTTCTGACATCCTGCTTAAACTAACACCTGGCTCTTGGCCTCTTCTCCCCCTCCTCTTTACCCCATTCTACTGACTATATAAGCTACCCCGGGAAAAATAAAATTTACCACTTGATCAGAATCCTGTCTTGTGGTCATTGTCTCTGCCTCTTTTGTCCCCATTCCCCTCCGTGGATGTCTTGCCCTAGGTTGCTGTCCTATGGGTCAGGACAACACACCATAACCAGACAATAAGACCTTATTGCTGAAGACACCACTCACTTTGGTGAGTGATCAGGAACCTCTTTCTTTAATGACTAGGTTGTATAGTGCCAGAATGTGCTATGTAGGCTGCAGATAGTGAAGAGACATCAATGTTCTTACCCAGTGCTAGATCCTGTATGCCATAATACCAACTAGCTGATAAAAACGTGCCCACTTGTGCAACAGTGAGTGGTATGATGATTGTGGGATTAACCAATTACTTTCTGACTGGCTAGAAGGCCTGCTTCACAGGAGAGATTTCATGCCTGGTACCGTAAACCTGGTCAAAAAGCCATGACTTGAGAACTCATAGATCCTAGGGAGGAATACTCTTGTCTTCTGCTAAATGATTATGTTGTCAAATAGCACTCTAAATATTTATGCTCATGTCCATAGATCTGTTCTTCTCTAAACTTTGTTTCTTTCTGCCTTGGACAGTAGTTAATGCAGAGAATCAAACTGGTTGAAGTGGTGAGGGATGGGTCATCTATATCCACTTCCCACCATCCAAGGCTCATTGAATTTAAGTGGATAAGGGGCCAGAAATAATGTAGGAGCTGGCAGATTTGAGGAGGCAATGATGAAATGCTGATTTCTGGACACATCATGGCCATTGCAGGCCCCAACTCATAACAGATGTGGTTACCTATACAAGATCAAGCCAGTCAAAATTACAGCATAACCACAGGAGTGTCCAAGGCCCTACCCCTACTGAATGAGTTACTGGCAATTAGCTTTCTCATGCTGTACTGGATGGCCACATACCATGTGGATACAAGAGACACTAATTAGACTCAGGGGGCTATTAACAACAAAAACAAAAATTAAAAAGATGATAAAGTTGAAAAGAAGTTAAATAGGGGAATTTAGAGAAGGTCGAGGGAGGTAATGATGGACAGTATCAACATACATTAAACACATATTTGAGGCATTCAAAGAACACACACACACACACACACACACACACACACACACACACAAAGCTGTCATAGTCTTTTTTCTAATGCTATAACAAAATATCGTGGCTAAGTACTTAATAAAGAAAAGAGGCATATTTTGGATCAAGATTTTTGTGTCCAGAAAGGAGAAACAGCATGGCACTTGCATTTGAAGAAGGCCCCTGGCTTTGTCCCAATATGGCAGAGGAGGGCTAGACAGATGGTGGAGTGGTTTAGAGTGGTTATGAGTGCATACTGCTCTTACAGAGGATCCAGGTTCAAGGTACTGCACTTACACCTAGCAGCTGACACCTGCCTATAATTTCAGCTCCAGAAAGATGTGACACCTCTGTCTTCCATGGGCACTGACATCCATACACATAAGCCACACATGTACATATATTTAAAAACAGTAAAATAAATGGGTTTGTTTTTTTTTAAAAGGGTTGCCCCAGCAGAGAAGTAGAAAGGGAATCAATTGTATGAAGAGCTTAAGCATTGGGTTGCCTCCCTCTACAACAAGCCATTCTTAAAACAGAATTAGCGGTCCCAAAAGACCTGTCTGACTCCCAAGAAACAGCACACATCCATTCTGAGGAAGGTCTCTTGCTCTTGACACCTTCTAACATACCCCACCATTAGAGGCTTCCACTACTTTAACACTGACTTTCACAGAGGACTAAATTTCTAGTACATAAGCCTTTGGAGGTTAAACCAAACCACAGCAGAAGTAATGAAATGTTCTGAAATAACATTGCTGAACAACATGATAAACGTATTAAAAACTACTCAATTACATATTTTAAAATGGTTCAAACACTGCTTTGTTCTATACCAATAAAGAAACTGGACTGTAAATTTTGCTTGAGTCATTACATAACTGCAGCATAGGCTGATGGTGGCTTACCGAGTGAGGCCAGGTTCTTCCAGTTTTCCAGCATTACCTTCCTGTACAGAGTTCTTTGTAAAGGATCCAGCAAAGCCCACTCCTCTTCTGTGAACTCCACAGTCACATCTTCGAATGACACAAACTCCTAAATGATTCACACATCACAGTTTAGTTAAGGACCCCAGCAAAGACAAGAAAAAGAGAGCCCACGATGGCAGACCCACAGATGAGAAGCCAGAGCACAAGATGTGTAGACAGGTTGAATTCTATCTGCCTTTGCTTCTGGGCTTGGTGTCCTGGCTCTTCTCATTTCTACTACCCTACCTCCCAGTTACTGCCTTCTAGTCGGATTTGAGCTCCTGAAATCTCATTTCCTGGAGCTGAGCACAAGCTTGGCACAATCCACAAAGTTGGAAAACAATTGTTACATGAATGAATAATTCCCCCATGCTGTGATAAACCGTAGGAAAGAAAGAGAAAGAGTCAAATTGTAGGGAGACACTGTAACCACACCTCCTAAGGGCTAGCTACAGGTGTGCCCTACAGTTGACCTCACCACAAACTCTGAGGAAGAATATGGAGTCCTTAGAGTCTCTGGAAGTAACTGCGAGAATGCTGTGAATATTGATACAAGAGACATCTTCTGAGATGTCTCCCAGCCCTTGTCAGATGCTTGGTGATCCTGGTTGGAGTGTGTAAGTAAGTCTTTATAGCAACAAGTTTTATGCAAGGGATAACTTGGGAAAAAAAGAATATCTGACTCACCTGTGTCGAGTTTGTTAAAAACTCATTGGCCAGCTCTTCTTTTCCTGTGTGTCCTTTCTCAGGAGACAGTGGGTACAGAGAAGACTGAACTGGGGAAGAAGAAATAAATCATGAGAATCTAGGGCATCCTAGGAATTGCCTGAGGTTGACTTATCCAAGTGAGACTGACAATATAATAAAATACTACCGCACCTACAGCACACATGTTCATGTGCACAGACATAGCATGTTCTTCTACCCCTGCACATTAACTCAGTCACAGTTTTCATAAGCATGACTTAACCTTATGTCAACTTAGCTAGGATATAGGGCACCTGGGTCTGACCACCTATGAGGAGCATTTATTTCAGGAACAATTAAGGATAAAATTCAAAAGAGACCACACAGTCATCATGAAGATGACAGATCCAACACCCAGCAAAGTACATCCTGTCCCAAGAGCTGTCTATCACATCCAAGGATCACTGGGCTTCACTCTTGACTTTCCTGCTAGTCCTGAGCCTCCTCAATGGCTACCTAGCCTTTACCTCTTTTTGAACTGTAGGCTTAGGGACCTCTAAATATTACTCTAAGGTCTGCTAGGACCCAATGACTTACCATGGATCAGAGGAATGACAATTGCTGCCATCATGACTCCAGCACCAGAGCTCCTGAACACAAGGAGTAGACCAGCCAGATACACTTCTGACTCCCACAGACACCAAGGGCAGTCCTGTGGAATCAAAAGAGGACAGGAAGTCTCTACAGCCACTCTCCTTCCCAGGGATGTTGAGGATGACCCTTTTTAACTTGTCCACCTATGCCTTCTTCAAAATGCATCTGTCTCCCACACTAGGCCTGCTTGGCGGGTTGTTTGCAGGGGGTTAGGCAGAGGGGGAGGTCTGTTTCCCCTTGTCTTTCACATCACCATCAAAAAGAATTCTTTTCCACTTAAAGCAACCAAGCAATTATGAAGTCATCACCAGCTGGATGTCTACTAATTCAGTCCACTTCTGGAACAATCTGCTTGAATATCCTATCAGCCTTGTATATTCACAGGCTGCAGGATCAATTCCCCGAGTGTCCTTAAGATGACAGTTTTCAGCCATTAGTGGATTTCCCTATGCTCTTGACACAGTGGCTGAAAACGGGGGCTCCCATGATCCCTTTCTTGGGTTTGATTAATTTGCTTGAAGGGTTCACACAACTTGGGGAACACTTAACTTTGTTGGTGGAGTGTGGCCATTTCTGTCTTAGCTTGTTAAAACTCACAAAGTTCTAGGAGGTTTATTAAGATGAGAAATTCTAAAGCAAGGCTCCTTAAAACACAGGAAGTAAACAACTCAGGAGAACCTGGACATCCATAAAAGTGATCAGATTCACAAGGCCCTGTCTCCTCAAAGTTATATAAACATTTAAGACTGCCAAGGAGACAGAAGCCAGCCTAGCTAGCTGAAGAGGATCAGACCAGCTAAGCTGGCTGAATGAGACATTTTCTGACATATGGAGCTACATGCAAGCAATGCATTGAATTCCAGGGTTCCAGTATTGGTGAGCAACCACCGATGTTGGGGTAGTTTTTGGTGATGCACCTACTGTTTCTTGATGGTCCCATTCATCTTTTTCCTCAAGTTCTAGTTCTTGCCACGAATGCCAGGTAGCATCCTCTTGGTGAAATAAGTTATCTCTAAGTATGTTTTGTTTCTAGTGAATGTCCAGTCTGCTTCCCTCTATCAGCTGATATTTCTCATGTTGTCTCCTTTCCTCCTGTACCACTTGCTCCTCACATGGTAGTACCTACTGTCTACCACTTCCATCTCTGAAACAATATTCCTGAACCAATGACGTTGATTGTAACAGAGGCACAGACTACTGTTATCTGACACTACTTCCCATCTGTTTCATGAGCAAAACCACAAAAGGCTGCAGCCTTTGCTGAGGATACAAAGAAAGGCTTTCTCTCACACAGCTGAGCATGGCTTTTATGAAATCCAGCTGTCAACATTAGGCCAAGGATCATAAACTTTCAGCATTTATCCTTTTAATCCCATTTCTATGAATTAGCTCAAGCATATTCAAATACCAAAAGACTTGGGTAAGATCACTGACTGTACTTATAATAGCAAATGAGATAATCACAAATGGGTCTGGAGAGATAGCTTAGCAGATAATGGCACTTGCTGTCGAGGCTATTCTTAATCCTAGGGACCCACATGGTGGAAGATGAGAACTAACAAGCTATCCTCTTAGCACACATTACGACACATAATACCCATGCAAAAAAATAGATAAATATAGTAAACACAGCTCACGTGATAGATGGAGAGACCCAACTTTTGCAAGTTGTCCTCTTACCTCTCCATTGGTACACATAAAAATTAAGAGGGTAATAAAAATTAAAAAGAAATAAATGCAAATAATCATCAAATGGGAAACATGAAATAAAACCACAGATGACCTACATAATAATATAAAGTAAGAAAAAAATATAAAATTTCCAACCTGAAAACATCTGTAGGTATTGATAGAAATTATCTCCAATTTAAGTGGAAAAAAAAACTCAAGATACCAAGAAAGTAGCATGCACATACATACATACATACATACATACATACATACATACATACACACTTATTTATTTACTTTAGGGGAAGGGGAGGTTTCCTTTCTCTGAAACAAGCACCATAAAAGCAGCTTCTTGAGGATTAGTTGATCCCAAGGAAAGTAGTGCAGGGCATATGGAGCTGGGAGAGAGCATAAACTCTTAAGGAGTTTGGACAATGTGACAAAGTGGATTTACAGGGATTCTTTGGATCCTGGGGCTCTTTGAGAGACAGATTTGTAACTCCTCTTTCTCCCTATGTGCCTCAGTTCTACTTTACAGCACCTATACACCCATGTATCCATAGTTTGCAGAAAGAATTCTGATGCTGTAAGTAAGGTGAAAACAGTGAGTTAGGAGACCATCCTGGATGATAAAAATTGGATTGTATGAGGTGGAAGAAAAGAGGAGTCAGAATCTCAGAGTCAATGATATAAAAACGTAGGAGTGAGAAAGGGTAAGGGAGGTGGGAAGGGGGTTATGAAGAGCAAGAGACAGAGGGGACAGAAAAAGAGAGGAAGTGACAGAGATAGAGACAGGACAAAAGGCAGACAAATACAGAGGTGGAGAAAGTTGAGGATGCCTCCTTGTTGGTTTTAAATTGGAGGAAGAGCCGAGCGGTGGTGGCACACACTTTTAATCCCAGCACTCAGGAGGCAGAGGAAGGAGGATCTCTGTGAGTTTGAGGCCAGCCTGGCCTACAAAGCTACACAGAGAAACCCTGTCTTGAAAAACAAACAAAGAAATTAAAAAAAAAGTGAAAGAAGATTGTCAGGTATAGTGGTGCATGCCTTTAAGCATTCAGGAGGCAGAGGCAAGAGGATCTATGAGTTGGAGGCCATGCAGGGCTCTATAGAATGAGACCCTATTGGGGAGGTGCGCACAAAGGGGAGATGGAGGAAAGAACCACAAGTCAAGGAATTTGGAAAGTTTGTAACATGGAAACGGCTTCTTAAAAAGCTGGAAGGAAAGCTGCTTGAGGCACTTAGAAATACATAGCTCTAGAACAGCAGGAGAATGAAGTGTCTGTGTCATCTGAAGCCACTGTTTATAGTCATTTGAGATACCAGGCACTATTATAAGCTTGCAACCCAATTACTATTCCTTTCCAAATGGCTCTGTTGTCTCCTTAGACCCAGTCCTCAGTATTCTCATTTTTAGTGTCTTTTCTGTTAGAATGTACATTCCATGGAAATAGGACAAAGTCATTTTTGGGTCTCATGCATGAGACCCAAGGCCCAGTTCATGAAAGTGACCAACTGTCCTAGATTGTCTAAGACTATTCTGAATCCTCAATGTCCCTTGTCCTAAAAAAAAACTTCATCCATGAATAAAATAAAGGTCTTGATCATCCTAACTTGTATAATAATGAATATCAATTACATAATAACCAAGTATTCCCTTAATATGATTACAGGAACACTAAAATAAAAATTGGCAGGAGTAGGATTTGGCTCAGCGGTAGAGCACTTAACTAACTTGTCCAAGAAAAGTGTTAGATCCCTACACTGGATAAAAGAAATGAAACATAGAGCCAAAAACTATCTTCCATATATAAAAGATCATATTGCTGTTTCAGAAATGTTAAATTCCTATTAGGAGGCAAGCTAGGAAGGGTGCCTTGTATCTTGCTCTTTAATCTGAAAGTTGTTCTTTGACAGTCTTCCAAATGTTTTCAATTTTATCAACATTTAGTAGCTAGTCTATTCGATTTCATATTTCTGTTACTCATATAATGAAACACAAAACTTCTTTTTCATACATACCCCTTTATTCTGAAACTTCATGAGGATGTACAGGTTTTTAGAAGTCATATGCAATGAGCTTGAAGAATGCTACTCTGAGTAGTTCTAGCATTTAATGGTAAAATTTGTAAGTGCTAAAAATACACATAAATATCTCGTTTGTACATAATATAAAATCCTAAATATTTTGAAGCTGAAGTACACAAGAAAATTCTGCATTTATGTGCTCATTCATATTGATGGCTATTTATGCCTATTTTGTGAAATTTGCATTTAACTATATTTACTTATGAGACACCTTAGTGTCCATTCTTTGAATAACATTTATCAAACATTAATACAGCTTCTTGAGATAACACCCATTCTTAAGCGGTTGAATCCTTAGAGTTACAACCTGTTACAAGCAAAAGAAAAGCCCTATAGAAGTTCCATACTGCAGGGTCCGCTGGATCTCTATTGCTTTACTTCATACTCACCTGATTACATAAAATTCATAGATTAATGAGGACAGGTGTTCACCGAGGGTTTTCAACACCACATTGAGGTTTCAACACAAATCTGAGTTTGAATGATGTCTTTTGGTATTTGTGTGTGTGTGTGTGTGTGTGTGTGTGTGTGTGTGTGTGTGTGTGTATCTGAAAAGAAAAAGGCATAAAAATAATTGACGCTCAGACCTTTTACAAAAAACACTAAAGTTATGACAGGAAAACAGCAAAACAAAACAAACAAACAAACACCTCTAATCATCCTCCCTCCACATGCATTTATAGATTTAACATGTAATAATACCCCAGCCTGTGGCTGGGGAAATGTAATTACCTGATCTCTATGCAGGCACAAGCTCAAAAGGACAGGCAGAAGATGAAATGATATGTCTGCTTAATTGCGCAACTTATTTGACCTGAGAGCGATCTTCCGGTGACTACAGGGACCTTCAGCACGCCTCGTCGCTTAGAGGGCCTAAAAGGGACAGGGCTGAACTTCACAGAGCTGAAGAATTTCCACTCTCAGCACTAATTTGCCCGCTTGTTGCTTGCATGGCAGGATTCAGAACAGCGTCCCGGGCCGCCACCCGCTGGAGAACAGTAGCGCTGTCCGCCCCGCCTCACTCTGTAAGAACAAAAAGCATCTCCATAGCTGTGAGGAGGGAGAGCCCGGCCTTGATCTCAGTGCTACAGAAAGAGCCTGAGGCCTGCGGGAGGAAGCAAGGGTCCGTGGACTCCGGGCGGAGCACGCTCGCAGCCAGCGCTCCTTCTCAACAGGAGCGAAACCTGTGCACGCTCCTCCACCCCTCCCAGCGGCTGGCGGGACGCGAGCCCGGCTCCGCCTGCAGTTCCGCTCTGCGCTTCCACTTCCGGCCCTATGCGGGCCGCTTCTCAGTTCATTTCCGCCCTAAAGTTCGTAAGGGTCTCAGAGCGGGGTTAGTGGATAGATTTGGCCTCCGTGGGCCCCTCTAGATTGTAAAGTGATCTTCCCAGTTTGGTTATTGACTGTGTACACGGTTGGACTTTGGGATAGGTCAGCCAAGGAGACCAGCGGCGGCCCCGGCGGCGAGGGACCGTTAAAGGAAGGAGCCATGACAGAATGAGGGCATGGGAGAGCCAAGCTCGATCGGGCGAGTTAGATAATAGCGGGAAATAATTTGAGGTGGTGGCTGCAGTGGGGAGTAGTTCCTGGGGCAGGGATGGACACAGGTACAAAGCCTGGAGTGAGCTGAGTTGACTGTGGGTGGGGATTAGTTTTATGGGTGGCCAATGGTTGCGCAGGGTGTGAGATAGGCTTGCTACTGCCCCAAGGAATTTGAGAGGCTAGTGGCAGGGAAGGGAATATAGATGGCTATGAGCTTCTCAAATTGGTAACAGATCACTCAACAGTAACTTTTCTTCAGTCTGTTCTCCATGATTGTACAGCCTACTAGAAGTGCATTGCATATCTTGCTTCTTGAAAGACCAACATTATTTATTTTAATTTTTTAACAAATTTACATACATCTATATAATGTATTATGGAAAATAATTAGAGGTATAAGCAGAAAACCTTCAGCATGAACACTGGGTAGGGATGACAAAAATGATTCACCTCATGGCCCTAATTGCTGGGGATTTCTGGTAGGAAGGAGAAGGGTTATTATATTTAGATAGTTGTAGTTTTCGTGTTTCGAAGAACATCCTTATTGATTCCCATGGTGGCTACACTATTTTACATTCTCAAAAACAGTGTGTAAGATTTTCTTTATTCTTTATCCTTAACGACATGTATTTTTTTTCTCTTTTTGATGCAAGGCATACTAACCGAGCAAGATGAAAGTTTTTCCTATGCTGTTGTGTTATACTACAAAGAATCAGCCGACGTTCTAGTTTGCTTTCTACTGCTGCGATAGAACTGTCTGACAAAAAAAGACACTCAAGGAAGAAAGGATCGATTTAGCTTACACATCCCAAGTGCAGTCCATCACGGAGAGAAGTCTGAGCAGGAACTAAAACAAGAGATGTGGAGGAACACTGCTCACTTACTGTCTTAGTTCCTTATATTGCTCAGCCATCTTTCTGAAACAACCTATGATTTCCTGCCAGGGTGGTATTGCCCATAGTGTTCTGATTCTCCCACATCAATCATAATTGTTAAAGTGCTCCACAGACTTGTCTCCAGGCCAATGTGATGGAGGCATTTTCTCAATAGAAGTTTTATCTTTACAGATGACTCTAGCTTATGTCTACTTGACAAAACTATATCAGCTTACTATAGATATATCTACATACTTGTGTTTGTAACTTCATTCTTCACAATAGCTATGGTGTAACCAGCCTATGTAGCCATTAACAGAGGAATGGATAAAATGTAGTAAATATACATAGTGGGAGTCTATCCAGCCAAAAAGATTATGCTATTTGCAGAAAAGAATGGACAAGGATAAATCATTATACTAAATAATCATATTAAATGGAATAAAGCAGCCCCACAAAGAAAAATATTGTGTGTTTTCAGTTACTCATGGAATCTAGGGGGGACATATAGGAGGGAATGTCATAAACGAATTCCTTTTAAAATTGTTAATATAAAAGTACATTTTATTGTGTGTGTCTGCATGCAAAGGTCAGAGAACATCCCTCAGGAGTCAGTTCTTTCCTTTTACCACATGGGTTTCAGGGATAGTACTTACATTGCCAGGCTTGGAAAAAAGCACCCTTAGCCACTGAGCTATCTTTCAGGCCGACTATATGCTAATTTGGTAAGACATGGTTTTTATGTAAGACAGACTAATCCTAGGCTGTGTTGGGTGTCATTGCCTCAACCTTGTTATACATAGACATTTCACATTCTGTGTACTCTTGGCTGAATTGGATTTCTCTTGAGTTTAATCTGCTCCCAGTAATTAAAATTGGGACCAAAATGCCCAAGTGTGAGCATCAGGGCTGACTGGAGCCAGAATGTCGATGTCAGTTCCCAGACACAGATGGAGGAGTTCTGTTCCTGGTTCTCAGTCGAATGCAATCATCTGTGTGCTAGGGGATGTGCTGCAAGTGAACAACAGCTTTCAGTAGACACCTGTGCTGGGACCAGAGTGGGCTATCAGTTGCCAGGAATTTCACCCTTTACGGTGTAAAATTATTTGTGGCTGGAATAGGAATCAGCCTTAAAAATCTGGAATACTGACCTATAGTACAACATGAACAAAACATTTTGTTGAGAAGGTACACCAGTCATAGAAGATAAATGCTGTTTTTTTTTCATACAGCCATCCCTATTGTAGCCACATTTATAGAAGTAGAAAACAGAACAGTAGACTCCCTAGCCTGGGAAGAGGTATAAAGAGTTGGTGTGTAGGAGGAAGAGTTTCTGTTTTGGAAATGACAGTTCTTAGATGAATGGTGGTGATGATTGCACAGCAATAAGATATAAGATAACACTGACCCAGGCACTGAACAATGGGTCATAGGGTATAGTTTATGTTTTATAGAGTTTATGATATTTTTATTTTTTTTTACCAAAACCAAAAAGATTTTAATAAACTTATTATAAACTACCCTTGATCCTAGTGTCTGCTTTTTTAATTTATTTTTTATTTAAATTAGTAATAAGCTTGCTCCACATGCCAATCCCAGGTCCCTCTCCCTCCCTCCTCTCCTAACTCCCTACCAACCCCCCAAGCTCCTACCCATTCCCCCTCAGCTCCCCAAGAAGGTGAGGCCCTCCATGGGGGATCTCTAAAGTCTGTCATATCATCCCAGGCAGGGCCTAGGCCCTCCCCAATGTGTCCAGACTGAGAGAACATCCCTGCTTGTGCAATGGGCTCCCAAAGTCCATCCGTGTGCCAGGGATAAATACTGATCTACTACCCAAGGCCCCATAGATTGCTGAGGCCTCCTCACTGACACCCACATTTAAGGGGTCTGGTCAGTTCCATACTGGCCTCTCAGCCATCAGTGTCCGGTCCCTGAGCAACCCCTTGTTCAGGTCAGCAGTTTCTGTGGTTTTCACCAGCCCAGTCTTGACCTCTTTGCTCATCACTCCTCCATCTCTGCAACGGGATCCCAGGAGTTCAGTTCAGTGTATATCTGTGGTGTCTGCCTCTCTTTCCATCAGCCACTGGATGAAGGCTCCAGGATGGCATATGAAGTAGTCATCAATTATGATATTTTTTAAAGCAAAAGACTATGACTCGTAGCTATCCTGACATTGCCATGTTTTCTTTGTTCATCTGAGTGCCCCTCCTCTCCCTCCACCTCTTTCTTCTCTTCCTGCTCTCCCTGCTCTTCCTCCTCCTCCATCTCCTCTTCCTCAGTCCCTGTCTCCTTCCTGTCCCTTCCATTTATGTTTCTGTCGTCATTTCTTCCTGTTATTTCTCAATGAGTGTCTGCTCTCTCTTTGCTTCTCTGTCTCTCTTTCCTCCCTTCTCATTTTTCTCTCATCTGTTTTCTATCTTAAATGCCCCCCCCCAAGTTATACTACCAAATTATTCCCTTTCTGTTAGAAAATCCCATTTTTTCTTTGTTTCTGTGCCCTGTATCCTTTGTGTCATGAGAAGGAGAATTACCTTCACACCAGGTGGACCATATAGGCTGTAGGAATTATGACAAGGACTAGGATTTCATGAGGAAATACATCAAGACATCACCTTGCACTCCATAAATATATCTATCTGTCAAAAATTAAAAAAAGAGGAATGATAAAATTTATGAACAGCCTATATGCACAGAAGTTATTATATACTATGGCCCAAAAACTAATATTCCTTTTCGTATAAATTAAATTTGTTTTTAGCTAATATAACAACAAATTTTACATATTTATTGAATAATATGTTACTTTTGCATCACTGGGATTGAAATGTCCTATAGGAATGATTTAAGGCAGAGAAAGTTTACTTAGCTATATTTTCAGAACATTACAGTCTATCCTAGTAGTTGTCATTGCTTTTGGATGGTGAGATAACAGTTGTGGACATGTGAGAAGACTAGGAATCAGAGGCAGCTGATCTAGAACCAGAAGTGGGTATAATGTTCACATTACCTGTTCTCATTGATTTTTTTTTCTGCTAGCCAAGACCCTCAGGAAAAAGGCTCTATGCCTTCAAACTGCTGCCATAACTTGGGGACTGAGAATTCAAAACATAAGCCTGTGGGGGACAGTGCAGATTGAAGCCATAACAAGTACCATGTGACCGATGATGTTTTGATATATGTGCATTTTAAATTATTCAACTCATGTTAATTATACTGATCTTAAGACATCATCTGTTTGGGCAAGGCGGTGATGGCACACACCTTTAATTCCAGCACTCGGGAGGCAGAGGCAGGCTGATCTCTGTGAGTTTGAGACCAGCCCGGTCTATAAGAGCAGTTCCAGGACAGCCTCCAAAGCCACAGAGAAACCGTGTCTCCAAAAACCGAAGAGAAAGAAAGAAAAACAAACAAAAAACAAAAAGTCATTTGTTCAAGGTGAAAATATAAAAACTCATGAGAATTTTAATACATAGCCATTATTGTTTCTATTATTTGCATTTTAAAATACATTCTAGAAATTAAGTTTGTATTTTCTGTTAATAGCACTTATCAATGTATATGGTGAATTGTATAAAATGTGCATGCTCTGTATTCATGTTATTTATAATTATGCTAGGTGTGATAGTTCATTTTAAAGTCTGAGGCTGAAACAGGAGGATTGTGACTTTGAGGCCAGCCTGGGCTATAGAGCAAGGTGCAGGCTGACAAAAATTATGTACAGCCAGAACCTGTCTTAAAGATGTTTTCTACTTAAAGATTATGTGAAAAGTTCCTTTTGGATGTAATAACAAAGGGTCATTGTGACTTTTTCAAGGGGAAGAGCCACAGAATGATGACAACATATGAAGGTTCCAAGTAGTCTGAGGAGCTGGTTGGAGGTAAGATGTTCTAGGAAAACATAATATAGTTGTCCCTTTTTGAGCAGCTTGTACTAAGAGGAAGGGACAGAGGAGGTTAGGCAAAGGATTTCTATGTACTTCAGAGAAATGTAAACATTAAATGCCAAAGGAAGGATTCTCTAGGAAAAGAGACATTGAAGATAGAGGGATTTATTGGTGTATGTGGGCATGAAGAAGATGGGAAAAAATTGAAGAAATTTACAAACAGTCTAAGATATGTGTAAATATATCAACTAGACCCCTGAAACTTCAGCCTATTTATAGTTTCCCCATGAAGTACTGGGAGAGTTTTAAGAGTTTGACAGTTTTGTTCCTCTGCTCTTGCATGCATGTAAAGATCTGCCTTGGCTTCCTTGCAGTGGAGGACTACAATATGGAATTGTAAGCCAAATAAGCTCATTTTCCATCTCCTGCATTTGTCAGGGTATATTATCACAGCAACAGGAAGTGGAACTAACAAAAAGTAAAAATGGATAAAGTACCAAACAGGCTTAAGGGTGATTCAGTGACTCATAACACGTAAAATGCCCAGGTATTATGACTTTTTTCCATGTTAGTTCTAAGTATTTTGTGTTTATAGTTGCACTAAAATAGTATGTTGTGTGTTTCTTCTTCCAACAGGTATCAGAAGGCCATCAATAGCTGTGGCGTGGTAATGATCACAATTTTCCTAACTTGAAGTTTTACAAGGCAGGTAAGATAAATGAAAAAAGAAATTTTCAGTAATACCAATGGGATTGTTGAGACCACAGACTGTAGAAATAAGTATTGATGTGGGATCAGGATGAGGGAGCTTGGATAATGGGTACTATAACAGCATGTGACTGTAATTTACAATATTTCATTATATAATAAAGAACTAGGAAAAAATTGAAGCTTCCAAACACAAGGAAATGGCAAGTACTAAGATGGTTAGAATGCTAATTATCTTGATTTAATCATAATACAGTGCATATATGTATACATGATCATACTCTTTTGGGAATGTTTGTATTTAGTATGTTAATCTAAAAGAACAAAAAGACAAACATGGTATGTACTCACTCATATGTGGATTTTAGACATAAATGATAAAATACACACTGCCAGAAAAGCTAGTAAACAAGGAGGACCCTAAGAGAGACATACATGGTCCTCTGGAGAAGGGGAAAGGGACAAGATCTCCTGAGCAAATTGGGAGCACAGGAAGGGGGGGAGGGAGCTAGAGAATGCGACGGGGAGAAGAGGAGGACTGAGAAAGACATGATGGGCAGGGAGGTTGAGTTGGGGGAAGAACAGAAGAGAGAAAGATAAGAGATAATATAATAGATGGAGACATTATAGGTTTAAAGAGAAATCAGGCACTAGAGAAATGTCTGAAGAGCTACAAAGATGACACCAACTAACAATCTAAGCAACAGTGGAGAGGCTACCTTAAATGCCCTCTCCTGATAATGAGATTCATGACTAATTCATATGCCATCGTATAGCCTTCATCCAGCAGCTGGTGGAAGTAGAAGCAGACACCCATAGCTAAACACTGAACTGAACTGAAATCCAGGTGTAGAGGAGGAGGACTGATGAGCAAAGTGGTCCAGACCAGGCTGGTAAAACCCATAGAATAGAAACAGCTGACGTGAACAAGGGAGAGCTCTTGGTCCCCAGACTGACAGCTGGGGAACCAGCATGGGACTGATCCATACCCCCTGAATGTGGGTGTCAGTGAGGAGACCTTGGAAATCTATGGGGCCTCTTGTAGTGTATCAGTACTTATCCCTAGCGTAGGAATGGGCTTTAGGAGCCCATCCCACATACAGGGATACTCCCTGAGCCTAGACACAAGGGGGTTGGCCTAGGCCCTATCCCACAAAATATGACAGACTTTGAAGACCCTCTATGGAAGGCCTCACCCTCCCTTGGGAGCAGAAAGGTAGGGTATTAGTTGGCAGGGGCAGGGGAAGAGGAGATGGAGAGGAATCTGGGATTGACATGTAAAATAATTTTCTTTCTAATTAAAATGAAAAAGAACAATTTCTATGATAGTCAAATTGTAAAATATACCCAGATGTCCATCATCACATGAATGACTAAAGAAAATGTGGCTTATATAGACAATTAAAAATTTTATTTTGTGACAGGGTTTCATGTAGCCTAGACTGATTTCAAACTCACTGTGTAGCTGACGATGCCCTTAAAATGTTGACCTTCCTGCCTCCATTTCCCAGGTGCTGTCATTACCAACTGGAATCACCACACTTAGGTTTAAGGAGGTCAAACCTAGGATCTTGTGTATATTAGGCAAAAATTCTACCAACTGAGCTCTATAGTTAGTCCCTACAGAATGGACTGTTATTCAGCCATAATGAAGAATGGATCTGTGCCATTTGCAGGACAGTGGCTAGAACTAAAGACAAGCATTTTGAGTGAAAGAAGTCAGACTTGGAAAGACACATACTAGGCTGTGGAGATAGTTTAGTGGATAAAACACTTCTGTGCAGTTATGAGGATTGGAGTTTGAATCCCCAGAACCCACATAAAAGCCAGACAATATTTGGGAATATATGTGTTTATGGGTAGGAAGTAACAACAATCAATAAAAAAGGGGTCAAGAATTTACAAAAGAGAAAGAAGGGGCACATGGGGGCTTGGTGGGAGGAAGGAGAAGGGAGAAATGATATAATATAATCTCAAAATAAAATATATTGAAAAACAACAAACAAACAAATAAAAAAAACAAATGGGCAAGTGTGGTGGCCACCTGTAATGCCAGCACTGAGGAATCAGAAATAATATGTCTCAGGGGTAAGCTTGGCTACTCAGAAAGACTACTCAGAATTGGCAAGCTCTGGGTTCAGTGACAGACCATGCCTCAATAAATAAATAAAGTAGAAGTCTATTGCAGAAGATACCTGGCATCAATTTCAGGCTTCTGCAGGTACACATGTACCTGCACACACACATGCAAAGACATAGCACATGTATATTCTACCCATAAACACCCAAAAGAAAAGACAAATACCGTATTTCCTCTCATGTGGAAACTACATTTAAGGCAACTTTCACATTTTGTATATTCTTTTGTGTGTGTGTGTGGGGGGGTGTAGATATGTTTGCCATGACAAGCATGTGGAGGTCAGAGGATAGCTCATGGGATGCTCAGGGTATCAGGTTCAGCTGCAAGGGTCCTTACTTTCAGAGCTACCACTACATGGGATGTGTGTTTTAAATAAAAAATAATATGACATGAAAAAGGAAAACATGACAGATGTAGAACTGAGAAAAGAAGGAGGTAGAAGAGGCATAATAAAGAGCAGTATCCATGGTGACTATGATCAAAGTCCATCATTTGTGAATATGGAAATGCCACAGTGAAGCCCTTTTGTATGGTTAATGTATATTAATAAAAATTAGTAAATGAAAAGAGTGGTAAGTATTTCAGAGTCCACTTTTGTTTTTGAGGAATAGTTATGTGCCATGTACTATCTATTATATAAAATGTAGGAAAAAACCCACTGGAATCAAAATCTAGTAATGAGTATATTTCCCTCCTTCCTTCCTTCCTTTCTTCCTTCCTTCCTTCCTTCTTTCCTTCCTTCCTCCCTCCCTCCCTCCTTTCTGTCTTTCTTCCTTCCTTTGTTCTCTTTTTCTCAGGTCTTGTAGTGATTCTTTAAGAGTGATACTGTTGGTAGTTTTGCTGTTAATTTTAAAAATACGTATTTCTTCTTTGAAAGTTTCATACATATATGAAATGTATTGAACATTTCATTCCACTTCATGCCCCAGCTTCACCCAAATACCCTCACAACTTTCTCTTTCCAACTCCATGTTCTTCTTTTTACACCTTCTGTAAGCTATTAGTGCTTCTCGTATGTGCATGGGTATAGGGCCATCCAGTGAAGCCACATTCTGAGGAAAACTCATTGATCCTTCCTCAGCAGTCATCAACTGCCATGAACTTCTTCCCACATCTGTTCTGGAATGTTGGCTGGCCTGATCTTGTACAGGTTTTGTGTGAGTAATTAGAGCTACTGTGAGTTCCTGATTGCAATGGCCCTGTTGTGTCCAGAAAATGCACTTTTCGTAACACTCTTTCCCAACCTCTGGCTCCTATGATTTAATTTCACTTTTATTTAAATGTTAAAGGAGGTATGAAAATCATGTGGCTAATAACAAATTCATCAGACCTCACAGAAGAATGGTAAAATTAGATACATAGAGGAAGAATGGGGACTGTGTGTCATGACAGGGAATATGAGATCTCAAGCAGTTGGCAGTTGATCCCGAGAGAATAAAAATACACTCAAGCAAGGAGGGAGTTTTGCCAAGTGGTTGGAGAGTTTTGACTTTGAGCTTTCTGTGCTAAACTTAGATCTGTTGGACGGTGTCCTTGAATACAGGTCAAATACATCACCAGAGAGAGAGAAGGGGGGATGGTACAAGTTAAAAGCAGCATTGATGACTGATAAGTATCACATAGATAATATAAGGAGGCAACCTTCACCACATTAATCCAATTTTATGATTTACGTTACAGGGCTAAGAAAGGAGTCAGATGGGAAAGGCTTCACAGAGGAAGCGGCGTGACTGTGAGAACACATCAAAGCCAAAGACTTGTTTAAACACCTCAATCCCCTTGAGGATGTCCAGTTATACATTCAAGAGGCCAGTCACTAGAATCACATCCCATCAGGGTAATGAGGTAAGATATCATCAGTGGGAGGAGACCTTGGACAAGCCTCAACAAGCCTGCTGGCAGAAGAGACTGCAAGGACTCCAGGCCTATAGCAGTGTAGGAGAACTTTTGAGCACTTCAGATCTTGCCAAGGCTTTGCAAGACCTTACACCTAGAGGCACAGATTCATCTGTTTCAGAGACTCAAGCCAACAGCATTGACTTCAGGCCCATGCCCACCCATGAGTCATCTTCAAATTTGGTGGAGATGATTCCAGAAGCAGGTATGCCACAGATCCTTTGCAATCAATTTCTCGTCACCGAAGAAGATATTAGAAACCAGGAAAGGAAAGTGAAAAAAGCAAGAGAAAGACTGGCAGGTGCATTGATTGCACACAAGCTAGCTAACGAGGCAGAGAAAATGAGGGAGTCAAGGAAGGCAAGCTTATAAACACAGGGAAGGGATCTGGGGAGCAAATACTGCAGATGAAATGCAGAATTGTTTTAACACTTCTTTGCAGTGTCTTTTGTTGTTGCTTTGAGACCTTGAAACTTTAAGTTTGACAATACTTTATTAAAATTCTTTCTGTAATGCAAAAATGCAAATGATTATTTTTGTTTCTCTACACACTTCTTTCTCTGCGTTGAAGATCAATCCCAACTTCTCACTCAGACCCAGCAAATGCTGTACTATAGAGCCATATCACCCAGCCAGTAATTTTTATTTTTTAAAATTATTTTAGAGACTGGAGAGATGGCTCTGTGATTAATAGCACTGGCTGCTCTCCTGAGGACCCAAGTTTAATCCCCACATCTACATATCAGTTGACAACTGTCTGTAATTACAATCCCAAGGGGATCCAATGCCCTCTTCTGGTCTCCATGGACACCAGGCACACACACAAGCACACACACACACACACACACACACACACACACACACACACACACACTATTTTTAATTTATGTGTCTGTGTATTGCTATGTGCATATCAGAACAGGTGCATGAAGTGACCAGAAAAGGAGGACATTGTATTCCCTGGAACTGTAGTTATAAGCAGTTGTGGGCTATCATATACTGGTTACCAGAACCAAACTTGGGCACTCTGCAAGAGTTTTAAATGCTCTTAAGTATTGAAGCATCTCTCTAGCCCCAATAATTTATTTTTGAGATAAGAAATTGAGTTTGAGATGAGAAAAGATTTTTCTATTGCTCTTTAAAGTCCTATATTCATTCACTATTTTATTTTATTTTTAGGATAATGGACAAAAATTGCTGTTTAATAACAAGATTTATCATTGACTATAAATGTTTAGCTCTCATCAATAATATTGCACATATTTAAACGTCACTATTGTAGACCATCTTATAGTTTAGCTATACAAATTGATGATTGTAACTAAGAACCAGAGGAAGGAAAACTAAGAATTTGCTCTTGCATAACCCAAAGGATTTATATAAGATTTCCAAGAAAACTGGAGAATATGCTTAATTAGAATTTCATAATGAAAATTTATAGAATCTATGTCTTACTGAACCAAATCCTTTATAAAATTAATAATCTTATATTTCTTACATAAATCCTCTTAATGTATTTGTAATATGATGCTTTTAAAGTATTCAGTGGTATTTGATGCAGGGAGGAATGAAAGGAAGGGAAAAGGTGTGTGTCTTCAGCTGACAGCTTTTATTTTAAATCTTTAGGGCTGCATTTAAGTGACATAGAAAAATTCAATTCCGTATGTATGAACTGTTGTTAGCAAGGCACAAATAAAGAACTGAAAGAAAAATCAGCACTGAACATATATAATATCAGCTTAGGAGCCAATCATGTTGACATTGTCAAACTGGATGAAAAAAATAAACTGTCAATATATAAAGTAATTGCTTAAGTCATTTCCTTATTTGTGTCATTATGGTACAGTGATATTAAAGATGCTGGTTTGCTAGGTAGCTTAGTTGCCCTTTTGTACTCTAGCTTACCAAACATCTTAAATTACTGCTACAAGCTGTCTCCTGACCTAAGTGATAGTCTTATTAGGCAGTACACAGCAACTTCTCTTTCATGACTCTGTTTACAATTCAACCAGATCAGTTTTAAATGGACTATATTCAATTGTCCACAGGTTCGTATGCACAAGTAGCAGACATTGGAAGTCGTGTAATAAATAAGACAAGATGCTTGATAGAATTAGAGTGACTGTTGATGTTATTGATGATCAGAATGTATTACATTGATAAGATAATAATTCTACCTGTGTGGATAACACATCATGATATAGTGTTCTGAAAAATTACTGTTTTAGTTCTGAAATTTGATTATTGCTATGCATATATTCAACCTTAATCAGTTCTATTTTTAATTTATTAAGTACTAGCCTTAGTCACTACCTAGAAAGTACTGCCAGAATATTTATGATTCAGATCGTGAAGCTTTGACTATCCTATAAGTTATTCAAAACAGACATATAATAAGTCATTATAAATCAGGGGGGTTAGGTGTTATAACATCTATAAATATTCTATTTTATTTTAAAAAATGTTTATGTATATGGATGTTTTACCTGAATGTATATCTGTGAATGGTGCATGGGTTAGTGTTCATTGGATGCCCTGGAACTGGAATTATGGACAGTTGGGAGCTTTCATACAGCTTCTGGGAACAAAATCCTGGTGTCCTGGAAGAGCACCAAGTATTCTTTACTTTCAGGCCATCATTTACTAGTTACCTAACATTCTTGTCTTTTACTTAAAATGTTTTAAAAATTGTTGTGGCTTCTGACATTCCTAGGAGGCACAATCTCACAACAAAATCCGGGTTTTTATTTTTTCCCCTTTTACAATTTTTCGACCCCTTAGCAATGATGCCTGAACCTTAGGTTCAGGAGTTATGTTGTATGTATGTGCATTGGGACTGGACTCTGCAACTTCATTTTGATTCACTGTGGTTTTCTGTAATGATGTCTGTCTGTTGTAAAAGAAAAGTTTCCTTGATGCAGGTGAAGACTATACTTATCTGTGTAAAGGTACGTGATACAGTGTTTTGATTTGCATATGTAACAAGAATAACAACTATCACGTATTACTTTTCTAACCACTAAGGAAAGACATGTCAAAAGCAACTTGAGGAAAGAGTTTATTTTGCTTCACAGTTTGAAGGGGTGGTGAGAAGGCTTGACTGAAGGAGTTATGATGCAACTGCTCACCTATATCTGCAGTCAGGAAACAGTGAGACAATGTTGGGGTTCTACTCACTTCCCCCTCCATTTTTTCCTTCTTATTCAGCCTGAAACCTCAGACCATTGGATGGCACTGGTCATGTTTAGGGTGGAGCTTTTTTCCTCAATTAAACTGTGAAAATATACTCACAGACATACTCAGAATTGTGTGTTCTAGGTAACTCTAGAGCCAGTCAAGTTGACAATGAGGATGAATTCCCAGAGCTAGTTACAATATCATAGGTAGTACAAACTGATTAAGCCTAGAATCTGGCTTAGTCAATTTCCATTATTTACCATGGTGTTACTGACTGGGATCCTACACTTCACATTAGAGCTCTGGACATAGTTTTACTATATAACCAGTTTTGTGCTCTCTAATCTGCATCTATCTTTCCATGCTCATTCCTGCCCATAGTCACAATCATTCTATTGCCTATTTTCACATATCTGTCTTTTTAAAGATTCCATACAGCTGTATCATGATGTCAATCACCACCACCTCTCTCTCTCTCTCTCTCTCTCTCTCTCTCTCTCTCTCTCTCTCTCTCTCTCTCTCTCTCCTCTCTCTCTCTGTGTGTGTGTCTCTCTCTGTGTGTGTATGGTAAATGTGTGCCACAGAACATATCAGAGTACAAACTCATGTGTTGATCCTCACCTTTCATCTTCTTTGAGACAGGATTTCAAGCCCATGAACTTTTATGGATTCCCTGGTTTCTTTCCTATGTAGTGCTGGGATTTCAGATGCGTGCCACTGTGTCCAGATTGTAGAATTCAAACTCCATGTCTGCCCAGAAAGCATTTACCCATTAGGCCATACTTCCAGCTTGCATATTTATTTATAGGTCAAACTTAGTTTGCTTAAGGGCCCACAGGAGTTACTGCATATGTCATGGAATTAGGCAGACCTACTGACATAGGCTTTTATATTCCCAGCACTGAGAAAGTAGAAGTGTGTATGTGGGGGGGGGCAGAGTTGTAAGCACAGACTCCAGAGCTACAGGGAACATCACAGAATTATGTAGTGCTTTGTACTTTCAGGTTGTGATGGCTATTCTTGGTTGTCAACTTGATTTCATATGAGATTAACTAAAACCCAAATGTCTGGGTACATCTCTGAGTATTTTTTCTTAATTAAGTCATTCTATTCTCGATCTTTGAGGTGGAAAGATATACCTTTAATCGAGATCTGTTTGAGGTGGAAAAAAAAATCAACCATTAATGTGGGTCACACCTTCAGCCTTTGAAAAGGACATGGAAGAAGGAAGCTTGCTCTCTCTTTGCTTGTCCTTGCTTTCACTATCAAGTCAATTCCTTCACTGGCATTACAGCCTACTCAGGATTCTCACATACACTGAAGACCAGCAGAGACATCCAGCCTTGTGGACTGAACAAGTAGTGGATTTTTGGACCTTCCATTGGTAGACAGTCATTGTTGTGCTAACTGGACCACAGTCTGTAAGTCATTCTAACAAATCTCCTTTCTTCTCCTGCACCCCTCTTCCCCTCGTTGCAGCACTTGTGGTTTTCAAAATGGGTGGATGTCAGGTTAAGAGTGCACACTACTCTTCTTGATGGCTCAAGCTCAGCATTGAGTATCCATATCGGGTTGCTCATACACATTGTAACTCTACTTCTGAGGGATCCAGAAATTTCTATACTGATGTGGTTTTAATGTAGATTGTGTCTTCTAGTCTCATATATTTAATCATTTGGTCTCTCCAGCTCTTGACAGTGGGATGGTTGTGGGAAAGTTATGAAATGGAACCTTGCTGGAAGAAGAGGTTCATAGAGTTATGGGCTCTGATATGTTACAACCTGGCCCCACTTCCTGTTCTCTGTTCCTAACTGCCTCTGTAATATGACCAGCTTGGTGCCTTCTCTGGTCACCATCCTTTCCCCACCATAATGAACTGTGTTCCCTGGCTCTCTAGTCCAGGCTGGCCTTGGACTAACAGAGATCCGCCTGCCTCTGCCTTCCAAGTGCTGGGATTAGAGGTATGTGTCATCACTACCTAATTTAAACCATTCTTTAAGATGCTATTGTCAGATATTTTGTTTTAGCAGCAAAAAGTAACTAATACAACCATTTTCATGAATTCCCTGCCTGAAGAATGACATGCTATGAGGCCACAGACCATAACTAACAATCTCCATCAAGACTTAATAAAGGAGGAACTTTCTTTGCTTAGTCACCAGGGACCTCCTCAGGGATCAAGTCAAGAAAATCATAGATTCTGAGTCTGATAAACGTGGTTTATTTATTTTTTGGACCCTGTTAGGGAGAAGGTATCCCTGGTAGGTGGAGTCATGGGAACTTCCTCAGGTCTAGGTGAGGCAGGTAATAACCTAGGCGGTGACGTTGAACCTGGTAGTCTCCTTCCTTTTTTCTTCTGCAGATAGTCACCTGTGAAGGTCAGGAGAAGCCATTAGCCAGAATCCTGGTAGAGGAGATATCATGAATGAAAACATGGCCAAAGCCAGAGGTCTTATGTTTCCTATATCTCTTTTCTTCCTTTTTCTATTTAGGCTTCTCCCTTAAAATGACTTCCCTCTCTAGTCTTTATTACCCCATCCATATATCTCTTATTTCTCTTTCTGAATTAATTTATTAATATTCATTAAACACTTAGCTATCAATCATGTATAGAATTCTCTGTCATGCATCATTAATCTAGTCTCTGCTTGTGTCACCAGTTGTCTCTGTCAGCTTGCAATCATTTATGATATTATCATTTATCTATCATGTACTAATGTATTATCTGTTATCTATATGGTTATTATCAACAATCTGTATACCATGTCAATTAGCACCTGTGAAACAAATATCCATCATATCTCTCTTTATATATTTCTAACTATCTGGCACTTATCTACTTATTTATATTTTTCCCAATATTATTTTCTCCTTTCATTCTCAGCCCAATTTCTGTGCTTTCTCCCCACTGTCATTCTTCTAGCTTAAAGGAAAAATAACGGACATACAATAAAGTTAACAGATCTAAAATGAATGATTTAGTGAGGCATAATGGTATGTGTCTCTACTCCTAGCAATTAGGAAGCTGAGTTAGGAAGATTGTTAATTCAATACTAGCCTGGGCTTTAGAGTGAAATACTGTTTCAAGAAGAAATGAATTATTTGACAGGATTTTATTACAACTCCCTAAGTCATCACTCAGAAAGTTGGTGAGAAACAGCCATTTATCATCTCTATCTGTGTTCTGCTTCATTATAATGCTTTCTTCTTTGCCATTCGCAAACATAATTATGATTCCAGAAATCTCAGGGCTGATTTCTGTCTCTATAAATCAGCCATTCATAATTTTTTATTATCAAATAATATTCAATTGTTGAGATATACCACTTGATGGAAATGGAGCTAGCTTGTTTTCAGGTTGTGTTCATTTTTCTTTTCTTTTTTAAAGTTTGGCTAGGACTAAAAAGGTATTTATGTACATTTTTGTGTCTTTTGATAGGTATTCTCCTTTATAGTATTTAAAAATATTTTCATATGATATATTTTGATTATATTTTCTCTCCCCAACTTCCCCCAGATCTTCCCCACCTCCCTAACCCATTCAACATCATGCTCTTTCTTTCTCTCTTAAAAAGGGAAAGAAAATCAAAACAAAAATGCAGTAAGACCAAAAAATGTCAAAACAAAACAAAAAAATCACCCACCCCCCAAAACCCAATGATGTTCATTTTGTATTGGCCAACTACTCATGGCCATAGTGCCTGCTCTGGAGTATGGTTGATATATCTAAGGAGACCCCATTGAAGAAAAATGATTTCACCTTTGCTATCACATACCAATTGAAAAAAGCTTCTTGCTTAGGGGTGGAATTTTATATCTTCCTTCCCCCTTCAGTGCTGGGATTTTTGTCTTACTTGAACCTGCATAGGTCTTATGAATAGGTATGTTCATTTTTCTTGTATAAATTAATAGGTTTGGGATGGATGTGTCTTATGGCAAGCATATGTAACTCTCAAAGAAATGGCCAACATACTACTAGCTCTCAGTAAGACTTTCTGTTAACTCATATCTTTGCCTGTACTTACTAGTATCAGCCTTCTAGTTATTGTTTTATTCATGTTGTTATATCCCTGCATTTCATTAATGACTAATGTTAGAATTTTGAGGTCCATTGTAGAACATACTGACTACAGTTAATGTAATATATATTTCAGAAATGTCCAGAATAAGATTCAAATCACCCAAAATGATATGATATATTTACTTGACTTAGTAATTTCTTAATGCATACCTTGTGACTCATAAAAATACACATTATTTGTCAAATAAAAACAAAATATATACAGAGCATGGTGGCACACTCTTGTCATTCCATTATTTGGGAGACAGATTTGAAGTAAGCTTGGGCTAAAAGAAAATAAATATACCAACAAACAAATATCAATAGCAGTAAAATTAGAAAAGAAGGGTTAAAAAGGGCAGCCACATATAATCTAGATGAAAATTTTCATAAATATCACGAGCAAAGGACTTGTATATGTATAATAGACAGTCATATACTGCATAACATTAGGGCCTTATTTTATGAATGCAATGTCTTTTGTACAAACATTATAGACTGTATTTAAACAAGCATAGATGGATACAATGGAATTAGAGAGCAGCATTTTGGAAAACATTGTCATTTATGTGACATACATGTCCCATCCTAGGACCATCCTAGACCAATGAACTGCTGTAAGGTGCTTGTCTGTTTAAAAGTTCGTAACAATTCAGTATTGAGAATACAGACTCCCTCCCACACACACACTTCCTTGCTCACCAGGAAACAACACATCAAGCATGTGATGAGTATCAGTAGTACTGCCAAGCAGATGAGAATGATAGCCCAGAAGGGAAGACCTGGGGAGACAAATACTGGAATGAGTCCCACATTTCTACCTCCTGCCAATCCTTCCTGAACCCTAAGTGTTCTGAGGATGGGTATGAATCTTGTGGAGAGAGCTTCACAGCTCACTTTCATATGAATCTGCATCCCACTTCTTTCTGTATGGGCTTCAAACAGGATGAAAACCCTAATGTCTTTCCACTCTACCTCATCAGTCCTTGCCATGGTTTGACTCTGTTTTACCATGACCCTCTGCATATAGCACTTGATAACAGAGCTACAGAGAAGATGCTCCCTTGATACCCCAGACATGGAATAGTCTGAAACTTACCATAATTCTTCATCACATCATCGTCCCTGCTTGAAGAATACCCTGGAAATAAATGAAACAGAATGCACATGAGATTTTTGTTTTGAGTTTTTCAAGACAGGGTTTCTCTCTATAGACCCTAGCTGTCCTTAAACTTTCTCTGTAGGCTAGCCTGGCCTCAAACTCAGAGATCTGCCCATCTCTGCCTCCTGTGTGTTGGGATTAAAGGGGTGTTCTATGACATCTGGACAGTCTTTACTATTTGAGTCTAGGTGTAAAATTTAAGGTATTGGGCATGGGAGGAGAGTCCCGTACACTCTCAGCCATGCTTTCTTTTTTATTTTATTTTAAAAAATTTTTGCTCCTTTGAGATAGGATCTCATTATATAGCCCTAGCTGGCCTGGAAGAACTCACTATTTATTGTAGGCTGGCCTTCAACTCAAAGAGCTCTACCTGTGTCTGCCTCCATTGAACTTAGACTAAAGACATTGATCATCCTGCCTGGCTATTCATTTAAATGAAACTTAACAGAAATACAGAAATGTAGACAGAATAGTGTAATAATTCACTGCTTACATTTAACTATTTGTATTTTATCCAATTAAAATAGTATTTACAAATGATTGCCATTTACTATCTTTGCTTCATTTAGCATTTTCATTCAAATTTTAAAATCAAATAGACATCACCTATTTTATTCTGAAGAAAAGAAGAAATCTAGCTAAGAACCCATGGCTGCTAATGTCAGCTTGATTCACTGACCAGGGAGCCTTACCATCCACAAGAACACTCTGCCTGTCTAGTGTGAAGTTCAGCAACCGGGTACCATTTTGTGTCATCCGAAGGAATTCCTCATAGATAGCAACTCGGTCCACTCGTCGAGCCAATGGTGAGAAGTTACACAGGGAATCTACTCCTGTGTGGTTGCTGTTGGAGACATACCTAAGAGGGCACAGAGGATGAACAAGGATTTTTTATTCTGCATTTATTATAGATTATCTGTTGCTATTCTCTTTCTTGGAGAATTTTGTCCAACATCTGCATCTACACTTTTCGATATAGGTATTAGTTGTATCATGTTTCTACTTTCTTTATACTAGAAATGTAGCTAGACCTAAATTAATATTCTGTATTATACTCTTCCTCCAAAGGTTCTGTGATCATTGTGTAATGGGGCTGAAAGATTGTAAGAGCCAGAGGTCAGGAAGGAGGGCTGTGAAACAGTGCTTTTTAGATATAACTGAACCGCTGCATTCATGAACTCACAGGTGCTGTGGTAGCCTGCAAATAGCTTACAGAAGATAAAGCCAGGCTAAGACCTTGTTACCAAAGGCACCAAACACTTTTTTCATAGGATATGGAGAAATCTAGCTGGAACTTATCAGTAAGATTCTTACCTAATGGCCAGCTTTACAGTACTGGGAGGTGCTATGCAGGATTATAGGAGGAAAAAAGTCACTACCAGTCTTTTTCAGCTGTGAACCCTAGGAGCTACAATTATGAACATGGCAAAACTTTCCCATGGGTTCAACAACCACAGAAACGGTATAGGGTAACCAATTGCTCTTCAGCTGAATTTAAGACCTGCTTGCTCTACAGGAGAAAACATATGTTTAGTACTGTAAATATGGCCAAGAACCCACAGTTGTGGAGCTCATAGTCCCCAAAAGCAAACCCACTACTATTAGTTTGCTAAATGGAAATAATTAGAAGAGACAGTCAACAATGATTCATAATCACATGGAGTCTACAATACCATGGGCTCCTAGATCTCTCCTCATATGAGATTCTGCAGACTTTTTGAAAAGTATTTTTATGTTCGTGTGTGTGTGTGTGTGTGTGTGTGTGTGTGTGTTCACATGTGCTACATTGCTCATATGGATGTCAGAGGACAACTCTTAGGAGTTGGTTCTCTCCTTTCTATAATGAGCATCTTGGGGATCACACTCATGTCATCATTCTTGGGGACAAGTGTGTTTTTATCTATTCAGACATCTTATTAACTGGGAGACTCTCAAATCTCCTGGGCACTTTATTTATCTGTTGAGTAAAGAAAACATTGAGGCAAATGATTATTTACTTGAGATTGGGTGCCACTGTGTAGTCCAGACTAGTCTCAAACCCCTGATCCTCCTGCCTTGGTCTTTAATATTGAAGACAGACATTAGCAGGTGTGGAGGCCATAAAAGATGCTCCCCTTCCTCATAATCAGCTTTGGATTCCATAGACTGATTCCTTGTTAACATTAAAAAAGCATTACATTTGCATTCCTTAAAACTTAGAATTTATATAAAAGGTGGCAATATTATAGTTTTGTTGAAGTCCTTTAAGGCAAATTTACTTCCCTCTGGTCAAAAGAATATATTCTGAGTTCTACCTCTATCCCTGGGTAGAGTCATGACATTCTTTGCTGCTTGAGAGGTAAGAATGTTTTATAACGCTATCTCCTTATAAGAAAGGAACAATTATTCTCTTAAAGTTATGTATTTATACTCATTAGAAGCCCATACTTTGATGCAGTTGCTTACTTCCTACTGCATGAAAAAGACAGCTTTTAGTTAACAATTTTATATCCCTTGGGATATCTTCCCTAAAATAGGAACCAAGAAATTATGAAAAGCGAATCATTTTAAGCATCTTTCCCCTGGCCAGCTTTAGGGTAATAGGTATATGGGCCATGCCAGGTTTTTATATGTGTTCTAGGGATTTCAACTCAGATTTCCATGCAAGGTCAGTATTTTATTTACTGAGCTATCTGCCCAACTTGCATGCCCCCTTTTCCTTTTGAATCTACATTTTGGTTGCTATCCTTGACAAGGCCACTAGAGTGCAATGCTATCTTATGACTGCTCCCCATGGCTGTACTGTTAAAACTGTAATAACTTCCCAGATTTGATGATACAGAGCTGCAATCCTAGCACTCTGTAACAGAGGTGGTGGTAGCAGGACCAGAAATTCAAGGTCATATTCAGTTACATAATGAGTTTGAGGTCAAGAAGTCCTCAGTATCAGTAGGTCTTGAATTGGCACTTACCTGAAGGCTAAAACTTGACACTCTGAAAAGTAACTCTTGATGCTGCTGTTTCTGAAAATCTGGTTGAGCTGAAAGATAGGGCAATGTTTCCTATGTCAGAACCTCGGGTTCCATTGTCAAAGAAATTAGACAGCTACTAAGAATACTTCCTGATCTACGTTTTCATTGACAAATGCAAGCCCAAGCATAGGATGTTTTATTCCAGAGTATGACATAGCTGTAGCACCCTTTCCTAGCTATGGAGTCTCTTTGTATTTTTCATAATTTATAAATGGGAATAAGAATGTATTTTCAATAACTCTTATTTTTTTTAAAAAAATCACCCACTGACCCAGTGTTCACAGTCAGTTTCTGCCTGGGAGTTAAGTGGACAAGCAACATGATTCTTACCGCATATTCAATGCTTCTTTTGTTTTGCTGGTGTTTGGTGGTGCCTGGCTGTGCTATGTCGTGGGAATAGGGTAGGTTGGTGATGGTAAAGTTCAGGTTGAAATGCTGAGAGCTGGAACTTGTTGGGATTTCTGTTGGCTGAAGAATGGGTGGCTTCATGTCTAGAGAGACGGGGGGGGGGTGTAAAACTTCCATATTAACTATTTGTCAACAACCAATCAGCCATTCATTATTCATTATGGACACTCAAGGAGGCAGCTCATCTTAGTTTACATGTAGGTTGCTAAGGAGATGGCTGAGTCAGTGTGTGCTCATTTCACAAGAATGAAGACCTGTGTTTGAATCCCTAACACTCAAATAAAAACCTGGGAGCAATGATCTACTGTTGTTATTCTGCTAAATTTACATAGTATAAACTACCTTATAAATTCATATCTCTCCACCAATTGGTATCTCTCTACCTATAGATTAATGCTACTTCTACACCTCACCAGAGAAGTTCTATTGCACAGTAGAAAACGACAATACTTAATAAATCCATAACTGATCAAAGTACATACTATAAATTTCTTTGGAGTGCTCAGCAACAAATGGGACATTTATATCACACAATACTTCTCCTGAAGGATTTAGGGACCATTACCAAATAGGGGGCGGGAAGAGTATAAGAGCCAGAGGTCAGCAAGCACTGGAGAAAATCAGCATCTGGTAGACATAGTAGTATTTCTGTATTCATATACTGACAGCAGTTGTGGCTGCCATCACAAAGTCTTACAAGATTCCCCCTCCTTTATAAGCCTCCAACTGCCAGGCTCCTTTGCTAGGGATAGAGGCTTATGAAGCCTAATCTTCTCCATGCTGGAATGTTTACTGGATTGATCTTGTATTTGAGAGCCATTTAAAAGCAAAGTTTAAAAGAAGAAAAATCTTTAAATATAGAAAGGTTTTTTTAATAAGGCAAAGTTCTGAAGATTATTGTAAAATGTGGTGGCTGTAATGAATATATATGTATAAATGATACTTTAACATGTAAATTATAAGAAGTGGTTTCAGTCAAGCATTTCAATACATGCATAAATATGTATGATCATATCCCTCTTTCTCCCCATTTTATACTATACTTTTCCTATCAATATACACTTAAAGTTTTTATAGAAGATGGTTGGTTTGGTTTTGTATTATTGAGACAAAGTTTCACAATGCCTCAGTAGGCTGGGAACTTACTAGGTTGCTCGAGATGGTCTTGTACTAATGACAATCCCCTCGCTTCAGCCTCCTGAGTACTAGGATTGTAAGTATTAGTCACTGGGCCCAGTTCTGAGAAGGGATTTTAAATGTTCTTCCTGTTTTTTTCTGTCTCTGTATCTCTCTTTCAATAGCTTTTTGCAGGGATATGTGTGTTAACAATCCTTGATTGCAATAAATTATTACACAAACTATGGTTATCCCATACTATCCACTGTGATCAGTTTAGCTACATACAGTTTTATTTATCCCTTAAATCTCAACAAAACAGGTGGGAAAAGTAATAATCAACTTTAAAATAGATGACTTTAGTTTGGGCAGCAAATTTCTTGTCTAGTTTGGGCAGCAAATTTCTTGTCATTTGTCTGCCCTCCTTGTGACAGTTTAGGGAAGGTTATTATTCTACAACCAACATATAGGTTAACTTGGTTTTACAGAGAAGGGGGATAGAATAAGGTCATGAAATACTCATTGTAAATGCAGGTCCAGAACAACCAATTATGGTTGCTGATGGCTTTCCTAGTTCATGAGCTAGAGGCCTGACTTTCTTTTATAAAGCATTTAAATTGTACACTTACTTTCTATCTACCCACTGAAACAACTTATTTTAAGACCACATCTTGTTGATTTTCAAGATGGCTTTAAACCTGTGGATTTAAATAATTTTTCTGCCTCATCTTTCCAAGTATTGAGGATCAAATGTGCACACCACAATCCCTGGCTTCACAGTTAATATTTAATGATCATTTTTCTGATTCCTGCCAATAAAATGGAAGTGACTCACTCACACCTTGTTTTATGCTGGGGACACCCTAGTTTGTATTTCTAGCTCCTTCTCTTCTGATGGTTAAAGATATGGGCAGGAGCTGTTGTTTTTCCCCTGAATATAGTGGAGGGAGATTTTGTATTGGGTCACTTACCACTAGAGGTAGTTCCTGCAATCTGGTGAGTGTAACCTAGAAGGAGGAGAGGTATTGGTGAGGTATTTGTGAAAATATTTTAGCAACCTGGGACCCCGTCTCTAAACATATTCCTTTCTCATTGGAGCAATAAGTCACTCAAAAACCATAACTTCTTATCAGCTTACTAGCCACCACCTGTAATTTACTCCCTTTGTGGGCAAACATATCCATGAACTAGAGGCAGTGTACCAATCCATTTCAAACTGGTTTCAGATGCCTGAGTATAATTTTAGGGAAAATTCTCTATTTACCACCTTATGAGAACATGAGTGGACATAAATATGATTAAATAATATGCATCATTAGAAAGCACAGCCATAGTAAACAAAGATTTATATAACCTACATATAACAATCAAAACAAAAAGCCAGTTGCAACCCATCCCTAGTAAACAACTCAGCATCCTCCAGGACCAAAAGGAAAGAGCTATGAGAAAGTGACTCAAGGATCTTGAGCAAATTTAGCTTCAGCTTGATGCTTCCTTGCATTTTGTCTGGTCTTTATATTTTACTTTGCTTTTGAATTAAAGCTCTTGCTACTTAAGAACAAAACAAAACAAAACCCCAAAAGAACAAACAAAATCAAAATGAACAAACCAAAAATCTGTTGGTACTTAATTATTTGTGTGTGCTTTTTCAAATCTTTGAAGAAATGCTAAGAACCTAGAAACACTAAGATCAGACAGACACCACCAGTAACTTTGGCAGGTATAGAAAAAATTAAACAATGCCTGGAAACACTCCACAGCAAACCATAGATCACACTCACCATTGACATAGAGACTATTCTGGTCTAGCATATAGCTGCCCAGCTGGGTGACTCCGTGAGTCAGCTGACTAAGCTTTGTATACAGCTCCTGAGTGTCAAGCTCAGGATATGCTGGATTATGGCGGTAGGAGCAGATAACACTCACACCAGTGGCTGTTCCATTCTTCTTAGACCTGAAGATAAAGGGTTATAGAGACATTAGAAAGATCCTAATATGGATGCAAGTTCCAAAGAAGGAGGACCAAGAAAAAGAGTGACAATAAAGGATGGTCATTCCTGTGAAAAGTAGAATTACCTGAGGGAAGTCAGTTTGCAATCTGAATAGATGGATTCATTCTGGACCAAGGGTCCAAGCTGAAAAGTAAAAGCAAGGGAAGAGGTAATGGAGGTGGGAATAGGCCTCATCAAACTGGAAGTTATCAAAATGAGCATCTCACCAGGTGCTGCAGGATCCTCTCAGTGGAGTTGAACATGGCTGAGCTCATGCCTGCTGAGTATGGGAGGTTGGAGATGGTGAAATTGAGTGTGAAATTCTTCAAATGCCCCATAACTACAGGAAGAGAGGAAGACAAATAACCGCAAATTATAGTTTATGTGGGATAAGTCTGAACTCCTGCACTTATAAGGTCATCTTCTTTCCCATTGTATGACTACCTACAATGTACCTATCCATGAAAGAAGCTGAACAGCTCTTCATCTCCATGTTATACCAACTCTCTTTTCTGAATGTTCTTCACATGAATTCTCTGTGCTTCCCCACCACAGCTAGGTCTTATCCTCTTCTGCACATGTTAGAATACCCATTGGATTTTTTTGTCTAAAGGATGTTAACTATGTCCTCCAGCAGAAGGATCTTTATAATACAGAAACCTCACTAAGACTTCCCAAACTATAGGATTACTCATGACTCCTTTGGACTTTCAATAAGAAATTCAAATTTATTTTACTGTAGTTTTGTTTCACGTTTTGTGGGGGGGTGCATGGCCACATGTATAAATGTGGAGGTCAGGGATTGATACCAAGTATCTGCCTTGATCCCTATCAACCTTATAAATTGAGGCAGAGTCTCTTATTGAGACTAGCTGGTCAGTTTTCATGAGGGCCCTCTTTCTCATCTTTCCAAGTGCTGAGATTACAGATAGGCTACCATGTTTGGGTTTTAACTGTAATCCTCATGTTTGTTTAGCAACCACAACCACTTTAACCACCAATCCCAAGGTAAATCCTCTTGATTAGGCATTCAAGGTCTTTTCTGCTCTGCTGTCTACTGACCTTTTATCATTAGCTACTTACTCATTCCACAACTATCAACATGACTCCACGAGTCCAGAAATAGACATACAGAAGCTATACTGGGAGTGTTTTTGGTTCAGGTAAACTAACTTCTCTGTTCTTCCATCACATTATGTTGCCATGAGCCACTGAGCCCTCACTGAGGGAATACTCTCAGTAAAACTCCATTCCTTATTTATTTTGGTAACTTATACTCATCTTGAGAGATTTGGTTCAGGTGCAACATTCTCCAGGAAGTTATTCCCTCTTCATATTATGCTATGTGGCTCCTCTCCCACTAAAATTCATTACTTGGTTATAATTATTAATCCAGAGTCTGGTGGTTGCATTAAGGAAGGCATCTGATTGAATTGTTAGATTTATCTTTATTATTATAATGATGGCTTCACCATCAGTTATTCACATCCTAGTTTTCTAGTTGTCTTAAGGAAGTTAGGTAGTGAAGGCGTGGAATGGGAATCTCAGCTAGGATAGGAAAAAGGGCTCAACATACCTATTGTGGGTTCTGTCTGCATAGATGTTGATGGAGAAGCCAGGATGGTGGTTCGTGGCTCAGGAACTGAGGAAAAGATTATCATCAGGATGGAAAGAAGCTTCACATAATTAGTGAATCAGTGATCCAAGCCATGGAAATTATTCCCAAGTGGATTATAAGTAAGAGTAAAGGAAAGAATGATTGCCTGAATGAATGTGGACAAGTCTGTGAATGTTATCAATTCAAGATAGTGAAAGTGGGCCGTTGGTGGTGCACTCCTTTAATCCCAGTACTTGGGAAGCAGAGGCAGGTGGATCTCTGTGAGTTTGAGACTAGCCTGGTCTACAAGAACTAGTACCAGGACAGCCTCCAAAGCCACAGAGAAACCCTGTCTTGAAAAACCAAAAAAAAAAAAAAAGATAGTGAAAGTGGATAGCAGGAGAGGGTAAGCAAATAGGCCAGATGAACTGTAAGACAAAAATGTAGAAGAGATGAATGCATGAGTATAAGGATGATAGATAAATGGATAGTCAGAACAGATTAAAGAATATAAATAAAAATAGGGTAGAATGATGGAAGGAAGATAATATTTAAGAAAGAGTAGATAAATAAATGTACATGGAGATAGATGGGCATGTGGGTAGAGTTGTATATGGGTGATGGATGCAAGGATTGGTGTGGGTGGATATTTGGATGGATGTAAGGCCATAGAAAATAAGGACAAATTGTGGGGGAACAAATGCTAAGAAGGTAACTGGACAGAGAATGTTGGCAGATGGATAGATAGATGGACAGATATAGTTAAATACAGACATAGGGTCCAGTGGGTGAATATATGAGTAGGTACATAGATGAATGCACAAGAGAGTAGGTGAATGGATGGATAAGTAGATACATATACACATGAAGAAAAGACAGAAATAATTCCAAGCAGGCAAATGGACAGAAGGAGGTGATTTGTAGATAGGTGGACAATTTGACAGATATAGAGATAGGTAGACATATGGATGGGTAGGTGGGTGGTTGTCAAGCTGTATAGATAGTTATGTATGTATATGTATGTGTTGGTAGATAGACAGAGAAAGCAAAGAATTAATTAATGAAGGATAAGTAGGACAATGGGTTGAAATATTGATGGATGGATACGGGGGATGAAAATGGATTAACAGATGAACAGTAGAAGGAAAAATAGAAGGAATGAGGATAATACATGAGAATTGGCAAGACAGTGGGTGAGAGGATAGACAAGTAGATATGTGGATAGATATATGAGTATGTATGTGGATAGATAGTTAGATGGAAACGCGGTGCCTGAGGATGAATGAGTAGAAAAATGAAAAAAAAAAGAATAGCTAGGAAGACAGAGGAATGGGTCACCAAACAAGAAAAAGTGAAAATTTTGCCGAAATCATTTAAGTATTCATTAGAATTTTCAACTTAATAATGAAGCTCCTATGAGGGGACATTTTATTTTTTAAAAGACACAAACTACAATCTTCATTTGAACTCAGCCCTGTAATTCTACAGGCAACACTTATATAAATATCTTCCTCAAACCAAGAGGAGTGAAGAAAAATCAGAAATCTAACACTTGAACTGAAATTCCAAGAGGCCAGAGACAGCAAATTTTTTCCACTAAGGCCATAGTCTCTTTCAAGAGACTGGATTATTTTAGGACAAGTTTCCTTTAGACATGAAGAGAAATGTGTGGACCAGGACATAGATAAGCTAAATAGATACATACTTGTAGGAAATCCTTCTGCACTATGTTCATTGTAACCTATAACACAAAAGGCACACATAAGGGGAAGAAACAACAAGGCCATATACACTATGCCTTGGTCCATGTGGGACAAATACAGATGCACATCTTTGAATTATTTAGCAACTATTTCTGTTCCATGAGATAACATAAATGTCAACATGAACAAGAATTTATTGGCACTTCAGCCAGATCCAACACTTATTTACCACTTCTAGAGCCTGTTCCTAACAAGAGCTTCCCATAAGATCTATTATCACATCTCAATCCCCACTTTTACCTACTTACCTTCACTATCATCTTCCCTTGTATTCTCCCTCTATCTATTCATGCACTTTATGTTTATGGAGTACTTTATGTATGTGCTTGCCACAATTCTATTTGAAGAATATAGTGCTGAAAATTTTCTGTGCCTCACTGTAGTTTACATTGGGATAGACTGCATATATAGTTTATTTGTCTCTGGTGTCTTGCTTAATGTTTGGCTCAGATGCTCAACAATGCTGATTAGACAATATATTGAAGCTTATAAATTATGTATTTTATGAGGGATAAAGGACCATATTTGTCTCCCATTTTCAGAACTATAGTGAACAGATCAAAACTAAGATCATCAAAATTCTGACTAGGAATAAAACTATTGTAGGAGTGTGAATTCCCCTTTAACTCTTTTCACTTCTCATTGTTAAAATGAGGGTAATAGATGGAAAGACAAGACACCAACTCTTTGGAATGGAGGACACAATCAATCTTGAACTGAACTGGAACACTGCTGACTGGTGTACCTTGTAGCAGAAGGTAAAATGATGTACTCAATAATTCAATTGTGGCATGACTATTATGGGTATTCAACTGACTTTGGAATGGATTTTGGAATTGTTTCAATTGAAGTAATTTATTTCTGATATTTTAAGTCTCCTAAAAACCTCTGACTGAGAAGGTAAATAGCCCTACATGGAATATTACTTTGTTTTTCCAAAAAGACATGGCATCAAACTGCTTTGTAAATATACATATATTCATAACCATAGGCAATGGCATTTCAGGCTTGATCAAACAATCATGGTGCAGAGAAAAAATGCAGACTCAAGTTGTTGAGAAAGACTCTTGAGAGCTCAGGCATAAAGAATACATTTACAATATCTCTTCTGAAGTTTAGAGATATTTTTATATACTCAGAAGCATATGAAAATAAACAATGGATAAGGATAAGTCATAGCAAACTACAGAGCATACACACCATTGACAAATAAATCATCCTTGTCCAGTGAGTAGTTACCCAGCTGGGTGATTCCCTGGGTTAGATTTTTTAGCTTAGAGTACAGCTCCTGGATGTCCATCCAAGGATGTTCAGGGTCATGCTTGTAGGCACAGATGGCATCCACACCAGTGGCTGTTCCATTCTTCTTAGGTCTAGACAGAAGGATTATGGAGACTTTAGAAAAGACATAATGAAGATCAGAAGCAGAAAGAAGGAAGGGGGAGGATTGAAATGGCAACAATAAGCAATGGTCATTGCTGGCAAATGGACAGAAAGTGGACTCACTTGAGGATATCCAGTCTGCAGCTTGAGTTGAAGGAGCCATTCTTGAACAGTTGTTCAAGCTGTGATGGGCAGAGGGAAATAAAAACAGGTGTGGATAAATGGCTAATAGGGGACCAATCTCCCTAAGGCTGCTGGTGTAAGTTTCTCACCAGGTGCTGCAGGACACTCTTAGTTGAGCTGAACACAGTTGAGGCATTGCTTATATTTGATGCATATGGAAGGTTGGTTATGGTGAAGTTGATTGTGAGGATCTGCTGATGGTGTCCCATAGCTGCAGGTAGAGAAGAGATAGAACTGAGAATTTCACTGATAAAAGCAAAATCCTGTTCTCACCAGTTTGTCTTCCATTTCAGTCTCCAACGGCATCCCAAAGTATCTACAGTGGGTCCAAGATCTAACACTAATGCACAAACTGATGATGGGAGGAGGGGAAGCATCAGGAAAGGAAGGAGGGGGAACTGGGATTAAAATATAAAAAACTAATTAATAAAAATGGGTAAAAATGTATAGACTGTGAGAGGGCCCATGTGTTGAAATAAACTCATATTTCTACAACTTCCTTTAAACTGTATCATTAATCACAGCAACAGAATGTAACTTACAGCATTCAATTTGTTTTCCAATGACTTCCAAGTCTCATTTACACATCCATCCTGAGCCTACCATTATGCCCCAATAGGTTGAGGCAGGACATATAGAGGCTGCACTGGGAGTTGAGCATTATGTTTCATGGAAATCAAATTCCTCCCAAATCTTCCCATTCAAGGTATTGTTGTTGGTCACTGAGCCTTTATACTGAGATCTTCATTTCCAGAAACATTTCATGCTTTATTTATCTGTATTACTATTACTCATCCTAAGAAATTCTGTTCATGAGGAATTTCCCCTTTCTATATTATGTTATATGCTTGTTAGAGCCATTCCCCAACACCACAAACATCCAAAGTATTGCAGTAGTCTACTTGTCTCACACACCCTTGGCTGCATGTAGACAATCACCCATTTGGATTGTTAGACTGATCTTTGAGAATATGAAGATCACTCTGTTATTAGTATCTTCATATCCTGGTTTCCTAGCTGTATCTGGTAGACAGGTGGTGGACAGTGGATCTATTCTAAGACAGACAATGGGAGCCCGAGATACCTGTTGTAGTTTCTGGGTGCAGAGATGTAGATAGTGAAGGTAGAGTAGTGGTGCTTGGCTCAGGAGCTGTGGAAGGGATTGCCATTACTGAAATCCTCATTTCCAACAACATTTCATGATTTAGTCATCTGTATTGTTTTCACTGATCCTGAGATTTTCAGTTCAGGATGAGTTTTTTTTTTTTTTCAGAAAACTTCCCCTTTCTACATACAAAGAGTGTATTAGTGAGAGTAATTTTCTGGCTATGGTCAGAGGGAGAACCAACATTCACATGTGAACCATGAACTAAACTGAAAACAGATTTTTGTGAAAGTAGAAGTGAACAATACTATGAGTGGAATTAAGTCAAGATATAGTGATTAGTTACCCTCAAAATTATGAGCAAAGACACAAATGTATTAGGAAGATGGAATATGGAAGGGGTAATTAGATGGGTGGATGAAAGGATATATAAAAAGAGGGTCAAATCAGAATTCAAAAGAATCAAATTACAGATAGAGACAAGAAATAAGACTCGAGAGACTGAAGAAATAAGATAATAAGGCCAACTGGGTGAATGAACTTGATGATAGGGAAACGTGTGTGTGTGTGTGTGTGTGTGTGTGTGTGTTTTGCGATCCTGTGTATGTGTGTGTGAGTGTTGAAGGTTCAAAGGAGATGATAGTGTAAATATGTGGTGATGTCTTGCTTGTACAAATAAAGCCTGTCTGAGGGTTGGGGAATGGATCTTGCCACTACCTACCAATAGAGTTCTGGATGCCTGTACAGTCAGGCAAGAAGTGAGATACCTAGGTAGAAACAGGATATAAGCAGGGAGAAACAGGAACTCGCTCTCTTGTCTGTTGAGACACTAAGGAAATAAGGTGTGGCCATGGCTTGGTACATTCTCTGACCTTCAAACAGGCTTTATGTGTAGATGCACGATATCACCACAAAGGTATATCGATGGGTAGCTGATTATTAGTAGATGGGAAGGTGCATGGGTGAGTAGATAAATGCTGCTTGTATGGATACATGAATGGATTGGTTTGTGAATTCACAGATGATGAAAACGTAGAAAGTGGATGATAAGCAGTCAAGCAAACAGAAGAAACAGGTGTATTAACAGTTGAATGGACTGAAAGACACATAAGTTGTAGCTTTCAGTAGAAGAGTGTAGAAGAGTGGCTTATCATACAGGCTGTGAATATATGGATATATAGGCAGGGATGTGGTAGATAAAAGTTCAGGTGGATCTATGTTTGACTGAATAGAAAAATAAATAAAGCCCAACCTGGAAAATGGACACTAGTTTAGATTTATCAATGAATGTGGATGCGCTTATGAATGGAATCCTGAATAAAGGAAGGAGAGAAGGAAGAAACAAAGGAAATAAAAGATAGGAGAATAGATGGATGGATGGGTGGATGGATGGATAGAATGATGAATAGTTGGGTTCATGGAAATGGGATTTCAGTGCAGGAATAACTAGAAAATGGAAGAAAAATAGCTGGAAAGGTAAATGATGAATAAGCTGGTGAATAACCAAAACTCATCTCAAATTGATAAATTAATATTTACATAATTCCTGGTACCCTGATCTAATTTAGGAGAAACTGGGGAATACACTTGAACTTACTGGCATGGGAAAGAACTTTTGGGACTGAACCTGGAGAGCATAGTCTTAAAGACTAATAATTAATTAGCAGTTCCTCATGAATCTAAAAATTACTCTACAGAAAATGATGACATTGTTTGAATGAAGTGGCTTACTGTAGAATGGGAAAATTCTTGAGTTCCCATGGGCTCATATATTAGAATGCTAAGTAACCAGTGAATGGAACCCCCCCTTTTCTTTTTACAGATTTATTAATTGATTGATTTTGTATACAGTGTTCTGTCTGCACGTATGCCTGTAGGCCAGAAGAGGGCACCAGATCTCATTACAAACGTTTGTGAGTCACCATGTGGTTGCTGGGAATTGAATTCAGGACCCCTGGAAGAGCTCTTAAACTCTGAGCTATCTCTCCAGACCCTGGGAAAATTCTTTATACCAGCTAAATATCTGATACAGGGCTATTGTCTAGAATATATAAATAAATAAAAAGTTAGCCATAAAGAGATCAACCCAATTAGAATTGTGTCATGGCTCAGATAATTCTCACTAAATGAAATGTAAATGGTGGAGAAATATTTAAAAAATGTTCAACATCTCTTAGTATCAGGGAAAATACAATTAACACTTCTTTAAAATTGCATCCTATCCCATCATAACAGCTATGAAAAAAGCAAAATAAAAGAAACAAAAAAGAAATGACAACAAATGGCATCATGGATGTGAGGAAATAGGAACAATTATCCACTTCTAGTGGTGGTACAATCACTACAAAAATAAGTGTGGAGATTCCTAAAAATGCCAGAAATAGATATACTATGAGTACAAGCTTTATCTCTCTTGAGAATACATTCAAGTGTGTCTATAAGGTGCTATGGAGTAACATGTTTGTCCATGTTTATTACCACTCTAATCTGAATATCCAGGGAATTGTAGCAATCTAAATGTCCAGCAACTAATGGGTAGATATTGAAAATATGGTAGATTTACGTAGTATTTTTAAACTGGTAAGAATAATACAATTGCCATAGTCATTGTGAGTTTATATGTATCAGTCCCAGTGTATCTGGAAGATACTATTTCCTTGGAATAATTTACAATCCTTTGACCTATACAAGTTTAAAGCAGAGAAAATTACACCACTGAGATTGGGACTGGACACAAAGTTCCACACCTAGCCAAGGAGCTACATGCAATTTATACCTGCCTATAAAGGGAAAATAATTTTTTCTAGAGTTTGTCACTGTGTATATTAAGCACACTCAGAGAAGGATTCATAGTTTGAGAATGGAAAATGGACACCACAGTTGTTTTATTTTTAAAAGTGATAGGAGATGTTTGTTTCATTTTCATTTGTTTTGAATTTATTTGTTTTGTTGATTATTTTGATTATCACTTTTGTTTCTGCAGCACATAGGGGTAGAGAGAAAAGAGGAAGAGAGAGGAAGAAAATGAAGTTTAGTGAGCCAGGAAGTAGGGAGGACCTCAGAGCAAAATGGTCAGGGGAAAATGTCATCAAAATAAATTGTGGAAATTTTTAAATAAAACATGGCAGAGTTAGGAAATGTGCAGGTAATTGGATGGAGCTGGAAAAAAATCATGAGTGAAGTAACCTGGAAATAGTGAAGTCATATTTCTTTGATCATTTGTAGATGCTAGCTTTGAATCTTTAGATTACTATGTTTCATTTCATAGGATATGGTGATATTAAGGATTCAAATGAAAAGGGAATGGTCAGATGTAGAAGAGTTTAGGATGACCATGTAGTGAGGGAATACACGGAGGGATAAAAAAAACATTAAGGGCATTCAAAAAAACACTAACACTAAAGACACTTCCTGAGATATGTGCATACACACATAGGAAGAGTCTAAATGTAGCTGCTATATAATGGGGCAACAGTGTCCATCTAGACACAACAAGATGAGAAATAATATACCCAAATGAGGAATGAATTATTCTTTTGGGAGTTGCTGGTGAGTGATTTAATATAGATTCTCAAAGATTACTGCCTATTGCCAATATTTTGGTTTACCCTCCTGAACTTCTTCCTTAGACACATTTGCTGAAGATAACACAAACTTGACCCATAGCAAATGGAGAGATAAGTCTGTATTCAGCTGTCAGTTTCATCCCTTCTGGCTAACTTTAGAGTGCTAGAAGGTGTTATGCATGCTACTGGAGGAGAAAAGGAATCACCAAACTTACTCAACTATTAACCCTATGGGCTACAACAGTGACCAGCCTGGTAACACTAGTCCAACTGATGGAAGAGTGTAAAACTCTCAAAGAACTAATACAATATAGAAAAAGTAAAGGAGAGAAGGGAATTTTAGTCAAAACAGCTAAATATCAGAATTTGCACCTTGTAAATAAAAACCCTGATGTGGACATTTCTTTTTAGGAGACATATATTAGATAGTAACCATCTAAACTAAGCCCCATAATTCTGTAAATTACACATTTACAAATATTTTTATTCAACCAAGAAGAATATGAAAAATTCAGAAAACCAACATGAGAGCTGCAGTTTTAAGAAGAGAGCAATTGCTCTGCATCTGGCCTTCATTGATACTCTGACCTCTGAAGACACTGGAATGTATTTGTCTCAATTTTCCTATGAAAATAAGAAGAAATGAGGGACCAAGACCTAGGTTGGTCTAAATTGATACATACTTGCAGGAGGTTCTTCTGGAACAGGTTTAGTATAGCCTAGAAAATAGAAGATGTATAAGGGGAAGGAAGAGCAAAGGAAATAATGCTACATTCTTTGGTTCATATGAGACCACACCACATTTATATATTGCTGAACAACCATTCATGTTGTAAGATAGGACAAATGATCCTGAAGATGAATTTCCTCATACTTAAACTATACCCATATCGTCACTTATATCTAGCATGTTGTCAGTAAGCTCTTACAAACCATATTTTCACAGATATGATCATATTCCCATCTATTCTACCAGTATGAAGCAATCCAGAAGATCCTTTCAGAACATTTTTATTGCAAGTATTCCAATATAATTTTTAGTATATAGAACAAACAGAAAGAAAAATACAGCGTGTTCCCCATCACTATAACATGAGGAAACTATACTGATGAAAGATGTTTGTTCTGTGTATCAGGAATCAGCTATGCTATATAGTAAATCCTTAATGTAAAATGATAAGAGTGTGGAAATGGTACAGAAATCCTTGAAATGGCTCAGTGAAAGAGACTATATATAAAAAGTAGCACATCATAATTTTGATTAAGAGCTCAGTATAGGAAACAGGCAAGTCCCTTTTCAGCTCCATGCTTATTTTTTTTTGCTCAATTCAGAGGAATGTATACATTATAGCTCCTTGCCCACATCCTGGGGTATTACTGTTACAATGGCTTGTCAATTGACAAGACATAGAGTCATTGAACTGACAATTCTCTGGATATATCTGTAGCAAGTTTCTATGTCTGGCTGATTAGGATAGAAAAACAAGTGTAAGTAAATGTTGGTTTAATGAGTATTGGGATACATTCCTGGACTGAAGTAGAATGAGAAAGGAAACTGAGCAAATATATTCATATCCCTCCATTTGTTGACTTTGTACATATTATAATCATATTCCCATAACTCCTTACCAGACTATTCCTGTGTACTTCTTGGATTTGAATCAAGGTACTAAGAACACAGGATGATGTGTACAGAGTAATAGCAATATTATTGATAGAGGCAGAAAATATAAATGATGCTCAGGCGCATTCCACAGCAAACCACAGAGAACACTCACCGTTGATATATAGACTCTCCTTGTCCAGGGTGTAGTTGCCCAGCTGGGTGATTCCCTGAGTTAGATTTTTCAGCTCTGAGTACAGCCTCTGAATGCCCATCCAAGGATGTTCAGGGTCATGGTTGTAGGCACAGATGGCATCCACACCAGTGGCTGTTCCATTCTTCTTAGATCTAGAGAGGAGAGTGGAGACTTTAGAAAAGACATAATGCAGATCAGAAACAGAAGCAAGGAAGGGAATGAAATGGGAACAATAAGCAATGGTCATTGCTGGCAAATGGACAGAAAGTGGACTCACTTGAGGGAATCCAGTCTGCAGCTTGAGTTGAAGGAGCCATTCTTGAACAGCTGTTCAAGCTGTGTATGGGCAGGAGGGAAATGAAAACAGATGTGAATAAAGGGGTCCTATGGAATTAATCTCCCCCAGGCTGCTGGCATAGGGTTCTCACCAGGTGCTGCAGGACACTCTGAGTTGAGCTGAACACAGCTGAGGCATTGCTCATATTTGATGCATATGGAAGGTTGGTTATGGTGAAGTTGATTGTGAGGATCTGCTGATGGTGTCCCATAGCTGCAGGTAGAGAAGAGAGAACTGAGAATTTGTTGATACCAGAGAAAAATCCTGCTCTCATCAGTTTGTCTTCAATTTCAGTCTCCTATTACATCCTGAAGTATCCAATCATTCACAGCCTACCCAAATTCTTTTTTTTTTTTATTTTTCAAGATAGGGTTTTTTGGATTGCTTTGAAGCCTGTCTTAGAACTTACCCTGTAGACCAGGCTGGCCTCCAATACAGACATCCACCTGCCTTTGCCCTCTGAGTTCTGTGGTTAAAGGCATGTGCCACCAACACCAGCTGCTACCCAAATTCTTCACTACACATCACCCAAATCACCTTTTCTTAACATGACCAGAATACATTTCCTGCAGACTTAGGGATGCTCTGTATAAAGGTGTTCTCTATCTAGATCAATCAGAGCCTCATTCTGAAATGAAAACTCACAGAAGGATGGTCTATACCCCATTCCTTTGCATAATTCCATATGCACTTCCAGTGTCAAGTTTGCACATTAAGACTTGACACTTGGTGTGGCTAATAGTAGTCACATGCTTGAATAAGAATTGAAGAATTGCTTCCATCAGATTATTTGTGGCAATATCAGTGGGGGGAATTTCTTGATTGCCATTTCATGTAGCAGACACAGTCAATTATGTGCAGCATCACATCCAGGAAGGTGGGAATGGGTTGTACAATAAAGGTATGTGATATGAGACTGAAATCAAGCAAGGAAAGAATGTTCCCCCGAGCTTTGCGGTGTATTCTCTCTCTAGGTTCCTGCTTTGAGTTCTTAGTTGGCTTCCCTGAAGTATAGACACAGACACCCCCAAGCTGCTTCAGATTAAATCATTAATCATAGCAACAGCATGCAACAAAGATCATCATTCTAGTCATCTTGCAATAACTTCCATTCTCATTTATACATCCATCCTAAGCCTACCACTATGACCCAGTAGGTGCTGAGCAGGACATGTAGAGGCTGCACTGGGATTTGAGCATTATGGATCATGGAAATCAAATTCCTCCCTTTTCTTCCCATTCACTGTATTTTTTGTTTACTGAGCATTTATACTGAGATAGATACTCATTTGGAGGATTATTTCATGCTTCATTTAACTGGATTACTCTTACTCATCCTGAGAGATTCATTTCATTAATATTTTTCTCCTGAAAGTCTTCCCCTTTCTATCTAATGTTATATACCTGTTAACCACATCCCCCAACACAACAAACATCCAAAGTATCACAGTATTCTACTTGTCTCACACAATCTTGGCTGCATGTGGGCAATCACCCATTTGTATTGTTTATCTGATCTTTAAGCATATGAAGATTACCCTGTTCCTAGGATCTTCATATTATGGTTTCCTAGCACTGTCTGGTGGAAAGGTGGTGGAAGTATGGATCAATGGATCTAATGCAAGATAGGCAATGGGAGCCTGAGATACCTGTGGTAGTTTCTGGCTGCAGTGATGTAGATGGAGAAGGAAGGGTAGTGGTGCTTGGCTCAGGAGCTGTGGAAGGGATTGCCATTGATGAAACCTCATTTCCAACAACATTTCATGCTTTATTTATCTGGACTGCTTTCACTCATTCTGAGAGATTCAGTTCAGGATGAATCTTTCAGAAAATCTTCCCCTTTCTTCATACAAAGACTGTTCATAATTAACATAATTTTCTGTCAGAGAGAGAACTACCATTTATGTGTGAACTGTGATCCTACCTGAAGAGTGATTTTGTGATTGTAGAAGGGAACAAGACTTTGGGTGGTATTAAGTCAAGATATTGTGATTAGTTATCAGCTAAAAAGATAGCAAAGAACACAAATGTATTAGAAATATAGAAAATTAAAGGGTTAAATAGATGCATGGATGGAAGTATATATAAAAGGAGGGTCAAAGCAGAATTCAAGAAGAATCAAATCACAGATACCTTGGAAAGACTGAAGAACGGAGACTATAAAGGACAGCTAGGTGAATGAACTCGATGATGGGGAAACGTGTGTGTGTGTGTGTGTGTGTGTGTGTGTGTGTGTGTGTGTGTGTGTGCGTGTGTGTTCATGTGTATGTGTCTGTTTGTTCTGATGGATCAATAAGGAGATTATAGCATATGGATGTGGTGATATCTTGCTTTTACAAAGAAAGCCTGTCTGAAGGTTGGGGGATGGATCTTGCCAATAGAGATTGGAACTTATACAGACAGGCAAGAAATGAAATATCTGGGTGTAAACATGATATAAGGAGGGAGAAACAAGAACTCACTCTCTTGTCATCTGAGACACTAAGGATATAAGGTGTTGCCATGGCTTGCTCAATTCTCTGACCTTCATACAGGCTTTATTTTTACAAACAAGATATCACCACTTAGGTATAGAGATGTGTGGATGATTATTAAATAGATGGGAAGGTGCATGGCTGAGAAGATAAATGCTGCATGTATGGATACATGAATAGATTGGTTTGTGAATTCACAGATGAAGAATGATAGAAAGTGGATGATAAGCAGTCAAGCAAACAGAAGAAACAGATTTATAAACAGTTGAATGCACTGAAAGATACATAAGTAGATACAGAAGAGTGGCTGATCATATTTTGTGGATATATGGATATATAGGCAGGGATTTGGTAGATGAAAGTTCAGGTGGATCTATGTTTGACTGAATAAAGAAAAAATAAATAAAGCTAACCTGGAAATTGGATACTAGTTTGGATTTATCAATGAATGTGGATGAGCTTATGAATGAAATCCCGAATAAAGGAAGAAGAGAGGGAAGAAACAAAGGAATTAAAAAATAGGAGAATTAATAGGTGGATAGATGGATAGATAGATAGATAATAAAATACGGTAGATTTGCATAGTATTATTCAGCTGGTAAGTATAATACAATAGCCATAGTCATTGTGAGTTTATATGTGTATCAGTTCCAGTGTGTCTGGAAGATACTATTTCCTTGGAATCATCTATAACTCTTTGACCTATAAAGTTTAAAGCTGAGAAAATTACACCTCTGAGAAAGGGAACTGGATACAAAGTTCTACCCCTAGCTAAGAAGCTAGTTACAAATTATATCTGCCTAGAAAGGGAAAATAAATTTTTTCTAGCACTTTTCACTGTGTATATTAAACACACCCAGAGAAGGATTCATAGTTTGAGAATTGAAAATGGATACCACAGTTGTTTTATTTTTAAATAAGGTAGGAGATTTTTGTTTCATTTCATTCGTTTTGCATTTATTTCTTTTGTTAGTTGTTTATTTTGATTATCACTTTTGTCTCTAGAGTACATAGGGGGAGAGAGAAAAAAGGCTATAGTGGGGACAAAAATGAACTTAGGTGAGTCAGCAAGTTGAGAGGACCTGAAAACAATAAAGAGAGTGGGACATGTCATCAAAAATTGTGGAAAATTTTAAATAAAAAATGATAGAGTTAAATAATGTGCAGGTAAATACAGGGAGCTGGAAACAAGAGTGAAGTAATCTGGAACTGGAGAAAAGAAGTCATATTTCTTCAATCATTTGTAGATGTTACCTTTGAATCTTTAGATTTGTATGTTTCATTTGTTGGATATAGTGATTTAAGGATTTAAATGAAAAGGGAATGGTCAAATGAAAAAGAAATTAGGATGACCATGTAGAGAGGGAATACACAGAGGGATAAATAACACTAAAGGCATTCAAAAAAGTCACCCAAAATACTAATACTAAAGAAGCTTCCTGAAATAGGTGCATAAACACATAGGAAGTGTCTAAATGTAGCTGCTATATAATGGGGAAACAATATACATCTAGACACCAAAAGATGACAAATAATAGCCCAGAATCGAATGAATTATTCCTTTTGGAGTTGTTGATGAGTGATGTAATATAGACTCCCAAAGATTACTGCCTATTGCCAATGTTTCGTTAACTCTCCTGAACGTCTTCCTTAGACATATATTGCTGAAGATAACACACACTTGAGCCATAGCACATGGAGAGGTTAGTCAGGCCCTAAGGTGGCGGTTTCATCCCTTCTGGCTAACTTTAAAGTGCTGGAAGTTGTTTTGCATGCTACTACAGGAGGAAAGGAATCAACAAACTTATTCAACTGTTAACCCTTTGGGCTACAACAATGACGGACCTGGTAACACAAGCCCACTGATGCAATAGCAACCCACGTTCATTTTATAAAACTTTCAAAGAAAAGATACAAATGAGAAAAAGTAAACGAGGAAGGGAATTTTAGTTAAAACACCTAAATACTTATCAGAATTTGTAGCTTATAAATGAAAACACTGATGGGGATATTTCCTTTTAGGAGACATAAATTAGACAGCAACCATATAAAATAAGTCCCATAATTAGGTAAGTTACACCTTTAAAAATATTTTATCCAACCAAGAAGAATATGGAAAATTCAGAAATCTATCATGAGACCTGCAGTTTTAAAAAGAAAGCTATTGCTCTGCATCTGGCTATCATAGATAAGTTGACCTTTCTGAAGAGACTGGCATGTATTTGTGTCATTTTTCCTTTGGAAATAAGGAGAAATGAGGGACCAAGACCTAGGTTAGTCTAAATTGATACATACTTGTAGGAGGTTCTTCTGGAACAGGTTTAGTATAGCCTAGAAAATAGAAGACATGTAAGGGGAAGGAAGGGCAAAGGAAATGATGCTGCATTCTTTGGTTCATATAGCACCACACCACCCTTATATTGATTACTGCACAACCATTCATGGTGTAAGATAGGACAAATGATCCTGGAGATGAATTTCCTCATATTTCACCTATACCCATCACTTCCCCTACATCTAGCATGTTGTCAGTAGGCTCTTATCAACCATATTTTCAAAGACAGGATTATATTCCTATGTACTCTACCAGTATGCATGCATCCAAAAATCCTAATTGAGCATTTTCTATCGGAAACATTCCATTATAATTTAAAGTATATACTACACACAGACAAAAATTACAGTGTGTTTCCCCACTGCAGTAGCATGAGGAAACTCTACTGATGAAAGATGTTTGTGCGGTGTATCAGGAATCAACTATGTTACATAGTAAATTCTTAATATAAAATGATAAGAGTGTGGAAATTGGACAAATTTCCTTGAAATGGCTTAATGCAACAGAACAGATATAAAGAGCAGCACATCAAGTTCCTTTTGAGCTCTGTGCTTGTTTGCTTTTTTTTTGTTCAATTCAGAGTAATGTACATACATTATATCTCCTTGCCCACATCATGGGATATTATGGTTAAAATGGCTTGCCAATTGACAAGACACAGAATCATTGAACTGACAATTCTCTGGATACATCTGTAGCAAGTCTCTATGTTTAGCTGATCAGGATTGAAAAACAAGGGTAAGTAAATGTTGGTTTAATAAGTATTGCAATACACTCCTGGATTGAAGTAGAATTAGAAAGGAAACTCAACAAATAATTAATATCACTCCACTTACTCACTTTGTGCATTTTATGAGCATACACCCATACCTCCTTGCCAGGCTATTCCTGTGTGCTTCTTGGATTCCCAAAACAAGGTAAAAGAACACAGAATGAATTGGTGTAGACAGTATGATCATTATTATTGATATTGATAGAAAATATAAATGATGCTCAGTCACATTCCACAGCAAACCACAGAGAACACTCACTGTTGATGATATATAGACTCTCCTTGTCCAGTGTGTAGTTGCCCAGCTGGGTGATTCCCTGGGATAGATTTTTCAGCTCTGAGTACAGTCCCTGGATGTCCATCCAAGGATGTTCAGGGTCATGGTTGTAGGCACAGATGGCATCCACACCAGTGGCTGTTCCATTCTTCTTAGATCTAGAGAGGAGAGTGGAGACTTTAGAAAAGACATAATGCAGATCAGAAACAGAAGCAAGGAAGGGAATGAAATGGGAACAATAAGCAATGGTCATTGCTGGCAAATGGACAGAAAGTGGACTCACTTGAGGGAATCCAGTCTGCAGCTTGAGTTGAAGGAGCCATTCTTGAACAGCTGTTCAAGCTGTGTATGGGCAGGAGGGAAATGAAAACAGATGTGAATAAAGGGGTCCTATGGAATTAATCTCCCCCAGGCTGCTGGCATAGGGCTCTCACCAGGTGTTGCAGGACACTCTGAATTGTGCTGAACACAGCTGAGGCATTGCTCATATTTGATGCATATGGAAGGTTGGTTATGGTGAAGTTGATTGTGAGGATCTGCTGATGGTGTCCCATAGCTGCAGGTAGAGAAGAGAGAACTGAGAATTTGTTGATACCAGAGAAAAATCCTGCTCTCATCAGCTTCTCTTCCATTTCAGTCTCCTAACATACCAGAAGTATCCAATCAATCAGAACCTACGGAAATTCTTTTATTTATTGTTTTTTTTTGAAACATGGTTTCTCTTTAATGCTTTGAAGCCTATCCTGCAACTCACTCTGTAGACCAGGCTGGCTTCCAACTAACAGAGAATCACCTGCCCCTGCCCTCCAAGTCCTGTGATTAAAGGCATGTGCCACCAACACCAGCTGCTACCCAAATTCTTCACTACACATCACACAAATCACCTTTCCTTAGCATGCCCAGAATACATTTCCTGCAGATTTAGGGATGCTCGGTATAAAGGTGTTCTCTATCTAGAGCAATCAGAACCTTTTTCTGAAATGAAAACTCATAGCAGGATGGTTTATAGTTCATTCCTACGCATAATTTCATATGTATTTCCAGTGTCAAGTTTCAATTTGAAGATATGACATTTGGTGTGGCTAATATTGGTTGTTAAGTAGTCACATGTTTGAATAAGTAATGAAGACTTGCTTCCATTAGATGACTTGTGGCAATATCAATGCAGCAAATTTCTTGATTCCTAATTGTTGTAGCAGACACAGTCAATTATGTGTAGCATTACAACCTGCTACTTGGGCCTGGATAGTACAAAAGGTAGCTGATTTGAGGCTGAAATCAAGTCAGTAAGTAGTGTTTCCCCATGGTTTGCTTTATATCCTCTCTTTAGGTTCCTGTCTTGAGTTCTTATTTGGCTTCCGTGAAGTATAGACACAGACACCCCTAAGGTGCTTTAGACTATATCATTAATCACAGCCACAGCATGCAACCAAGATCAGGATTCTAGTAATCTTATAATGATTTCCATTCTCATTTATACATCCATCATGAGCCTAACACTATGACCCAATAGGTGCTAAGCAGGTCATATAGAAGCTGCACTGGGAGTTGAGCATTATGATTCATGGAAACCAAATTTCTCCCAATTCTTCCCATTTACTGTGTCATTATTCTTCCCTGTACCTTTATAATGTGATCCTCATTTGCATGAACATGTCATGCTTCATTTATCTGGATTACTCTTTTCATCCTGAGAGATTCAGTTCAGGAGGAATTTTTCCCTGAAAGACTTCCCCTTTCTACATTATGTAATATGCCTGTTAGCTCCATTCCCCAAAACAACAAATATCCAAAGTATCACAGTAGTATAAATGGCTCAAACCCTTTTGACTGCATGTGGACAATCGACCATTTAGATTGTTAGTGTATTCTTTGAGCATATGAAGATCAGCATGTTCCTAGGATTGTAATATCCTGGTTTCCTAGATGTATCTGGTGGACAGGTGGTGGACATGTGGATCAATGTATCTAATGCAAGATAGGCAATGGGAGCCCAAGATACCTGTGGTAGTTTCTGGCTTCAGAGATGCAGATGGAGAAGATAGGGTAGTGGTGCTTGGCTCAGGAGCTGTGGAAGGGATTGCCATTGCTGAAATCCTCATTTCCAACAACATTTCATGCTTTACTTTTCTGTATTGTTTTCACCCGTCCTGAGATATTCAATTCAGTATGAGTTTTCCTTAAAAAACTTCCCCTTTCTACATTCAAGCAGTGCTCTTAGTGTGACTAGTGTTTCTGGCTATGGTCAGAGAGAGAACCACCATTCTCATGTGATCCATGATCTAAACTGAAGAGTGATTTTGTTAATACAGAAGTGAATAAGACTATCAGTGGAATTAAGTCAAGATACTGTGATTAGCTATCAGCAAAAGGGATGAGCAAATAACACAAGTGTATTAGGAAGATAAAATATGGAAGGTATATTGGATGGATGGTTGGAAGGATACATAAAAGGAGGGTCAAAGCAGAATTCAAGAAGAATCAAATCATAGATAAGTTGGAGAGACAAAAAAGGAGATAATAAGGCCAACTATGTGAATGAACTTGATGATGGGGAAACACGTGTGTGTGTGTGTGTGTGTGTGTGTGTGTGTGTGTGTGTGTGTGCTTTGTGTTCCTGTGTATGTGTCTCTGTGTGTTGATGGTCCAAAAGGAAATGAAAGTGTAAATATGTGGTGATGTCTTGCTTGTACAAATAAAGCCTGTCTGAAGGTTGGGGGATGAATCTTGCCACTAGCTAATAATAGTGTTCTGAAGGTTTGTACAGAGAGGCAAGAGGTGAGATAGCTGGTTGGAAACAGGATATAAGCAGGGAGAAATTGGGACTTGCTCTCTTGTCTGCTGAGACATTAAATCATATAGTGTGGCCATGGCTTGCTTCATTCTCTGACCTTCAGACAGGCTTTATGTGTAGATGGATGATAACACCACGTAGGTATATTGATGGGTAGATGATTATGAAATAAATCGGAAGGTGAATGGATGAGTGGATAGGTGCTGCATATATGGATACATGAATGGATTGGTTTGTGAATTCACAGATGATGAAAACGTAGAAAGTGAATGATAAGCAGTCAAGGAAACAGAAGAAACAGATTTATAAACAGTTGAATGGACTGAAAGATACATAGGTAGTAGTTGACAGAACAGTGGCTGATCATATAAGTTGTGAATATATGGATATATAGATAGGGACATGGTAGATGAAAGTTCAGGTGATTCTATGTTTGACTGAATAAAGAAAAAAAAAGATATAAAGCCCAACATGGAAAATGGACACTAGTTTGGATGTATCAATGAATGTGGATGCGCTTATGAATGGAATCCTGAATAAAGGAAGAAGAGCGGGAAGGAAAAAAAGGAAATAGAAAATAGGTAGGTGAATGAATAAGTGGATGGATGGATGAATGGATAGAATGGATGAATGAAAGGATTGATGCAAATGTGCTTTGAGTGCAGGAATGATGGGGAATGTACTACTGTGTATGTTTATCTTATTGATTGTTAAGTAAAATACTGTTTGTCTAATGAGAGAGCAAGTTAGACGGGACTAGGAGTCAAAGAGGATTCTGGGAAATGTAGTAGAGAAGTGATGATCCAGGCAGGAAGTGACATAGCAAGGAGACTCATATTTAAGTGAAGGAGAAACAGGAAGGGCCCCTCTTTTCCCCTCTGTTCCAGCTCCAGTGGCACAATGTGATCCACCAGCAAGGAGGGACACCAAAAAGGCGTCCGATAAGATTAGTCTTATAAAATATATAGGTTTATGATAGTTAAGACTGAGCTAACAGATGAAAAGTCCTAGTCATTGGCCAAGCAGCTTTGGACCTAATATAAGTTTCTTTGTATTCATTTGGGCCTAACTCGGGCGGGCGGCTGGCATAAAGCTCACACATGGCGGTGGGGCTCAGGCGGCTTTTGGTGGAAAGATTTATCGTAACACAGGAATATGTAGAAAAACTTCTGGAAGTATAAATGATGAATATGCCACTAAACACACCAAACTAATCTCAAACAAATTAAACTATTTATATAAGTCCTGATATCCTGATGTAATTTAGAAGTAAATGGGGAATACACTTGAACTTACTGCCATGGGAAAGGAATGTTGGAACTGAAGCTGAACAGAACATTCTTAAAGACTAATAATTGTGAACCTAAAAATTTTCTCTACAGAAAAAGACAACATTGTTTGAAAAAAATTGGCTTCCTGCATAATGGCAAAATTAATTATACCAGCTAAATACCTGAAACAAGGCTAGTGTCTAGAATGTAAAAAACAATTAACCGTTAAAGAATCAACCCAATTAAAAATTGTAACATGGCTCAGATAATTTTCACAAAATGGAATACAAATGATAAATACAAATGCTGGGGACATTTCTATTTAGGAGACATAAATTAGACAGTAACCATCTAAACTAAGCCACATAATTCTGTAAGTTACACATTTACAAATATTTTCATTCAACCAACAAGAATATGGAAAATTCAGAAACCCAACATGAGAGCTGCAGTTTTAAGAAGAGAGCAATTGCTTTGCATCTGGCTTTCATTGATACCCAGACCTCTGAGGATACTGGATGTATTTATGTCAATTTTCCTATGGAAATAAGGAGAAATGAGGAACCAAGACCTAGGTTGGTCTCAGTTGATACATGCTTGCAGGAGGTTCTTCTGGAACAGGTTTAGTATAGCCTAGAAAATAGAAGACTTGTAAGAAGAAGGAAGAGCAATGGAAATGAGTCTGCATGCTTTGGTTCATATGGTACCACACCACCCTTATATGGATTATTGAACATCTATTCATGCTGTAAGACAGGACAAATGGTCCTGGAGATGAATTTTCTCATATTTCAACTATACCCATCTCTTCCGCTACATCTAGGATGGTGTTAGTGGATTCTTTCAAACCATATTTTCACAACTTCCTTCCATAATAATATACCTCAACACACACAATTATCTTCCCATCTATCCTACCATTATGCATCCATCAAGAAGATCCTTATAGACCATTTTCTATGGGAAGTATTCCATTTTTTTTTTTTAGACACGATTTCTCTGTGTAGGTTTGGAGCCTATCCTGTCACGAGCTCTGTAGAACAGGCTGGTCTGGAACTCACAGAGATCTGCCTGTATCTGCCTCCTGAGTGCTGGGATTAAAAGTCTGTACCACCAATTCCTAGCAGGAGGTATTCCATTTGAATTTGAAGTATATAGTACAAACAGACAATAAAAACTCAAAAAACAAACAAAACAAAAAAATAGGTGTGTGACCCTACCGCATTAACATGAGGAAAAGATACAGATGAAAATTATTTGTTCTGTGCATCAGGAATAATCTATGTTATATAGTAAATCCTGAATGGAAAATGATAAGAGGGTGGGTATGTTACAATATCCTTCAAATGCCTTAGTGAAATGGATTTTATATAAAAAGCAGCACATCATAATTTAGATTGGTCAATAGGTATAGGAAACAGGCAAGTCCCTTTTCAGCTCTGTGTTTTGTTTTCTTTCTTTGTTCAATTTAGAATAATGTATATACATTACAGCTCTTTGCCCACAGTATGGGATATTATGATTAAAATGGCTTGTCAATTGACAAGACATAGAGTCATTGAACTGACAATTCTCTGGACATATCAGGGTGCAAGTATCTATGTCTGGCTGATAAGCATGGAAACACAAGTGTAAATAAATGTTGGTTCAATAACTATTGGAATACTTCCTGGATTGAAGTAGAATTAGAAAGGAAACTCATCAAATATATTCATACCTCTCCACTTCCTGACTTTGTACACATTATGATCATACACCCATACCTCCTTGTCAGGCTATTCTTGTGTGCTTCCTGGATTACCAAAATAAGGTAATAAGAACACAGAATGAACTGGTGTAGACAGTACAATCAATATTATTGATGTAGGTAGAAATAATAAATGATGCTCAGGCACATCCCATAGCAAACCACATAGAACACTCACTGTTGATATATAGACTCTCCTTGTCCAGTGTGTAGTTGCCCAGCTGGGTGATTCCCTGGGTTAGATTTTTCAGCTCTGAGTACAGCCCCTGGATGTCCATCCAAGGATATTCAGGGTCATGGTTGTAGGCACAGATGGCATCCACACCAGTGGCTGTTCCATTCTTCTTAGGTCTAGGTAGAAGGAGAGTGGAGATTTTAGAAAAGATATAATGCAGACCAGAAGCAGAAGGAAGTGGGAAAAATGAAATGGGAACAATAAGCAATGGTCATTGCTGGCAAATGGACAGAAAGTGGACTCACTTGAGGGAATCCAGTCTGCAGCTTGAGTTGAAGGAGCTATTCTTGAACAGCTGTTCAAGCTGTGTATGGGCAGGAGGGAAATGAAAACAGATGTGAATAAAGGGGTCCTATGGGATTAATCTCCCTCAGGCTGCTGGCATAGAGTTCTCACCAGGTTCTGCAGGACCCTCTGAGTTGAACTGAACACAGCTGAGGCATTGCTCATATTTGATGCATATGGAAGATTGGTTATGGTGAAGTTGATTGTGAGGATTTGCTGATGTTGCCCCATAGCTTGAGGGAGAGAAGAGATAAAGCTGAGAATTAGTTGAGAAAAATTAAGAGAAATTCTGTTCTCACAAGGTTGTCTTGCCTTTCATTCTCCTACCACATCCCAAAGTATCTAATCCATGAGATCCTACACCAATTCTTAACTCTACATCACACAAATCACCTTTCCTTAACTTTGCTCACAGTAAGTCTCTCTAAAATGTAGCGTAGTGTTATCTTCTCATGCCTAAAATATATTTCTTGCAGACTCGTTGGATGCTCTGTCTAAAGATGTTCTCCATTTTGAACAATAGAAGCCTCATTCTGAAATGAAAATACATCAGGATGGTCTAAAGTTTATTACTACCCATGGTTCCATGTGTACTTCCTATGTCAAGTTTGCACTTGAAGATTTGACACTTGTTGTGATTAATATTGTTTGTTAAGTAGTCACTTGTTTGAATAAGAATTGAATAATTGCTTCCATCGGAGTGTTCTCTGGCAATATCTGTGGTCCATATTCTTGATTGCTTTTTGATACAGCAGACACATTCATCTATGTGAAGTACTGCCACTAGGCATGTGGACTTGGTAGTATAAAAATGGTAGCTGATGTGAGGCTGAAATCATTTCAGTATGCAGTGTTTCCCCATGGCTTGCTTTATATCCTCTTTCTAGGTTCCTGCTTGAATTCTTACTTGGCTTTCCTTAAGTATAGGCTGTGAAATAATATCAGATGTGCCCAAGCTGCTTTAGACCATATGTTTAATCACAGCAACAGCATGCAACCTACAACTGCATTCTAGTCATCTTCTAATGACTTCCATTCTCATTTATACATCCATCCTGAGCCTAACACTATGACCCATTAGGTGCTAAGCAGGATATATAGAGGCTGCACTTGGAGTTGAGCATTATGTTTCATGGAAATCAAACTCTTCCCAATTCTTCTCATTCACTGTACTGTTTTTGGTCACTGAGTCCTTATATTGAGCTCCTCATTTCCAGTAATATTTCTTGTTTCATTTTTATTGAGCACTCCTACTCATCCTGTGAGATTCACTTCAGGAACAATTTTCCCATCAAAGGCCTCCCCTTTCTACTTCATGTGATATGTCTGTTAACCACACTTCCTCTCACATACAGAAACACTGAAAGTATTGCAGTAGCCTATTTGTCTCCCATGCCTATTACTTGCATGTGAACAAGTACCCATTTAGATTGTTAGGCTGATATTTGCACATATGAATATTTCCCTGGCACCATCATCTTCATATCTTGATTTCCTGACTGTATCTGGAGTATAGGTGGTGGAAGTGTGGGAATGGGCATCTAAACTAATGGGATCCTGAAATACCTGTTGTAGATCCTGGCGGCAGATATGTAGATGGGGATGGTAGGGCAGTTGTGGCTGGATCAGGAGCTGTGGAAGAGATTATCATCACTGAAAATCTCATTTCGAAGCAAATTTCATGTTTGATTTTTCTGGGTTCCCCTTACTCATCCTGAGAGATTCAGTTCAGGAATTTTTTTTCTCAGAAAACCTTCCTTTTTATATATATGAAAGATTGCCCATATTGAGAGAGGCTTTTCTACCTGTGGTTAGAGGTAGAATGACAATTGACAGGTGAACCATGGAGTAAATTGGAGTAATTGTACAAGTGGAGAAATGAACAAATCTATGTGAATGATATTAACTCAAAATATTGAGATTAGTTATCAGCATAAAGGATGAGCAAAGAATACAAATGGATAAGAAAATAGAAAGGGCAAATATATGGATTTAAGGAAATATATATATTTGTACACACACACACACACACACACACACACACACAGCTCACAATCATCTATAATGAGGTCTGGTACCTCCCCCTGCCATGCCAGCATACATGCAGACAGAACACTCTATACTTAATAAATATAGAAGTCTTTATAAATAAATAAATAAATAAATAAATAAATAAATAAATAAATAAATCTCAAGAAGATTCAAATTAAAGACACCTTGGAGAAATTTAAGAAAGGAAAGAATGGACAATAAGTAAATGAACTTGATGTTGAGTAAACAAGTGTGTGTGCCCCAAGTTTTTGTGTATGTGTGTGTCTCTGTGTCTGTATTTATTGATCAACAGGAAGATTATAGAATAGGAACATAGATGTGTAGATGATTATTGAATAGATAGGTACTGCATGGATATATGAATGGATTGGTTTGTAAATTCATAGAACAAATGACAGAAAGTGAATGCTAAGCATCCAAGCAAACAGAAGAAACAGGTGTATAGACAGTTGAATGGAATGAAAGATACATAGGTAGTAGATGACAGAAGAGTGGCTGATCATACAGGTTGCAAATATATGGATATATAGGCAAGCATGTGGTAGATGAAACATGAGGTGAATCTATGTATGAATGGATAAAGATAAAAGTAGAAACAATGTATTATCTGCAAAATGGACAGTAGCTTTGGTTTATTAATGAATGTGCTTGAGTTAATGAACACAATTATGAACAAAAGAAAGAGATAAGAAACAAAGTAAATAGAAAAGTATAGGTAGGAGAATGGATGGATGATTTAGGGATGGATGATGGATGGATAGATGGATGGATGGATGGATGGATAGATGGATGGATGGATGGATGGATGAATGGTTCAATGGTTCAATGGATGGATGGACAGAATAAATGAAGGATATATGGTATGAGTGCAGGAATAACTAGAAAAATGGAAGAATGAACAGCTGGAAAGATAAATGATGAATAAACCACTAAACACCCAAAACTCAAGTCCAAATATTTAAACAACATTTACATAAGTTCTGCTACCCTGACATAATTTAGGAGAAAATGGGAATATTCTTGAATTTACTGGAGTGGGAGAGGATTTTTTGTACTGAACCTGGATACCATAGTCTTAAAGGCTAACAATAAATAAACAGGGCCCCATTAATCTAAAAAGCTTCTCTACAAAAAAAGCACTGTATAAGCAAAGTGGCTTTCTACAGAATGGCAAAATTCTTTTCTGTTTGTTTGTTTTTCAAGACAGGGTTTCTCTGTGGCTTTGGAGGCTGTCCTGGAACTAGCTCTTGTAAACCAGGCTGGTCTCAAACTCACAGAGATCTTCCTGCCTCTTCCTCCTGAGTGTTGGGATTAAAGGTGTATGCCACCACTGCCCAGCTGGCAAAATTCTCTTTATCAGCTAAATATATGACAGAAAATTAGTGTCTAGAATAAACAAATAAATAAAAACCTAATCACCAAGAAAACAATCCATTCATAAATTGTTCCATGTCTCCAATAATGGTCACAAAATGAAATATAAATTTTTGAAAAAATGTTCAACATCCCTATGTATCCGGGAAAATATCAAAACTTCTTTAAGATTTCATCTTACCCCTATCAGAATGACTAAGATAGGAACTAAACAAACAAACAAAAAACAAATGACAGCAAAAGCTGGCATGGTTGTGGGAAAACAGGAAGAATTATTTACTTCTAGTGGGCGTGTAACCACTACATAAATAAGTGTGAATGTCCCTAAAATGCTGGACATAGATTTATTATAAGATCCAATGTTACTACTCTTTGGCATAAACATAAAGAACTCTATATTTTTTATATCTGGTTAGTTAGTATAGAAAAACCAAGTGTGAATAAATGTGGGTACCATAAACATTGGGGTAAATTCTTGAAAGTAGACACAAGAAGTAGAAAGGAAGCTCCGCAAACTAACTCAAATCCATCTGCTTGCTGACTTTGTACACAATATGACCATACAACCATACCTCCTTGCCAAGCTATTTGAATGTGGTTCATGAATTCTGAAAATGAGGTACTAAGAACCTAGAATAAAGTTATCTAGACAGCACTATCAATACTATTGTTAGATGTAGAAAAAAATAACGGATGACTGGGGGACAATCCACAGAAACTACACATCATGCTTACAATTTACATGTAGACTTTCTTTGTCCAGTGTATAGTTGCCCAGATGGGTTATTCCATGAGTCAGTTTGCTCAGGTCTGAGTAAAGTCCCTGGGTGTCCAACTCAGGATATGCTGGGTTAGGTAAGTAGGTGCAGATGGCTTCTACACCAGTGCCAGTTCCATTCTTCTTAGGCCTAAGTCAAGAGGATTATAGAGACTTTAGAAATGTAATGTAGATAGGAACAAGGAGGAAGGAGCAAGCAGAGGGGCAAGAATAATGGGTTTTAGGCAAATGGACACCTGAGGGAGTTCAGTCTGCAGCTTGAGTTGAAGGAAGCATTATGGAGCAAGAGTTCCATCTGGAGAGAAAAACAAGGAAAGTAATAAAAATAAAATTTGGATAGAGTGGATAGATGTGCTTTATCCAAACAGAAGTTACTGGAATGAGAATCTCACCAGGTTCTCTAAGAGAGTCTCAGTGGAGTTGAACACAGCTGAGTCATTGTTCATGTTTGCCGAATATGGAAGGTTGGAAATGGTGAGGCTGACTGTGATAGTCTTCAAGTGGTGCCCCACAGCTAAAAGAGATGAGGAGACATAGAGTCAAGAATTTACCTGGGACCAGACTTGAATCCTATACTCATCAAGTCATATCTCCTTCTGTCTTATCACCCACCAATGTACCCATTGTGACTACAACCTTAATATCACATATCCACACCACACTAATTCACCTTTCTGAATGTTCCTAATACACTTTGTGTGTACTTTCCCAGCATGACCATATCTTTTCTTATCCACACTATCATCCTAGCAGACTCATAAGATATACTGTCTACAGAACTTTTTACACCTAAGAGGCGTGTTCTGAAAAGAAAGTCTTAGTGGGACTGCCATGTCACTCCTACAACTCATATATCTGTGCAATTTCAGTGTTCCATTTGATTATTTTGATTTGTCATTTCCAATCTAGTTCTCATAGTCAAGCACAGAAATACACACTTGTATTTTCACACACACACACACACACACACACACACACACACACACAACACAAGAAACAGATCCTCTGATACCTGTAGTTGATGGAGAGGGAAGCATGGTAGTGGCTGATTCAGGATCTGTGAAAAGGGACGTCATGAGGGATAGGAAAATCCACATGTGATTAGAGAAGCCCATGTAGCAGTAGTCCAACACAGAACAAACCATTCATAGGTGGATAATACACATAAATGATCAAAGGAATGAATGTGTGTTAATGTTGGAAAAGCCTGTGAATGAAATTAACTGAGATACTGTGAGTGGATAGCTGGAGAAAGGCTGAGAAAGGAGGATAAATTAATTAAAAGATAATAATGGAATTGCACATATATAAGTAGAAAGAAGAATAATAAGTATCTGGAGAAATGGAAGGAAAGAAGGAACAATAACATGTAAATAAATCAATATAATGAATGATGGGGAAGTACGTTAATAGATTTGTCTTGGGGTAAGTATATGAATGAATAGGTAAGTGAATAGGCGGATAGATAGACATATTAACAGGTGGTCAGGAAGGTAAATAGGTAGATGGATGGGTTGATTACTGACTGGATGGTAGTTTGATAAATGAATGATTGATGAATGGATGGATACATGTGCATATGGGTAGGTAGATGCACAGACAAAATAAAGAGAAAAGGAATGGATGTTAAGCAAACCAATTAGGTAGGTAGATAGTTGAATGGATTGGCAGATGTATAGGTATTGAATACATGAGTGGGTGGTTGTATGGTGGGTGGGTATATGAGTGGATATGTATATAGGCTAATGGACTGATAACTGGGTAGGTGTGTGTGTGTGTGTGTGTGTGTGTGTGTGTGTGTGTGTGTGTGTGTGTGGGTGTGTGTGTGTTTAAAAGAGAAATATGAAAGAAATAAAGGACAATCTAGCAAATGGAAAGAAGTATGAGTTGATGGATAAGTAGTGAACAGATGAAGGGTTAAAAGGATGAATAGAGAAACAATGATAGAATAAATGAACAAATACAGTAGAATAGAAAGGAGGATGAATGGATGATAAACAAATGGACAGGTGGGTGGGGGTAGGTAGATGGATAGATGGCAGAAACTGTGGCTCTGTGGGAACAATAACTAGCAAATGAAAGAATGGACATCTGGAAAGATGAATGATTGGAATAATGCATCAGTGCACTGTTTTACCCAGACACTTTAGTAGACATCAGAATTTGCTACTTAACAAAGAACCCCTACTACATACTCAATAGAATTTGATTTAGGTAACATAAACTTCAGATTCTGAATTAAGTCAGTTTAATAATACCATATAAAGTAATTGTTCTTTTTTCTTCTTCTGAATCAGAAGATTGAGGAAAATTCAGAAATCCAACACAAGGACTTCAGCCCCCCAAAGAGTCTAGCAGCTCTGCATCTTCTTTCCACTGAGCCTCTGGTACCCTTTCAGAGACTGGATCATGTTTAAGACAAGCTCCCTTTAGAAGTGAGGAGAAAATCATGGATTAAGACCTAGGTCAGGCTAAATTGGCACTTACTTGTGGTTGGTTCTTCTGTACTAGTTCCATTGTAACCTAGAAATGCAACACACACACACATACAGGAAGAATTGTTACATAGTCCTTAGCACCATGCATTAGTCCATGTGGAAACAATGTAGAAATGTATCACTTTATACACTGACTGAGTCTACTGATGCCCTATGGTCTGACTTAACTGGCATTAGGAAGAATATCCTGGTGTTTCAACTTATCTAACTCTTCTCTACTGTATCTCAATTGTGTTCCACCAAGGTGTGTTTTATTTTCATATGTTACTCACAAATTTACATGCATCCACTTACATCATCCTTTCCACTCTCTCTTTATATATATTCATCCCACATATATTTATTGGGAAGTTATCATGTGCAGTACTGCATTTCCACTTGAATAACGTAGAGTTGAGCTAAACACTCCATGCTCAACTACTGTTTACACTGGAAAAAGTATAAATGTAACTTATTTGTTCCTAGTGTCAACTCTAATGTCTGAAATACAATGAATATTTTTAAAATACTGACCTGAAAATATAATGATCAAGTTAAGTTGTGTAGAGAAAAGTCCTACATGAGTCCTTGCAACAGCCAAGTTAAAGAACCAGATTTAAACATTGAACATTGGAATTCATATCCAGGCAGTGGGCAGGTTCATTTTCTTACATGTGCTTTAATTTTTTTCTTTGTTAAAATTAGAGTAACTTTGGTAAACATCATGGTACACAGTGGTGAATACTGATTGCACACTAACAAGGCCCACAACTTTCAAGAAGACAAATCTCTGGGAATTATGTGAGGGGGCTTGGGATTGGTTTAAATGAACTTTATTGCTTCACCCTAATTCTTGGTAGCTCCATTCTATGGACAAGGTTTCTAAAGTATAAAAGAAATAGGAAGAGAGAGAGATGAGGGCTATTATTTATATCTTACCCCATAAGAAAACACAGACCATGCTCACCATTCACATAGAGACTATCTTTGTCCAATGTATAGTTTCCCAGCTGAGTGACTCCATGGGTCAGATGACTCAGCTTTGAATACAGCTCCTGTGTGTGTAGTCCAGGATGTGCAGAGTCATGTTGGTAGGAGCAAATGACATTTACACTACTGGAGTTTTGATTCCTCTCAGGCCTGAAAAGAGTGAAAGAGTAAGATGTGGGGACTGTAGAGACAACCTATTGTGGAAGAGAGAACCAATTATAGGACAAACATCAGAAGAGCCAAAATAGGTATCACCATTCCTGGAAAAATGACAAGGAAGTGGACTCACCTGATGGAGGTCAGTCTGCAGCTTGGGTTGAGTGAAATATTCTGGAGCAAGGGGGTAAGCTATAGAGGAAGGAAATGGGGAAAAGAGAAAAGAGTTGTATGCACTATGTATAGCAAGTTTGTCGGATTTTTCTAGGATAAGGGTCTCACCAAGTTCTGCAAAACACTCTCAGTGGAGTTGAACATGGCTGAGCTATAGCTCATGTTTTCTGAATATGGAAGATTAGAGATGGTGAAATTGATAGTGAAAGTCTTCAGATGATGCTCCACAGCTGTAGGAAGACAGGGAGAGAGATGCCTATAACTGAGAATTTCGTTGATACTACACTAGATTCCTATATGCATCCCAGTATACCACCACATGTCATTGCACTCATCCAAGCATGAGCTGAACACCTCATCTCCTTGTTATACCAATTTCCTTTTCTGAATGTTCTTCATGTGTACTATCTCCTTTGCCATAACAGATTATGTCTTATCTTCTCATATCCAGACTATCACCCCACAAGATTCACTGTGTGTTCCAGTAGTTTTTTCTATGATGAATACAAGAAAAGTATTTCTGCATGGAAAATGTCACAAGGACACCCTCCCCAAGTCTTCTTACCAACTATGGTTCCCCTTGGAATTTCAGTATCAAGTTCATGTTTCTTGGTTTGATCCTCAAGATTCCTTTAATGTGGTTTCTTATGATTCCCAGATTAAGTTACTTATCAATTCTGTGCCTAACACTATGGTCTCTTGGGTCCTGGAGTGGACATGGATAGCTGTCACTGGGAGCTGAGCTTCATGCTTCAAAAAAAGGAACAAAACCCAAATTCCTCAAGTCTCTCCACTCACTTGCTCTTGATGGCCACAGAGCCCACACTGTTGGAATCTTGTTTCACAGCAACAAATCATGACAATTTGTCTATTAGTTTTACTCAACCATAGAGATTCAGTTCAGGTGGAGCTTTCTCTATAAGGACCCCACCCACTTATATTGTGTAAGGGACCTGTCACTTCACACTAAATCCTCATTGTATTGTCATGGTTTGTTTATCTCAGAAGACTGGTAGCTGCATGAGGCCAGACATCTGATTGAAATGTTGATATAATCTCTGCTATTGTAATAATGATACTGGCAATGCATCCTTATATCATGGCTTGCCAGATCTCATGTAAGTCAGGAGATGGAAATGTGGGACAGGGCTTCTCATCAAGTGTAGGAAAAGGCTTCCCCAAATACCTGTGGTGGATTCTGGCTGTACGGATGTCAATGTAAAAGGCACGATGGTGGTGCTTGGCTCAGAAGCTGTGGAAAAGACTGTCAGCAGTGATGAACAGAACCATATACATATGAAAACCACATTCCAATCAATTATCTGTATGCACATGCTGTTTCTGACTACTGAGTCACAGCTGATGTAATTTTCCTTCAATCAATGCTTTATTCCCATTTATCTGGATCATTCTATTTCATACAAGGAGTATCAGTACAGGTGGAATTTTCTTCATAAAGCCCTCTTCTCTATTATGCCAGTCGTGTCTCTCTCTGATTTCCCCTCACTGTATTTTAATCAGATGTTTACATCATGAACATGGTGTTTGTGTGAGGGCAGGAATCTAACTTAATTGCTAGTTGGATTTTGTACATGTAATGATGAACCTGGCACTGGGCTATAGCTCTTGTGTGACAACTGTTAGAGATGTAGGGCAAGGCATTATTGTCAAGTGAAATAAAAGGGTCCCCTGGATACCTGTGTTGGACTCTGGCTGTAGATATGGCGATGTGGAGAGCAAGATGGTGGTGGCTGGCTCTGGAGCTGTGGAAAAGGCTGTCATCAGGCATGGACAGAATGCCCTGATAGGGAAGCCCTTATAACATTGGTCCAAGTCAGACAGATCACACACAAGAGTAAGAGAAAGAGAATCATGTGAGTTGAGGAATAAGAAAAACCTGTGGATGAAATTAGTAAGATAGAGAGGGTGGTGAAAAGAAGAGAGGTTGATCAAAGAGTACAGATGAATGTGAATGCAGAAAATAAAAGGGGTGATTGTAAAGAAGAACATATAAATGAAAAGTCAAAGCAGAATTCAAAAAGAATGAAAACAGAGTTTGAGTAGGTAGAAGCAAAGCAGAAAGATGTACAATTAAATGAATGAGCATGAACATGGGTAGATAACTGGGCAGATGCAGGGTGTGAATGTGTGATAGGAAGGTATATTGATAAATAGACAAATAGGAAGATGGATGGGTGGGTGGTCAAGTTGTTCACAGGGTCACCAGAGAGGCATATAGATGCATAGTGACAACACGGCAGAGGAAATGAGTGTCAAACAGGAGTTTGGAGATTTGTATATATTGGAGAGAATGGATTGACAAATATAGGTGGGCAGACAGATTCATGAACAGATGGTTCATGGATAAATGCTCATATGGATAAGTATACAGATGGATGTGAAGATGTGTGGATGGATAGGCAAATGGATAGAAGAAATGGACAAGCAACAGAGGACATAAGTAAAGGATAGATAACTGGGTGAATGAATATGGAAAGAAAAACAGAAGGAATAAAAAGATTGTAAAACGATGATCAGCAAAATGTGTAGATGGATGACTGAATGAAGAGGGGGATGGAAATGTGGTGTCAGAGAAGAGGAATGATTAGGGAAAATGAAAGAATGGATAACTGAAAAGATAGGTCAACAGGTTACCGATTTTTAAAAGACTTTCTTTTTATCCCAAATCACTTAAGTAACCATCATAATTTAGAGCCTGAGAATGAAGTCCCTAATGGGGACCCAGTTTTTGTTAATGGGAGAAACTACAGTCACCATCTGACCTTTGCCCTCTTATAACTCTTGTTCAAACTTCTTCCTTTAACCCAGAGGAGTAAGAAAAGTTCAGAAATCCAATACTAAGGATGAAGGTCCAAAAAAAAAAAAAAGAAGTCAAGGACTCAACATTATTCATCTACTAAGATCTTAGCCTCTCTTGGGAGACTGGTTTGTTTTGAGCCATAGCTGCCTTTTGAATGAAGAGACATATATAAGGCAAAATACTTAATGATACAGACACATACTTGTAGGAGGTACATCTGGACCAGGTTCATTGTAACCTAGGAAACAAAAGTCATGCATAAGTGGAAGGGTCATAATGGTTCCTTACACCATGCCTTACAACATGTGGGGCCCATTTTGATGCTTTTTGTGTATACTGAGAATCTACTCATGTGCCCAGATCTGACTTAAATGTCATCATGAAAATTTTTTGTTATTTCAATTAGATCTAACTCTTCCAATAGCAAGAAAACAAGAGATTTATGCTTATATACTTCCATACATACAGTTATTCACACCATTGTCTTCCCTTTTAATCTACCTCTATTACTGAATTGTTATTTACTGAGCACTTACTCTCTGTGGTACTTTATTTCTTAATGAAGCATATAGTAGTGAACAATCAATACTGTACTGCTGTTTACATTGGAACAAGGTACACATGAAAATTATTTGTTCCTGGTCCCAGGGATAAGATCTGATTTATAATAGATTTTGGTAAATGTTGACTAGACAACAAGGTGATGAATTTAAACAGTGCAATTTTTGAAGTTGGATCCCAACCAAGTTTTTTTTTTTCTGTGACAGAATTGAAGGGATATATGTAAACAAGAATACCAAAGTGGGGATATGTTCCTTTCATTCTCTCTGCCTCAGTTTTTCTCCTTGTTAAAATGAGAGTAATGGGGAGGGGTCAATGCTGTCTTCTCTCTTCTATACTTGTATGTAATAGTTATTGTTGATTCTCAATTTTAGTGATCTTGGAAACAGCTAGGAGACAAACTTCTGGGCATGTCGCTGAGAGAGCTTCTATGTTTGGGTTGTGGTTGAAAGATGTTTCTTAACTGTGGACAGTTCCTTCCCATGGGCTATGACTAAACAGGTAGAAGAAAGCAATCAGAAGACTTGCACTTGGATGTTTCTTCTTCCTGACCATTGGTGGTATGTGACCAGGTACCTCACTTTCCTTGCCATGATGAGAGTGATTTCCTTAAATTGGAAAATAAATTAAACCTTTCTTCTGTTAAGTTGATTTTGTTAGGTATTTGATCACAACAATGAAAAATAAATTTACTTCATGAGGCAATGGTGATACATGAGTGTGAGTTACTAAGAACTAATTCTAGGTTAGGGAGAACAGGAGGGTGCATGGTGTGGAAGGGTAGAAGAGAAGATGAGAAGGGAGGGGAAGGGAAGGTAGGGGATGAAAGGAAGACGAAAAGGAGGGGTGGGAGGAAAGGGAAGGAGAAAGGGAGAGGAGGAATATGGGAGGGAGTTAAGAGAAGGGAAGGAGGGAATTATTTTGACCACTTTTTCTAGGACAATGCCTTGCATGGCATATCTCTTAGAATATGTCCTTTCTTGGTTTTATGCTGATATGTAGTGTCAGAAGCTTAAACCATTAGAGACACTGATGCTTGCTTTTCTTCCTGTGTAAAACAGTCTAGGAGAGTAGCTAGGCAAGTATCAAATATGAGAAGGAGACAAGTTTTGAGACAAGTGCATCCTCTCTATTTCTCCAAGATAGACTGTTGTGTGAAGCAATGGCCTAGAGCACTACATTGGCAATGACAACTGGGATCCTGTCATAGATTCAAAACTCTCAAGTTGGGATTTGTTAAGGAGTAGTGTTTTGGGGTATAGGTGGGCTTTTGGGTTGGGAGCCTGGATTTGAATGCTAGTATCTCCCTAAGAACTGATGACTGGAAACCTTTGTAGCATGCTGCAGAATAGGGAGATGCAGATGAAAAATTCTCACCATTGATGTAAAGGCTGTCTTTATCCAGGGAGTAAGGACCTAGCCGGGTAATTCCATGGGTCTGCCAACTTAGATCATAGAAAATTGGCTTTGCAGGAAGTCCCAGGCTATTGGGAACCTGGTGGTATGTGCAAAGGACATCTACCTGGGTCTGTGCACCGTTCTTCACCGACCTGAGTTGGGGAGGAAGAGGTGTACATTGAGGAGATATTGACTGCCTGCTATCTTTTCCTGTGTAGTCACTCTGCACAACTCATAGATTACAGTCTGATTTTGTTGACATTATTTGCTGCTTTGCCATTATAGGCTCAGAGTTTTAAAGGGACGCTCAGTAAAGCAAGAAAATAAAGAATGCAGAGGTATCAGAAAGCCTCTGAAATGATAATTTTTGTGAAAAAAAAATATATATATATATATACATATATATATATATATACAATTAAAAAGGAATCAAGGAGTGGAAATGACTTGGTGGGTAATAATGTTTGCTCTGCAAGCAAGATGAGTTTTTCCTTTTATTTATTCTCCTATCATATAATACATCATGATCACAGTCTCTCCTCCCTTCACTCATCCCAGTTTCATGCTCCCTTCTTCAGATCAATTGCTTCTCCATTTTTCTTCAAAAAAATCCTCCCAGAGATATCCACCAAACACAGCATAACAAGATACAATAAGACTAAGCACAACCCTCATATCAAGACTGGATGAAGCAACCCAGCTGAAAGAAAAGGAGGACCTGAGTTCTAATTTTTAATAACCCAGGTAACAAATAGCCCAGTATGACCACATTTGCTTGAAATCTAAGCACTGAGACAGAGGATATCCAGGAGCTCACTTGTCAGTCAGCCAACCTGATTTTGAGGTTTGTTTTTGCTTTGTTTTGTTTTTGAAACAGTATTTCACTATGCAGCACAGGCTATCTTGGAACTCACTATATAGACGGCTGGCTTTGAACTAATAGAGATCTGCTCGTCCCCTTGGCCTCTCAAGTTCTGGATTAAGGGCTTGTGTTACTATACCCAGACTTAATTTTTGTTTTTGTTTTACAACAATTTAATATTTTTGTGATGCTGGCATCAAAACTAGGATCTTGTATATTCTTGGTAAGCAATCTACAGCCAAGCCATTCCCAAGTTCATAACTGGTGGATTCTAGGCCGGTATTTTACTGCTAAGCCATGTCACCAACCCAGTACTGAGGGATTATTGGCAAGTACCCTGTTACTATAAAATATTAAATTGTCGTAGAATCATTAAAATACAAAACAAAGAAGTACATCTTGATCCTAAGTATTCCCATCATCACAACTCCAATCCTTTTCAAGTTGGATAATAGGTTTGTAGGGGCAGAGTGGGGATCTGTAAGTGGAATATGTGTCTCACCTTAGAGTGGCTACTCTACAGCCTGTGTACAGGGGCCCAAGGCTGCTTCTTTGAAACAAAGGGCCAAGCTGTAGAGAAATAAGTGAACCAGAGTTGGTTAGAAGCAGGCATCCCACTGCGGAAGCGATAGAAGGACCTGAGGGGAAGCAGGTAGCTTACCAGGTGCTGCATGAGTGTATCTGTGATATTGAACTTGGGGGAGCCAACCTGGCCCATGTCAGCTGAGTAACGCAGGTTGTTGATGGTGAAGTTCACTGTGAACATCTCTTCACTGACTTCCCCAGCTGTGCAGGTAGAAAGAGACAAAGTTAAAAGTTAAAGCTGATATGACAGTAGGAGACGGGGATAGGGGGAAATAATGTGCCTCATAGTGGGTCTTCCAAGGGCTTCTTTTATGGCTCTGAATAAATCTGAGGGTAGCTTGATAATGGAGGCAACTATAGATGTCACTTAAGGGTACTCTTGATGTGAGGACTCCTGATAGATCATTGCTACCCTCCCACCTTCCACATAGGTGGGTTCAGTATAAACACAGGACTTTTGCTTTGTGAGGGCAAATCCTCATGTTCAATAGTCAAGCAGGATTGAAGACTCCTAATGCCTGTCTACTCCTCTTTTTCTCTCCCTCTCCTCTTCCATCTGTTTTCCCCTGTACTTATCCCTTCCCTTTCTACTTTCACTGTTCTCACCTTCTCCCTCTCTTAGCCCCCTACCTGTTTCTCTCTTCCTTTCCCTCTCTTCTTTGTCTCTTCCTGTTATACTCATCCTTTCTTTTCTCTCCTGTTCCCCTCCTCTTTTTCTAGATCCCCTCTTCTTCTGTCCTCTCTATTTGTCCCTTTCTCTCTCATTTCTTTCCTACACTTCCTTTCTGCCTCCTTCTCTTCTAGTTGCCATCTCTCTTCCTCACTCCTCTCTCTTCCACTCCCTCCCTCTCTTCCCTTTGCCTGTTTCCTCTGTTAACCTCTTGCAATCTTCCTCCATCTCTCTCTGTCCCTCCCCAATCTCTCTTTCTCTTCCTTCTTGTCCCCCTTGATCTTTGTATCAATGCCAGTATAAAAGATGCAGAGAGAGAGAGAGAGAGAGAGAGAGAGAGAGAGAAAGAGGAGAAGAGAGAAATGAAAAGAGAAAAAGGAAAAAGGAAAAAGGCATCTTAATCAACCAGAAGTCACTCAGTAACTTATTCAACAAGGTTTAGGGATAGTCAAATAAAAAATATATAACACATAGTTACAAATAACCAAATAGTTTCCTAGTTTTGTTCAGAATTTGTCTGGATTGTTCCCCCACTGTTTTTCTTTGGAAGCCCTGAACCAGCTTTGATTTGGTTCTTCTCACTTCACAAATTATTATTTGCTGAAATAAATTCTTTAAAAGACAATGTTATTGCGCCTCAGTTTATCTCTTAAGGACAGGTGGTAGGAGATAGTGTGTGGATTTATGTCTTCCTCAACCAAGGAGCCACGGGAGGAGGGTATTATTTCTCATTGAGGTGGTAAGGAGATGTTGGTGATGGTGAAATTGAGAGTGATAGGTGTCACCATAGAATACTGGGTGACTGATGAAGAGAGAAGCAAGCTCCCAATCTGGAACAAAGCAAAATTGAGCAAAAATCTTCCCAGACCTAACCATGGGACATGGTGAGACTAACAGAATCTGAAACAGGGGATATTATACAACTCTTAAGTTAGTAAGAACCTCCTTCCTTCATTCTTCCAAGAAACATGTAATATATAATAGCATCTATAAGTCCAAAGATTAATAGAACACAGTCTTCCAATTCTTTGGCCAGGGAAGTAAAATATACTAGGAGATTATCATAAAATCCAACCAATGACTGAAAAAGCTTTTTGGGAAAAGCCCATTTCTGAAAATGGATGCAGAACCTAGGCAGTGGCAATACTCACTGGTGGTAGTTGGGGCTGCAGTTCCAAAATGGTAACCTGAAGAGAAAGAAAATGTAAGGGACTTACAAATGAGTAGCCATGATGAAGGGGAAAGGAGAATGTGGAGTCTTTGGGGGTAAAGCAGAGGCAAAGGCAAGAAAGGAATGTTCACAGAGGAGACAACTAACTAGGCAATGAGACTGGAGAGCTAGTTATTATCTCTGGGAAGGTTTTACACTTATTCTTAGCCAAACAACTGAGAAGTGGTTCTCAGAAGTGAAACTGGAATGCTGATGGGACCAACATCCCTATTCATTCAAAGCAAACATTCTACCCAGTTTTTCATGGTGCTTTTGAATCATCACAATAAATGGAGAATCAAGACATAAAAGGAATGAAAAGTGGGACTAAGTTCATTCTAGAAAAAGGGATGAATTGGTCAATACTTTAACAAAACCTGAAGAGAGATCATGGCTTAAATGTTGGATCGCACCATTGATGTAGAGACTGTTCTGGTCCAGGGTGTAGGGGCCCAGACGGGTGATGCCATGGGTCTCATGACTCAACTTCCAAAATAACTGATCTTGGTCTAACCCTGGATTCCTGGGGTCAAAGTGAAAGGTGCAGATGATGTCCACTCCTGTGGCTGTTCTATGGCTGTCAGACCTGGAGGAAAGACATGATAGTTTGGAAGACTGAAGTCAGTTCTTGAGCTTCTGGGGCATTGAAAGCAGGGGACAGAGGGAAGAAGGCTGAAGATCATGAAGGGTACAGTTACAAAGTTTAAAAGTGGGTCCTCATTTTCTCCTCTGAGTCATTGGACACTGTAAGCAGAAATAATTGTGTGTAAAGAACTCAAGAAGCTAGTCTCCAAAACACCAAACAATTCAATTAAAAAGTAGGATACAGAACTAAATAGACAATTCTCAATAGAGGAATCTAAAATGGCTGAAAGACACAAAAGAAAATTTTCAACATCCTTAGCCTTCAAGGAAAAGAAAATCAAAGCAATTACTCCTGTCAGAATGGCTAAAATCAAAAACACCAATGACAGTTTATGCTGGAGAGGATGTGGAGATAGGGGAACACTCCTCCACTGTTGGTGGGTGTACCAACTTGTACAGCCACTTTGGAAATCAGTATGGTGACTCCTCAAGAAAATGGGAATCAGTCTACCACAAGATCCAGCAATTCTACTCTTAGGCATATACCCAAAGAAGCACATAGATACAATAAGGATATCTGTTCAACAATGTTCACAGCAGCACTATTTGTAATAGCCAGAAACTGGAATCAGCCTAGATGTCTCTCAACTGGAGAATGGATAGAAAAAATGGGGTACATTTACACAATGGAGTACCACTCAGCAGAAAAAATATAATGGAATCTTGAAATTTGCAGGAAAATGGATGGAATTAGAAGAAACCATTCTGAGCAAGGTAACCCAATAAGAAAAAGGCAAACATGCTATGTGCTCACTCATATGTGGATTTTAGACATAGAGTAATGGATTGCCAGAGAAGCTAGTAAACAAGGAGGACCCTAAGAGAGACATACATGGTTCCCTGGAGAAGGGGAAAGAGTCAAGATCTTCTGAGCAAATTGGGAGCACCGGAAGAGGGGGGAGGGAGTTAGGAGAATGAGAAGGGGAGAAGAGGAGGGATGCAGAGGACATGAGGGAGCAGAAAGGTTGAGTCAGGGGAAGAATAGAAGATAGCAAGAATGGAGATACCATAATAGAGGGAGACATTTTAGGTTTACAGAGAAATCAGGCACTAGGCAAATGATCTACAAAGATGACACCAGCTAACAATCTAAGCAACAGAGGAGAGGCTACCTTAAATGCCCTCCCCTGAAAATGAGATTGATGACTGACTTATATGCCACCCAATAGCCCCCAACCAGCAGCTGGTGAAAGTAGAAGCAGACACCCACAAGTAATCACTGAACTGAACTGGAATCCAGATGCATAGAAGGATGAGTGAAGAGCAAAGGGGTCCAGACCAGGCTGGTGTAACCCACAGAAACAGCTGACCTGAACCTCGGGGAACTCTAGCTCCTGAGACTGATACCTGGGATACCAGCATGGGACTGATCCAGATCCCAGGACCATGGATTTCAGTGAGGAAACCTCAGAAATCTGCAGGACCTCCTGTAGTAGTTTAGTACTTATACCTAGTACAGGAGTGGACTTTGGGAGCCCATTCCACATAGAGGAATACTCCCTGAGCCAAGACACATGGGCGTGGGCCTAGGCCCTATCCCATAGACTCTGATGACACCCTATGGAAGGCCTCACCATCCAGGGGGAGCAGAAAGGATATGTGATAGGTCAGGTTTTAGTTGGGGGGTGGTAGGGGAGGAGGGGAGGGAGACAGAACTAGGATTGTCATGTAAAACAATCTTGTTTCTAATTCAAATAAAAAAATCTGCAGAAAAAATCATTGTATGTGTGAGTATGTCTATGTCTCTCTCTCTCTCTCTCTCTCTCTCTCTCTCTCTCTCTCTCTCTCTGTGTGTGTGTGTGTGTGTGTGTGTGTGTGTGTGTGTCTGCGCGCACGCACATGCATGCATGCACATGTGATGGATACACAAACACACAATGTGTGTGATTAGGGTCAAGCAGGCAACATCAAGTGTATGGATGGATAGCTTGCAGGAGTCACCTTTGTCACATTGTTGAATCAGGGTTTCTCTTGTTTCTGGTGCATTGCATACTCCAGGCCGGATGGCTGGGACATTCCTCTGTGTCTGTTTACCTCCTCGTTGTAGGAATATTAGGATTATTGATGAATGCATACAAGTCTGGCATTTTATATTGGCTCTGGGAATCAAATTCACCATCAAGCTTGTATTGACAGTGCTTTTACCTACTAAGCCACCTTGCAAGCCCTGCATTCTGCATTATTTTTCATTTTCTTTCTTATTGTTCTGAGATAGGGTCATTCATTGGAACCTGAGGCTTTCCACTTAAGTAAGGCTGACTGACTAGTGAGCTTCAGTCATCTGCCTGTCTTTTCCAGCAGTTAGTTCTCTCACATTGTTCAATCAGAGTTTTTCTTGTTTGCCAGTGCTGGGATTACAAATGTTGGCCACCAGACCTAGCATTTTATGTGGACTCTTGGAGTTAAGTTCACTTTTTTGTGCTTCTATGGGAAGCATTGCACCAAATAACCCATCTCCCTAACCCTTCATAAAATATTTTACTTATACTGTATACAGAAAATCCAGTTCTTGTAAGAGAACCCTCGTTTTAAATATAATATCACTTGGATTTTCTACACTAAACAATTCCTATTAGTAAGTTACTAATTGCTCAATCTACAGTCTATCTGAGCAGTAAGAAAGTGTTATAAAAAGTGATGTTAGAAGTGCATGACATCTGCTTGCTGTTTTACAACAGTCTACTCCATCTGGGAGCCTCACCTGAGTGAAGCCAATCTGCATCCAGAGTACTGTGGGGCAATGCTCGTCTTATTCAGCACAGTGTCAAACTGATATAAAAAAAATAAAAAGAATTAGCAAAAAATGTAGACAGGTCCTTGCCAGGTAATTGTTAGATAGGGTTAGAGTAGACTTACCCAATAATGTAAGATCCTTCTAGTGGAGTTAAACTTCAAAGAACCTGGATGTCCCATCTCCTCTGTATAGTGCAAGTTGGTGATGGTGAAATTGAGTGTAATGGGTACTATGATAGTATCATTGCCTGTCACAGTGGGGAAAATAGAGATGTCCAGATTTAGAACTGGTAATGACCAAGGCTTCTTCTAATTCTATGTGATAATGTTGTTCTAATAGGTTTTGAAGCAGGGGACATTTTGGACCTGTTAAAACATTAGAATTGGAACCTTTCTTCATGCATCCAGGCATGATTAGTGTAGGGAGACACTGTAGCCCCGCCTCCTAGTAGCCCAAACAAGCAAGCTCTGAGCATGCTTTGGCTTGCACTTGGCTGGTGTTTGTCTGAATAAAGAAACCTTAGCCTTACAGACTGCGGATCGATCTCTTCGGATTAGTGTGTGAAAGGTTCTGTGATAAACTCTTCCAAAGATGAATAAGGAGGCATCACCTAATGTAGAAGCCAGGGAAGTTTCCACTATCATACTTCAGGAGAAGCTAGTACAAGGGCAGTAAGAAAATAATGGGTGACCCAACCAATGACTTTAAAAAACTGTTTGGAGAAAGCATTATTTCAGTTGTGACAAGCAGTATAGCTATAAGTTGCTAGAATCTAAGCAATAGGGAAAATACTCCAGATAGTCTGGGTAAAGGCATGCAGGATAAAAGAGCATGACGAATTAGAGGAACTTAACTAGAGATGTGAGATTTACAGGATCCTTTGAGCTTATTCCAGAGAAGCAGTGGTTAAGTTACACAAAGCTTTGGATGTGACTTAATAGAACAAATGGATTCACTCAAATGTTACTTATAAGAAAGGGATTATATATCCTGGATGCATGAACTGGCTTCTTTCAGCCCAATCCCTATGATGGGATGCCTTTCCCAGGCTTGACAGGGGTGGGGGAGTCAGGGGTAGGGTTTGATCCTGCTTCAACTTGGTATGCCAGACATTGTTGACTCCCCAGGGGAAGCCTTATCCTCTCTGAGGAGTGGATGGGGGTGAGATAGGGGTGATATGGAGGGGCAGGAGGAGATTGAGGGGGGACTGATTTTGGTATATAAAATGAAAAAATAAATAAAAAGAAAGGAATTCTATAGACATGAACACATCATAAAAAAATGCTAGAGCTGCTATGTGGAAGATATTAGGAAGCCAGAATAGAGGCTGTTATAGTCTTTCTAGGAAAAATATGCTGGCCTCAATGGAGTCTAAATGATATAGCTACAGAGAAAGAAAAGGTTTGAGAATGTTCCCAAAGAAATAAGAGGTGAGATTTGTTGATAGTTGGATGTGGGAGGTGAATGAGAGGAGGGGTGATGGTAAGTACCCTCCTCTGACCTTGTAATTATGAGAAGAATTGTTATTTTTGGAGGACAATTATGTCTTCAGGATGAGTGATTGTGATGGTTACTGTTGAAGATCAATTAGATAGATTCTAGCATCACCAGGGAGATGGACTTAGCATACCTGTGGGAGATTATATTGATTTTATAAATTGATGTGGGAAAACACATTTTAACAATGAACAGGACTCTTTTCCTGGGTGGGGCACTCTATAATTCATAAAATGGAGAAAGGGTACTGGAGCACTAAGATGTATTCACGATTCTGTTTTCCAGTTGTGAATGTGATGTGAACAACTATTAAAGCTCTTGCTGCTTTAACTCTATGATGGATTGTACCTTAAACAGATAAAAATAAATCTATCCTTCATTTCTTCCTTCTTTCCGTGGATTTCTTTGATCAGAATATTTTATCACAGTAACAAAAAAATTAAGGAGGATGTCAAAGAGACCTGAGTGATATCTAGGAAGTGTGTAAACCAATGCTCAGGAACTCCTTTGTGGTAATGACTGAGATCAGAATTTGGATCCCAAGTAACTAGTAACTAAAACATTGTCTTCACTAGAAAGGTGAATGGGTGTTGAGAGAAGAATGGTTTGCTTACCTTATTGGTACTAACAAGAGCATGTATCCCTATCCCTCCCTACTTGTGAAATTGTTTGTAGGGGATGGAGTAGGAGAGGAAGCTTGGAAGGATGTGGTAGTCACAGGTGCTGAGATAAAAAAAAAAGCCTAAGATGAGGAATAAAATAGACATTTCATTGGGCTTCTTGGAGCCTAATCCTTAAGTGATATATCTTTAAGGAGTGACAGCAGCCTGGATCACTATATCCAACAATATGTGTTTTATGGCATCTATTGTTTGGAATTTGTGTGCTTTGCGGAAGTGTGGATGACTGTTATCTCTCTTAGTCTACATTTCTATGAAACTTTATGAACTCCTGCCCATTTAAAGTGGATAATAGAAAGGTTGGCTCACCCACTACCTCATATTTGAGAAGGGAGGCAACCAGGGCCATGTAGAGGTCTTCAGTACTCACCGTTAAGGATTGTACCTGAGGCTGGATGTGTGTAACCTGTAGAGACATGGAAAGGTGATGAAGAAAGAGAAAGTTTGTCAACAAAAAAGGCAACTTTTGGCATGAACCAGTCTATCTGTTACAGAACATCTTAAATTACTAGAGATTCTAAGTCTGTCTTTAGAAAGATGTTATTTCCAATTTTACTTCAGACTGTGTTTGTAGCATACCTTTAGCCATAGAGATCACCCAGACAGCAAGAAGAAACCCATTTTCAAACATGATCTTTTATGCTGAAGTAGGAGTTCCTAGTGTAAAAGCTAGGGAGAAAGTACCCCAAGCGGTTGGTTGGGAACTCCATTTTTCTGTATTTTCCAGAGATGGAAGTGCCTATATCTGGGGCAATAGTAGGAAGCATATCTTTGCTCACTCAGGGCTGGGCATGGAGTGAAGGTGAGGTGTAGACACAGAAGGTTCATGGACTTTTCCACTTCTAATGTCTGGCTTGAATATGGTAGAAAATTTCAACCTAAACAGACATCTGAAACTTCATCCTATGCACTGCTGGTGGTAGTGACTAATATATGGTGGGTATAAGCTGCACAGCTAGAGGAGTAAAGGGAGATGGGTTGAACAGAAAGGAGATAAGAAACACATGTGGCTTGCTGAGCAGTAGTAAAGCTGAGCAGCCTCTAAAGCTTAATCTTGGCTGTCAGTTTGATAGGACTTGGAGTAACCTATGAGATGCACTTGGGCATGTCTGTGAAGGCATTTCCAGAGGAGTTTAACTGATCAGGGAAGATGTTCACTGAATATGATTACTAGCATTTCATAGCTTTAGGTCATGAAGTGAATAAAAAGGAGAAAGTAAAGGCCAGCGTTCCTGCCTCTGCCCACACCTTCTGTTACATAAAGCACTCTATCTTTTCTCAGACTCTGAGCCAAAGTTAACCTTCTCTCCTTAAGCTGTGTTGCTTAGGTGTTTTGTTGTAGCAAAAGAAAAATGACCACTACTCATCCCTTACCATTAACATAGAGACTATCCTGATCCAAAGTGTAGGGGCCCAGCTGAGTGACACCATAGGTCAGCTTGCTCAGTTCCAAGTACAGTTGCTCTGTGGCAAAACCATGTCCTATGTGGTCAGGATGATAGGTGCAAACTATGTCCACTCCAGTGGCTTCTCCATTCTTCCTGGGACTGTGGAGAGAGAGTGAAAGTGATAATCATAAATGGTCTGGAGAATTATTGTAGTGACACAGGAAGAGGCCATCGGGAATAAGAGGTCTTGTACAGAGGCAGGAGCCCAGATAAGCAAACAATAATCGACTGTGAGTATTCAGCCCTAAATCAGACACCTTTATTATTGCCTTCTTACAATCAAGGGTTGTAAAATATCCAGATTAGCAGAGAATAATCGACTGTGAGTATTCAGCCCTAAATCAGACACCTTTATTATTGCCTTCTTACAATCAAGGGTTGTAAAATACTGAAAAAGTGGGGGCAGAAAGAAACAACTAGAAGTTGGGGATGAGTGCCGTGAAATACTGCCTTCTGGACATGACATGGCTATTGTACTCATGAACTCATAGCAGCTATATTTACTTGCAGAAGAGAAGAATCAAGTCAGCAAAACTAGCATATATGAGGCTCTTACCCCATTCATGTGGAACTATTAGCAGTTGATGGTTGCTGGGTAAGAGAGAATACTTTTTGTATACATACTATCTTATTAATTCTTTTGATCACACCTTCTTTCTTCCTTCAAGTTCTTCCAGATCTACCCCTCCTTCTGCCTTCTTCCAATTTCATATCCTCTTTTTTTCTGTACTCCACTGAGGTCAAAATGTGCTGCTGCTCATATACTCATGGGTATGGGGTTATCTACTGTAATGGAAGAAAACTGACCTCCCCTAGAATTGGTTGATTGTCAATAGCTTTTCAACTAGGGGCAGGGGCTCATTAACTTTTACCACTCCATGCAAGAATATTAATAGCTTGTAATAACAGCTAGTGTGAGTTCATGAGTGCCACACTCCTGTCATATTTACAAAACACTATTTTTTCCCACTAACCTGCTGTCTGGCTTTGACAATTTTTCTGCCCCTTCTTCCACAATAGTCTTTGAGCCTGGGAAGCAGGAAGTGTGGCATAGATGGCCAATTTATGGCTGAGCACTCCAAAGACATTTATTCTCAGTGCTTGACCAGTTGTGAGTTTCTGCATAAACCACCATCCATTACATAAAGAAACTTCTCTATTGAGATCTTCATATCCATAGATATAAAGTTATGATGTAGAGGACAGTTGGATTCCATGTATAGGCATTAAAATAATAGTAGCAAGTTTACCTTGGGGCCTACAATCATGGGCACTTGATCAGATTTACAGTAGCATGCATGTGTTTCCTCCAGTGGAGATGGCCTTAAATCCAATCAGAAAGTAGTTTGCTGCATATTGGTGAGAAGCATTCTTTTTTTTTTTTTTGAGGGAGTTTGCACTTGGAGGATTGCAGTACTCCAATGGATGACCCATGCACTCATGAGCAACACTAATAAGACGTAATAGGTTATCCAAATGAGGAAGATGTGAAGTTGTCAGGGAGATGTGTTAGGGGAATTAAGGAGGACTTGAATGGGGTAAATTGATAGATATGACAGTTGATCATGTATAATATATACAAAGTTATATAAATATTTCTCTAAATATTTCATCTTATACATGTAATTCCCCAAGAATAAAGAATAAACAAAAATTATTTATTTAAAAATTCAGACTTTGATCTACATACACATTGAAATCATAGTTTGGGACTGTGAGAAGAGTCAATAATATTTATGAAATGGTCAGACTCAAACTCTAATGCATTTGGCAGGGAGAGAGTAGAGCACATGATTGAGGCAGATGAAGTATTGGGATTGGGGACTTAAGCAAGTGCAGAAGACATCTTTCTTTCCAACTAGAAGACAGATTTTTATTTAAATAAGAAACAAGCTTCTTTTATATGTCAATCCCTGTTTCCTCTTCTTTCCCTCCTCCCCTGCCCCCCAACTAACCCCCCTATCCCAAACTCTTTCTGCTCCCCAGGGAGGATGAGGCCTTCCTTGGGGGATCTGAAGACAGATTTTAACATCCAATAGAAATATTTCCATTGATAAATAGAGGAGAAAGTGAGACTTCACACTGAATGACCATGGGGAGGGAATCCTGTTGATAAATTCTGCAGAATTTCAGTGCAGTCTTAACAGGAAGTGGTACAATGAGGAGACATTTGCTGTTAGGTCTAATGCCTCTTGGATTCTACCTCTACATTCAAAAGGGAGGCAGGCAGGAAGTTCAGTAAATTATTCGTCCTCGGGGCATTTGAGGTAGTCTTATTCTGCTATTCTAAATTCTTACCTGAGCAAAAGAAGTCTGCATCCAGAGTAGAGAGGCCCAGTACTGGTTTTATTGAACAATGTCTCAAGCTGTGGAAGAGACAGTAGATTATAGAAAAGGCAAGAAGAGCTCTATCATTGGTGAGCAATACTGACATCAACTGGGTTTGAGTCAGCAGACATGACTTGAGTGAACTGGGTAGGGTTCTTACCAGGTGCTGTAGGACCCACTCTGTGGCATTGAATTTCCTGGAGCCTGGAGTCTGCATGTCCTCATTGTAATGCAGGCTAGTGATGGTGAAATTGAGGGTGAAAGACACCAGAGGTGGCTCTGTGGCTGAAGCATAAGAGTAAGGGGAAGCATCTCATAGCAGTGGACATAGTGGGCAAGAAGGATCTGGTACCTCAGATCAGACACAAGCCTCCATCTCACAGGAGACAATAGAAGTGCAGAGGACATGTTAAGGCTGTCTGAGTTAGCTCCAGATATCAACATGACATGACCCTCAGTCATCTAAAGAAGGACTCTAAGATCAGGTTGGTCTGTTGCCTTGTCTGTGAGAAATTGTCTTGATTGATTCATGATATGAGAGAAGGACCCAGACCATTATTGGCAGCACCTGCTCTAGGCAGCTGAGCCTGTGCTGTAAAAGAAAGTTAGTTAAGCATGAACAGTAGAGTGGCCCAGAATGCAGTGTTCCTCCATGGTTCCTGCCTCCAGGATCCTGCTTTGAGTTGCTGTCCTGAATACCCTTAGTGATGGATTTTGACCCAGAGCTGTAACCTGAATAAACACTTGCTTCCCCTAAGAGGCTTTTAATTGTCATGATGTCTGTCATACCAACAGAAGGAAACTAGAACAAGGGCTAATTGTGCTATTAGACCATCATACACTGCTGATGAATGTGTGTAACTATAAAGCTTTTGGGTAGAATCCAGCAGTTCAAAAAGACTAATGAAGCATGATTATGAGCTACGTGCTGGTTTGAGTCATTCAGGGATACCCTGCTCAATTGTATGGAGTATGAATGTAACTCAGTGGTAGAGAATTTCCATAGTACATTTGATGTCCTGGCTCAATTCCTGGCACCATAAAAATGTTTTTTTGATGGACAAAATTTCTAAATTAAATATTTTTATTTATTTATATTTTATAATTTCATTTATATGGATGTTTTGTCCTCAATGAATATGTGTGTATAGTGCTCATGCATGCACATATGAGTGTGCTTGTGCAGGTGCATGTTTACATGTATATGTATGTATGGAGGCCAAAGGACAATCTTATTGTCTTCTTCAGGAGCATGAACCTATTTTTTAATTAAAACTTTCATTTGAGATAGGACATCTTATAAGCCTGGCTAGCCAGGCTATCTAGACAGTGAGATTAAGGATCTTTTTGTCTACACTTTTTGGTGCTAGGATTATGAGGGCATGCAACCATTCCAGAGATCAAACTAGTACTCTGTAAGCTTGTTATCAATTAAATTATCTCCCTGAATCTATGTATGGGTCTTTTGGAACTGAGACCTTTTAGTGACTTTCCATCCTCTATCCATGACTTATTCATGTACTTAGGGCCCTTGGACTTCCTTTCCTGAGTGGGGGAGAGGGGATTTTCAGCATGACTGATACTTACCATTGAGAGTGGTTATTGCATGCTGGGGGGTGTAACCTGCAGAGAGATATTGGGAAAGGGCAAGGAGGTGATGAGAAAAAAATAAGAAGGCCTTAGAGGGAAGGATTGGGCTTTTTAGTTCAGCAGTGAGAAGATGGCCATTGCCCACCATTGACATAGAGGCTGTTCTTATCCAGCATGTATGGTCCCATCTTAGTGACACCACGAGTCACTTCACTCAGCTCCCAGTACAGCTTTTCTCTGTCCAGCTTGGGTGATGTGAGATCAGCAAGATACATGCATACTGTGTCCACTCCTGTGCCTGTACTGTCCTCCTTGGGCCTAAGGAGGGCAAGTGAGGGAAAATGAGAAAAAGTAGTGTAAACTTGTTGTGGAATGTTACTTTAACTATGGAAAAAGTGTTATATTTGTTTAAGCTGTATTTGCTTAATTATGTAAAGATGTGTTACTGTTTCACTTTACCTGTCTAAGGCACCTGACTGATCTAATAAAATGCTGAATGGACAATAGCTAGACAGTATGAGGCTAGGTGGGGCTGGCAGACAGAGAGAATAAATAGCAGAAATCTAGGCTGGGTGGGGGGAGGAGGAGACAATGAGGAAGAAAAAGAGGGAGATGCTGGGAGTCAGCCAGGAAGGCAACTGCCAACCAGCCAGACATGGTGTAGGAAGTACAGAATGAAAGAAAGGTTAAAGGCCACAAGACAAAGTGTAGATAGAGAAACAGGTTAAAATAAGTAATAAGAGTTAGATGGCACAAGCATAAGGTAAGGCCAAGCAATCATAACTCATAATAAACATCCGTGCCATGATTTGGGAGCTGGTTGGTGGCCCAAAAGAAAACCTACTACATGTAACTATTATGGAAATCAGTATAAAGAGCCTTCTCAAAATATTAAAATAAAATTTCCACATGACCAAGCCTCACAACTGGACATATATCCAAATGACTCTATTTACTACCATAGAGATATTCATTCACATTTATTGCTTCTCTATTTATAATAGCAGTGAAATGAACTAACCTAGATGTCCATTAACAAATGAATGGGTAGTGAAATTGTAGTACCTATTTTCAATGAAATTTTATCCATCCATAAAGGAAAATGAAACTTGAAGGAAAATATATCAGATTGGATTATATTATATTAAATGATAAGCTCAGAAATACAAGCATATGTTCTGTCTTAAGTTTCTCATTCTAGGATCAATTTTTTGTATGTGCGTATTTACATAAGAGTGATTTATTGTAGAAACTAGAAAGGTTACTAGGAGAGGGTGGAGAAAGTGGCAATTAGGGAGAGGGAAGAGGAGGGTAATAGGCTACATGTGATATGAAAATGGAGGGGAATAGTGGGTGTGGAAGTGTTTAAGCAGAAAGGGCAGGGGGATGGGAGAGAAGAAGGGTCATTCAAAACTAAGCATGTATAAAAATATAAGAAAACCTGCAACCTTGTAACCTGATTAATTTCTTTTTTTGGTCTTTTTGAGGCAAGGTGTCTCTGTGTATCCATGGTTGTTCTGAACTCACTCAGTAAACCAGGCTGGCCTCAAACTCAGAGATTCACCTGCCTTTGCCTTCTAAGTGCTGGGATTAAAGTCATGTACTACCATTAGCCAGGTATTTTTTTCAGTAGGGGACTGAAACTACAGGTCAGTGGTTGCTGAGCTTGCTGAGGACCTGCCTGAGATGAGTTCCTACACAGATCTACTCCTTGTAACTCCAGCTCCAGCATGTCTAACACCTTCTTCTAACCTTTACTACAGGCACCCAGCACTCATATGCACATCCCCTCAAACAGACACACAAACATATACATAATTAAAATTAATATAAATCTTTTTAAATTAAAAGTATAATGTGTCCATGAAGTTCTAGGACTCTCTGCTGCAGGATAAGAAGACTCTAGTAAAATGGGAAGTTTTGTATGGAGATTAGAAATCATATAAGTTCTGGAATACACTGTCCTCTGGCCTAACTACTCCTTTGAGACAAGTTTGGGAGAGGGACAAATGTCACCAAATTTTGAGACTGAAACTTATATTCTCAAAGTATATAGTCAGGAAATCTAGTTGATTTTAAAAAATTGGTGGTCTCTCTCTGTATATCTATTCAATTTAGTACTCAAAGTTCTAGCTAGAGAAATAAGACAACAAAAGGAGATCAAGGAGTTACAAATTGGAAAAGAAGAAGTCAAACTCTCACTATTTGCTGATAATATGATAGTTTACATAATTCTACTAGGGAACTCTGACACCTGATAAACACCTTTAGCAATATAGCAGGATACAAGATTAAGTAGAAAAAAATCAGTAGCCCTTCTATATACAGATGATAAACAGGCTGAGAAAGAAATCGGAGAAACATCACCCTTTACAGTAGTCACAAATAACAAGATATCTTGGGGTAACTCTAACCAAACAAATGAAAGACCTGTATGACAAGAACTTTGTCCTTAAAGAAAGAAATTGAAGAAGACATCAGAAAATGGAAAGATCTCTCATGCTTTTGGATAGGTAGGACCAACATAGTAAAAATGGTAATCCTACCAAAAGTAATCTACAGATTCAATGCAATCCCCATCAGAATGCCCAATTCTTCACAGACCTGGAAACAACAATACTCAGCTTCATATAGAAAAACAAAAAACCCAGGATAGTCATAACAACCCTGTATAAGAAAGGATCATCTGGGGACATCACCAGCCTTAACTTTAAGCACTATTATAGAGCTATAGTCCTGAAAACAGCTTGGTATTGGCATAAACATAGACAGGTGGAACAATGGAATTGAATCCAAGATACTGATAGCAACCCACACAACTATGAACATCTAATTTTTGACAAAGAAGCAAAAAATAAAAAATGGAAAAAGAAAGCATCTTCAACAAATGGTGCTGTTATAACTGGCTGTCAACATGTAGAAGAATGCAAATAGATCCATATCTATCTCCGTGCACAAAACTCAAGTAAAATGGATCAAAGACCTCAAAATAAATCCATCCACACTGAACCAGGCCCTCCCCTAAATGATATGACAGACTTTTAAGTTCCCTGGTGGAAGGCTTCACTATTCCTGGGGAGGAGTTGGGAGATGAGTTCAGGGGGTTGGTGGGGAACATGGGAGGATGGGAGGTCTAGGGAATGGGGGGACAGATATGTAAATATGAGTAGTAATTAAAGAATTTAAATAAAAAAAGAAAAAGTGATGAGAGAATGGGAGGGAGAGGGAACTGGGATTGATACATAAAACAAGATCGCTTCTAATTTAAACTTAAAAAGAGAAAAAAAGATAAAGTGAAAAATACACTTGAACATAGGCACAGGAGACCACTTCCCAAATAGAACACCAGTAGCAGACACATTGAAAGCAACAGTTAATAAATGGGACCTCCTGAAATTGAGAAGCTTCTGTAAAACAAAGAACACAGCCAACGAGACAAAATGGCTCCCTATAGAATGGGAAAAGATCTTCACTAACCCCACATCTGACAGAGGACTGATATCCAAAATATACAAAGAACTCAAGACACTAAATATCAAACTACCAAATAATCCAATTAAAAAATGTGGTGCAGGACAGGAGGGAGAAGGGAACTGGGATTGTCATGTAAAGCAATCTTGTTTCTAATTCAAATAAAAAATCTGAAAAAAATGTGGTGCAGATCTAAACAGATAATTCTTAACAAAACAATCTCAAATGGTAGAAAGAAACTTAAGGAAATGCTCAACATTCTTAATCATCAGGGAAATGCAAATCAAAACAACTCTGAGATACCATTTTACACCTGTCAGAATGGCTAAGATCAAGAACACCAATGACATCTTATGCTGGAAAGGATATAGATAAAGGTAACACTCCTCCATTGCTGGTGGAAGTGCAACCTTACACATCCACTGTGGAAATCAATATGGTGATTTGTCAGAAAATTGGGAACCAACCTACCTCATGACCCTGCAATACTACTTTGGGGCATATACTCAAAGGAGGCACACTCATACCACAAGGGCATCTGTTCAACTATGTTCTTATCAACAATATTTGTAATAGCTGGATCTTGGAAACAACCTAGATGTCCCTCAACTGAAGAATGGATAAAGAAAATGTGGTATATTTTCACAATGAAGTATTACTCAGTGTTAAGAAACAATGACATTCTAAAATTTATAGGCAAATGGACAGAAGTAGAAACAAACAAACAAACAAACAAACAAACATCCTGAGTGAGGTAGCCCAAAACCAGAAAGACAAATATAATATTTACTCAATCACAAATGGATACCAGACATAAAGCAGAAGATACCCAGGCTACAATCCACAACCCCAGAGAAGCTAGAACCCTTTTCCAGAAACAGATGAAAGCACAAATCTACAACTAACCAATGGGCCAAGCTCCTGGAGTACAATTGAAGTGAGGGAGGAGTGATAATAAGAACAAAGGAGTTAAGACTATAATGGGGAGACACACAGAATCAGCTGGCTTGAGCTAGTGAGAGATCAATGACGCCATACTGACAATTGGAGAACCTGTATAAGACTGAACTAGACTCCTTTAGCATAGGTAAGCAACAATGGTGCAGTTGGAGCAATATATGAGGCCACCAGCAGTGAGTTCAAGATCTAACTCTAATGCACAAACTGACTTAGTGGAACACATTATATATGGAGAGATATCTTGCTCAGCCTAGACACAGGGGTGTGGGGGATGGTGGAGGAAGAATATGCAGTTTTGCTTTTCCTGAGTTTGGGTCACCTTGCTTGACATTTTTCCAAATATATCCATTTTCCAGCAATATCTGAAATTTTAAATTTGAATAAAATTCTTATATATATATATATATATATATGTGTGTGTGTGTGTGTGTGTGTGTGTGTGTGTGTAAAACATCATTTCATTGTCCATCCATCTGTTGATGGACATATGGGTTGATACTATTTTCTTGCTCTAATGAATAGAGCAGCAATACCCATGGATGACCAAGTTAGATATGCATTTTTTAGAGAAACTATAGAAGTAGAACTCAGAGTCTGGGATACTGTTTTTTGGGGTTTTTTGG